TAACATTTTTTACTTTAACAGATCAACGAAACAAATTGTCCCATAGTTGATTGATGGAAACAGGCAAAAGGCTTTAATCCAGCATAGCGCAGCATTGCAAATCTTCCCATTCCAATGTTTACCCATGTGCACAATAAATGAGCCGATTATGCATTCAAGAGGCGCTGGTAGGCGCCACTCCGGATGCTCTTTGCTGCCGGCGCCGGATTGCTTTCCGCAGCGAGAGGCAGGTGAGAATCGTAGTGCTTTGCTTGATGCTTCAACTGAAGAGCGCGGCCAATTTAGACCATGCTGGTGCATCGATAGGGCATATTCTGGCCAACCTTTATGTCCTTTCGCCTCCTCAGGAAGGTTTTGAAGCATAAACACAATTCGCTATCTATTTAAATCCTTTTGACCATTTTCATTATACTAAGAGAATCGTAAGCTACATTTTGGAAGGAGGTTTGCCAGCACTTGTTTCATTCACTAAAACGAAATTCTTTTAATGATCCCCAAGCAATACGATTTTCCACTCCAAATGACTAAATGATTTCTTATCTGTGCATAGAACAATTTCTTTTCGAAGCTGTAACCATGGCGAACCAAACGTTGTGAAGTTGCTTTGGTCCAACATTCAAGGATTTTTAAAGCTTATTAAACCTCAGCAAACTCAACACACTCACTATGAACTCAGAATTAATGGTATGAAGACACCGAACAGTTCGTCCATTAACTTCTACTGGACGACGTGGTCTCTGGACAATGGCGATGGCCTCTTGGCCCCTCCTTTTGTCGCCAGCGCACAGGTCACCTCAGTATTGTGACCTCTTCACATTTCAGAAATGTGTCACAATACTGCAATTTACGCTTAAAATGCGAAATCCACTACAATGTGCATGAGTCGGTGTACAGCGTGCGTTATGCAACGATGGCAGTGGAGATACATGGATAAACAAGTTTTAATACGAAAGCGAAATGCTCAAATTGGGCGCCTACGAAGAGGAAGGCGGAACAAAGGAGATGCGGCTTCTTAATGCAGCCCAAAGGGAAAAGGAATAATTTCTACTATTAATCAGTTCCAGATGCAGTTGGGCGGCACTGTGCCCAGCCCATACCCCGGTGTAGCAATAAAGGACTTGCAGTTTGGGGACTTAAATGGCCAAGTCCCTTCTATTTATCATTTTATAGCAACAAACATCCCAAGATTTGGCTGTAGAAAAGGTGAATGACAGATAAACAGCAATTTGTATGGCTACGACAACAGTCCCACCTAATTTTCGCATACATTTAAGCAGTGCTTAACAGAGTGATAGCTGCTCTAAGAGTGAAAACGTGGACAGTCAAGAATGTCAGTGCATTTGCTTCATATCCAGTCGGTGCTAAGTTCGTGCATGAAACCAACCCGCTAATGCTTGCTTAGGTATAAGTCGAGTGAAAGAACCCTTTTAAAGCATGGGATTAGTTTATTCCCTGAGAAAATACTTATGCCTCTTCATGTGAACCGTTTGCTGTCCACGAATACTCTAGTCAAAGGAAGCATCACTTTGGTAAGTAGCCGATCTAATACCTTCCTTTTCGATTCCTTATTGAGGCTTCGTATCGGCGTCTGCAGACGACTACACGTGGGCAATGAGCCTGGACAAGCTTCAGCGAGTAGACCGGTTGAGTGTTTGGCACAGCTTTAGCCGTGCACCCGCTCGAAGTCCTCTGTTCAAAGTTAATCAGAATCCCAAAGTTAAAAAGCTTAGTAAGTAATTGAACACCATTTGTTGTTCCCAAGTGAAATTTTGTTTTCGCGGAAGAAAATGAATGCACTTGATGTCTCAATTGAGCATGTTTGAGAAGGCAATATTTCTAAGCAAGAGATAGAAATGCTCTACATTTTGAATTAATTGTCTACCACAATTATCTTTTCGTGTTGAACTGAGTCAAAGGATGTCCTGAGGGAGCCGAAAAAATCTTACTCGTCTTGAGCGGATTTGTTGAGAAAGTTGTAAAGAAGACGAAGCAATCTGTGATGCGTACACACTCTCACTGTTGGGGTGGATGAAACTGTAATCAGGCGCTATAATTTTGAGGCATTATGCAACGCTTTTGCTAAATTTCCAAGGTGCATTGTCCTCCAGACCTGTCATAAGTGTCACTGCATAGAGTTTGTAACGTTTCTGTCTTTTGGGTCATTTTTAGTCTATAATTTGGTCAAGAAACAAAGATAGGTGTTACCTCCTACTAAGCTCTATTTCGAGTGTAGCAAATTATTGCGAGTGGTTGAGGTTCGCTGGGTATATTTCCAACCAACATACACCAACAAAGCCTGCAACCATCGGTTAGTTGACGACTTTCAAGTCCGATCGGTAATAACACTTTTTTTGGATTTTTCGCCTACAAGAAAATGCGAGACTTAAATCACATAACAGAGCCTTTCGTTTACTTGCCATCCAACTCATTAATACAACATTCTCTCACCCATAAAGCGCACCTATTTTATTCCTCCCTTTTACGGCAATCATGCCTTTAATGCATTGTTGACCTATTCATTGGTGCTCCTCTCTTGATTATGCAAAGATTACGCAGCAATATTGCTTTCGCCTACCTGGAATCTTAATCACATAAAATAAAAAGCATTGTCTTGAGTTGCAAGTGGTGTGTGGTAGTGCATGAGAGCTTGTGACTAGCTAAAAGTAAGTGACTATCATTTGGAAACATGTCAAAGGATGTGTAGAACCACGTAACGTGAGCGCCGTGGGATTTGATGTGGTTAACTTTGAGATTACCCACCAGTTGACATTGAACTCAGTTGGAGCCAAGTTGAGGTTGACATCTGATTCCATCGGAAGCATGACGGAACATATATGGTCTTTACAGACTACCATAATCATAACGGAGTTGGGAAGATAGTTGACATTAAGTGCAGTCACATGCTCATTTCAACGAGCAGCAAAAGAAGCGGACCAACAACGCTATTAGCTGCAATAAAACTTTAACAAGTGCAAATTTGCAACGCACATGGAAAAGACTGACAAACGACTGGTTGACACCCAACCTGGATCGTCGAATTTCTATAGACGCACTTATCCACGCTGGTGAATTAACCTCGGCATAAAGGAGTGTTGACGCATCGAGGAGAAACCTACACTCGATTGCAGCAAACCGAAGGGGACAAAGTAAGAGACAACTCCCAAGACGCTGGCTGATGTCTCATTGCTCTTGCTCACAGGCGAGATCATGATTTCCAAGTCCGTTTGTCACACAAAATGCAATGCGTCTATAGTGCCGCATTACACAAACCCCAACTTCAACATAGAATGCACTGATCCATTAGTCCCAAAAAAATCTCCAACCTCGTCCCTCGACTAAAATATTAACAATTCATTCTAAATTTGACAAACTAGACATTTTTTTAATGCCCTGTTTGCATAGCAAAAAATTTTCCCACTCGAAGAAGGAAAGGCCCCATGAGCGGATAAGAAGGCGTAGAAATTTATTCAAATGTTTGATCACCTACTATAAAGAACAAAGGAGTTGATTTTTGGCGATGCGAGCTTCTCCCAGAATATCAACCTGAATGGTTGATATGTGTTTGGTGACTACGCCATTTGACAATGCCAAAAAAATAGCTCACACTGTGGGATGTTCTGCCTCAGATTTTAGCTCTAAAAGGCGCACCAAATCATAAAATGCTCCCCTCGATGATTATCTCTTGGGCAGTATTATGCGAGTACCGATTCCGCGCTGATGATGGATCCACATGGCTGACCCGATTCCAATAAAAATGTGCTATCAATGCGTGTGCATTTATTTGGTGACGCGGTTCAAAGGAGAGCGGCTGGTTTATGTCTCGCACTAGACGACTACTTTTCTTCCGGGTTATGCTATTGGGTGTAGATGGAATTCGAGACGAGCAGAATGATGCTGGTAGTGCTGAAGAAGACGTTCAAGGAAATGTGTTCAAATTAAGCTATTGTCTCTCCCTCGAAGTGAGCGAATCGATTAAATGAATTTCATCGAGAACGAGGAAGAACGAACTGCTTGAAGCGGAAATATAGACAATGAAACTTGAAATATCACAAAAAAATACAAAAAAATGTAACCGTAATCACCACAAAGACCTTGCAACTGTTTTCACTTTCGAAAAACATATCATGCAAAAGTGCAAATAACATATAACAAATGCCAAAGATGCCATGAAAATTAGTAAGCCTTGCCATTTTTTACTTTGTATCCACTCTTGAATAGAAAAGAAGCACCGATTCGCTCTACCCACTTTGTGCCACAATATCAAGCAACCAGCACAGAAATGATAGGAAGTTTCTGGTTCATTTCTTAAAATGACAAAAGCACTACTACAATGCCTTTATTCAGCATCCCTTTAAAACGAAGGCTCGGTAATCTTGCTGACTGTCATTCGATTTTTGGAAGCTTTAAAATATAACTTCGAAGCTTGCGCAGTGACTCCGCTCCCCATGACGGATGCAATCACCGAGCGTCTGCTCATAATCGAAAGGAAGCCCTTCATAAATAAATTAACAGTTTAGGTCTCACATAGACAATGAACTGCTTTCAGTAGCAATTAGGATAGCAGATTCAGTTATTCACAACATCCCACGAGGCTTGAAAAAGCAAACAAAACAATGATACCATTTAAACCAGAAATGATTCAGGTATTTTACACGTTCATTAAGTTGAGGCTAAAATAGTGAGTAGATCACGTCTGCTAATTCTTATTGCCATTAAACACTAATGCGTAGAACCAGCAAAGGACTACCATTAGTGGTAGAAATACATTCCTGATGGATTAACCCCCGCCATATTAGGTCTACTTTCTTGCAATAAGATGCAGATAATTTCTTCTTACGACGATTTGGATCATGTTTAGCTGTGCAGATCTTAGAAAGATTAAAATCATGCTACTTACAGGTCTAGAGTAAACACTGCGTGCAACACTATGAACACAGAAGAATCGGAATCAAATAAATCGAATTTACCTCTAAGACATTTAAATCATCAACTCTTTACAGTTATTTTTCAATAATGCGCCCGCGTTGATCATACATGAAAAAGCCATGGCCACACTTTTTGCCCAATCGGCCCTGGGCGACCAGTTGGCGCACAGTGGTGTTGAGTCGGAAAGCGCGCTCTTCGGGATGCCTCTCTACCCAGTGAACGATAATACGCAATAGGGTGTCCAGCCCTACGTGATCAGCCAGTTCAAAAGGACCCATCGGGTGGCCAGCCCCAAGACGCATCGCCATGTCGATGTTGTTAAGGGAGGCATCCCGACGCTCCCACATCTCTATTGCCTCGAGGAGGTAGGGTACCAAAAGACGATTCACTATGAAGCCTGGTGTGTCCTTGCAATGGACCACTGTCTTACCCAGTGATTCTGCGAAAGCTGCTAGTGTCTGAAGATAAGACAGAAATGATACAAGTGAGACGAGAGGTTTTGCCGATGCGTGGCATAGGAAAGGAGACTACAAGCGCAACACCGATTGTAATACTTTGTCTATGTGACCACCTGATGTTTGGCGGGTATTCTAAAATTCGTCTGGCCCTTGTACACTTAAGCAATTTCCTCTCCCTGGAATACCTGATGAGAAGTCGAAAATCAACGCCACGAGAATCCTTCAAATTTATAAGAAATAATGTGGCGTCTTTCACACCAGACGATTTCCTTTGTCGGAACCCAAAAAGTAGACCTCATTGTGATCAATCGAAAACCACCAAACGAAACAACATTAAAGAAAATTTATCTCAAAATAGCCACCATAATTAAAACTTCAAAGTTAAACGCTTAAGCATCACATCAAACAAAGGCTAAGACTTCAAGTACACATACCTTTAAGGTATCTCCAGATGTATGACTGCATCTAGTGATCTCAACTAATTTCATCTTCTGTACGGGGTTAAAGAAATGAAGACCACCGAAGAACTCCTTCCTTGAAAACCCTTTGACTATCTCATTTATCGGCAGGGAAGAGGTGTTCGACGCAAACACACAAGAACTGGGTGCAAAATGTTCCAATGATCTATGCATTCACACGAATTCATTACTATAACCCACTGGAAGAGACTGCACTTGGTTTTGAGATCTTCAGTGACGGCTTCAATAACCATCTCCGAGTCGGAAAGGGCATTGTTAACGTCAGTAGTGAGAATTATCCTAGTCGCCACCGCTTCAACGAAATCTTCTGACCTACTTTTTGAAGAGCCATGCAACACCCGTAAAACACTATCCTCGGATTTTTTGAGCTGGTCATCATTCCCGACTAACACTTTGACATTGTATCCAGAACTGGCACAAATGGCGGCGATGCCAGAACCCATCAAGCCACATCCAACAACAGTGACGTTGCTTAAAAGTCGTTTTAGTGTAAAGGCACCGTACAAAGCCCCGACTCGAAGTGCCATCACCGAACGCCCACGCGAATGAGACACACTTCAGTGCCCAAGACAAAACCGCACGCTAAAGAGCGAGCGATTTAAACAAAAATGGGAAAATTTGTTCATTATTGACGAAAAGCAAATAGAAAAACTTTGCATCATGCTGTGCTTAGCGTGATTTTACCTTGGCTCGACCAATGAAAGCTAACTTCCAGCCTAACTTGACTCTCCAATCACCGGTTGCACATCGCCGCATTCATTTCTTGTCAAGTAATACATCACATTACCCCATCAGTTTCAATCTCCTGCTACCCTCATTTATTTTGAAGCCAATATTCTATGTATGCTTACGTATATTCAAAAGACTCCTGGGTTTAACCTGTGTAAATGTACCCAACTTAATATCTTCGTATATATGTCGCTGATGTTGAACTGACTCCTCTTCCATCTTAGATGGCGAGATGTGCTGTAATTGGTGGCGGTTTGTCAGGCCTTTCAACAGCATATTTACTATCGCGTCTGCCGCAGAACCAGGTTGGATATATCACCGTTTACGAGAAAAACGCCAAACAATTTGGCGGTTGCTTCTTAACCGGCCAAAATCCAAATACTGGAGCTTTGCATGACCTCGGTCCACACAGCGCTCGTGTCGCTGTCCCTTCATCAAGTCCTCTCCTACGCCTGATCTCGAGTCTCGGATTCACTCGCAATGAAATTTTCTGGCTGCCTCCTTTAAAACGCTATATTTACGCCGCCGGAGCACTTAGACCAATTAATCTTTTTTCAATTAAGACAGAATCACCGTTCACGCGCTCACATTTGGCTCTATTCATTCGACGAGCCTTAACTAGGGGTCCGGGTCCTCTCATTGACGATGTGTCTGTTGATGAGTACCTTAGAACTCGCTTTGATGATGAATTCGCGGATTTCCTAGGAAGTGCACTGATGCGCGGTGTCTGTGGAGTTGATTCCAAATTAGTTAGCGCCTCAGCCTTCCTAAGCTACGTGAGTTCCTCATTGAACGCATGACGAGGCCCTGTGCTCAAATGTGTTAAAGTCTTTAATGCCTATAGTTGATTCGATGTGAAAAGGAAGCTCCGAATGTGATCATTGGAGCTGTCAAGAATATGACGATGGGTAAAATGCGTTCTCTGTACCCCAATAAAGCGAACGATGTTTCGCTTCATGCTCTTGATAGTCTTCTCTCACCAGTGAGCAAAGACATCGTTCAATCCTCAAATACAAGTGTTTTCAACTTTGCTGGTGGAATGCAGATGCTCACAGACCGTCTTGTTAAGGCACTGAGTGAACAGCCCAATGTGACACTCCTGAAGGGATCTTGCGTTCGCGCACTTCGTCGTCGAGACAACCGGTATCTGGTAAGGTTCACTCATTTTGGTTGATGAAAGCTACTTTCAGCTAGATTTGGTTAAAAATGGATTTACATCACCTTACAAAGTAGAGTCCGATGCCGTCTTTATTTGCACACCTGCTCAACAAATGGGTCTGATTCTAGAAACCGAACCCTTTATTCCTCTCACTGTGACAAAACTTCTGAGCCCTCAAGTCTTTCCCTCTGCTAGTATCGGCGTTGTGGCTTTAGAATTCGAGATTTCTAACACAGAGCTTCCTCGTGGCTTTGGACACTTGTTGCCGTTGACTGAAGATGAGACTGTTATGGGTGTTGTCTATGATAGTCTCGCTTCTCCATTAATGGATGGGAAGATAATAAAGAATGAGACACAGAGAACTACTCGCTTTACAATTATGCTCGCGCCACGAACCTCATGGTTAGAAGCCACTTCTGGCAAGACTTCCTTCAATCTCGAGCGTGAACTTCGCGAGAAAATGATCAAAATCGGTGTCAGTGCTTTAAGAAGACATCTGAATTTACAGCTGAAGGAGCCATGCTTCGCGCATGTGGGTATATGGAACAATACCATCCCAACCTACCCGGTCGGTCATTTGAAAAATGTACAAGCAATTCGCAGTGCCATTAAAGACCGATTAGGTTCTGAATCCAGTGAAACCTTGCATCTTGTTGGGAGCGCTTTGGATGGAGTTGGTGTTAGTGACTGTGTCGCAAGCGCCGTGAAAGCTGTATGCAACTTCTCCAAGCGATTCACTACATAAAGTCGATGACAAGCGCAAGTGTCAAGCTGTATGATGAAGTATTTGGAAATAAAAAGAACACAAATAGGAAAAGGCTAACGTTTAATGCGCAAATAGCTACAGCTGCGAGCAAACACACCACAAGGTCGTTTTGTACATTTACTGCTAATAAGATCTCTTTTTAAAACCATATTTCTTCCTCTCATAGAAGAGATCAGTCTTAGCGCTTCCGAGATTCACTATTTTTGGACATCCGTCACGCTAGATAAATGTTAGTGTTATGAAGGGGGACTCACATCCTTCTCCATTATCGTACATTCTCGGCAGTAATAAGCATCCGATACACCTGTACCACCGCAGATGACGCATCTTCCTTGATACGAACCGTAGTTGCATTCATCACAAATGCGGACAAGGGTGCATGGCCGGACATAGGAGTCGCAGATCACACATTTCCCATCGCATTTCTCGCAAAGTCTACCAATAGCTGTGCCTTTAATGGTTTTAAACCTAAGACTTACAGACTCCTGGCTGCTTACGGCAAAAGATAAGGTCAGGATGATGTTTCGCCATAGGGATCGTTCGGAACAAATTAGCGAGGTGCAGGGAGTGACCATTCGGGCGCAGCGGGTCTAGGCTAGCGTATGGTGATGAAGTTTCGCTTAGCGCAAGGTGTTCTCAGGACGAAATAAATAATGCTCGGTAAGTACCGAACCACATGAGCAGATAAGTTGGACGAATATTATCAAAGTGTAGGCTACCTAGCAGTTTTGATTACTTGTCATGTTGTCCTGACATGCTGTTCATACTTTTCAATGTCAAACAATAATTACAAGCCGCTGCAGACCCAAATGGCAAGAAGACAGCTTTGTGGTTAATGTTTTAGCTAAAAACAACTTTTAAAAGGTCTGCAAATGTTTGGTTAAACATGGCTGGACTCTTATGCATCAGCTTGAAAATAATTAGCTAGCTGCCACTTTCACGAACCTGCGCGCAGCGGAATATGCGTTGCATTGTTTTTATTTATTTTGTTTTATTTTTATTTTATTATTTATTTATTATATTTGCTCACTTTTTTCGCAAATAAAAGGTGCAATTGCTATCAGAAACCTTTACTTTACGAGTGTGTGCAAGCGTGTGGGCGTGCATTAGCTTCAAAGACGGTTTTTTTTTCGCGATATTCCTTTGTTCTCACCTTGCTAGCATTATCAAGGTTAAACAAAGGGAAAGTTTTTTGGCGCCTATTTCGTTGCTTCCCTCTCAGTCTGCACACAACGGTCGATGGGTTTTCGTGGAGTGTTTAATCGCTCATATGGCGTTATTATTTGCTGATGTGTGCCTGTTCATGCGATATTTAAGCTCTGTATTACGTTCTAGGCACTTAGGTTTGTAATTTCACACGAATAGTTGGTTTGTAAAACATAAATATGGTCTGGACCACAATCTGAAGGTTACTTTGCACCAATATTTCCTCATTAATATTGTTTTAAGAGATATTTGCATCTTCTTTGTCTTTCTTCCATGTATACTTTGTTGGAATCGCAGATGACACAAGCACAATTTTTGCGTTATCATTTTCATCAGTTGCTTTCATGAATCGCACTGTGAGATGTGAACAGATCCGCCCCATCTGTAGTGATGGTGACGTTGTATCTGGTCGAAGTGGTCATCGGATAGTCTGCATTGCCGATGACATCTACGTCATTGGTGGATATGTTCAGTTACCGACAGGCCTGGAAGTGGTGGGCGAGGTGTGGGTCTACAACCTTCTGGCGGAGAGATGGCGTCGGCTCAACCTTCCGAATTGTCCCTTTCGCCTTGCTCTTTCCGCCTGTGCTCTTGTTGTGGGGAACCGCATCCTTATCCATGGTGGTACAGGCATTCCTTTTGCGGATGAGATCAATAACACTATCATTGAGATTGATGTGGTTATGGAGGAGTGCAAGGAGCATGCTTGTATTCCTAAGAATGCAGAGGAAAAAAATATTCCTGAGGCTACCTACGGTCACTCGCTGACCTACGTATGTCTATCTGAGGATGGGAATAATTTCAAGTCTCTTGATGGCGGTATGTTGGTCAAAGTGGGTGGAGCACGAGGCGCGCCATATTCTAACGTGGTGAGCGCATTTTCCTTCTCGACGGGAACGTGGGAGAGGCTTTTTGGTGGCGAAGGAATAGATTCTCTGGAAACTTTCACGCCTAGGTGGGTTTTTCTGGACTTCCCTTCCGCTAACTTGATCAATATTTGTCACGCGTGTCGGTTTCGATTATATTTATAATCTCGTAGATATCCATTTGGTCCACCATCAATTTAATTTTATTTATTACGTGAACCATTTCTCTCCAGCACATCTTATAGTGATAACCTTAATAAAATGACATTGCTATTCTCGCTGAGCAACTAGCTAAGCACTAGCAACTATTCTTCGGTTATTTATGGTACTATTTTTAAAATCGAGAGCCTGTGAATGGAAACCCGGTTCATGGACATTATTGGTTTATATCCGACGGGAATTTCACTTTTGAAGTGGCAGCTTAAGGATTAGTACTGTTCATAATATTTACTGGGTTGCGATGCCGAATCCAGCTCTGAGTTTATTAGAATGTGTGAATTTGCACAGTTGTGTTGCAAACCGTCGTTGATACCAATTTTTAGTTTGGGTTATATTTTTGGGGAGCTTTTAATGTAATTTTTGATAAAATAAGCATACATGCATTTAGAAAACTATTATTCCATAAAGACCGAACTCAGCGTTACAGCCTGACATCTCGATGTAAGGAATTACGGTCATTGTATTTGTACATTCCAATTCCGCTCTATTTTTTTCTCTCTCTAGATATCGACATGATGCCATTTTCTGGAACGAAGAGTTGTACATAATAGGCGGAACAAATTTCGAAGGCAGTTTGCCTTTTTGGCCGGTGAGTTTTTTACATGTTAGATAAGTCCTCAAAAGGTCCCAATACGAATATATTGCTACGACTATGAGTCAGTCGCGATCTTGAGCATTCATTGGTGAAGAACAGAAGCTTAAATGGTAATGCTGGAATAGGTGTTTCTCTTTTATGCTGAGAAATCTCAGGTGGTTCGGTACTTAGGATTACTGGTTCTGGTTGTATTAAATTTGAAGTGTAGGTCAGCGACAGCTTGGGCGATAAGTAGGTAATTTTATCTGCTTTGCTGCCCTAATTGAACCCACTTTCTTGGATTCCATTTTTGTTCATCACCCAGGAGTAGCGTCTGTCGGAAGTCCAGCATCTGACAGGCCCTGTTTAAGGACAGCCGAGACAGTACTTTGTTGCGTGCATGCACGCACAAGGGTGTTTGAAAAGAGGGTTGGGTTGTACCCTTCAAATAATCGCTTATTCTTCCAGATGCCCGTCTTTGACATACGAAGGCGGAGCTGGCGATATGTCAATTTCTCTGGTAGATGTCCGTCTCCTATTCGATATTCCTGTTCCGTTCACTTCGATAATGGTAGGTCGTATATCCATTACTTTCTTTGCCTCAGTTGGAAAATTGACAACTATGGGTTAAAATTGTTGCTTTTTTTGCAGTAATACAGTGTTTTGCTGTCTCATCTCCCTTCTGTCTACTTTGCAGTTGTTTACACGACCGGTGGGGTTGTGGACGATACAGATGAACTAAACGACCTGGTCTTTGCTTTTGATTTGGATTCGTTAGTCTTTTACACCGTCGGAAGCCAACCACTACCCACATTCTTTCATGACCTCACTGTCGCTCCTGGAGTAAGTTTAGATCCACATATTTGCACGGTTTTTTCACTTTGTTGGTGTTTCAAAATTATAACAACTTGGGTCTCAGAATTATTGGAAAATACACTTTCTTGCTGGGATCCACTTTTAATTATCAATCTTGAGTACTGAAGGTACTTGTTTATTGTGACCAATGGGGTGTCGTTTCATTTGCAATGTCGTTTAAACTATTTTAATGTTGTTTTTGCAAATAGTTGTGTTTTTAAGCTTACAATCTCCGTTTATGTAAATGTATTGAAGGTTTAAAGAAGGGTTAGCACGATTCATGACATTGCTGTTTTTGAACGAAAATTTCAGGCTATTTTTACAACTAATCACGGTGCCGATATCCTTAGCAAGTTTGCATTAACAACCTTTGGTATTTATTCCATCTGCATCGACTATTTACGGATGTGTTAACGCATTATACGTTGCATTTATTACCAGGTGTTTGCTTCGTTTCAACGGTCTGGCTCAAAGAAAGCGTTCCACTGTGAAGCTACACTTCGGAAAATCTTTTGTTAGAGAGGAAATGTGTGGCAGTGGTTGTTTAGACATGATTGATGTGAGAACTACTAACCGCATGTGTTACAGCGTTACGAGTTCTTCTCCTTCGGCGGTGTGAGGGAAGAAACACGAGTGAACCACTTGCACCGCTTTCGACTGATGCACCGACCAAACAGTCTGGCAGAGCTGTGCTGGCGGCAAGTCGCTCTTCTTCTACGAGCTTTCTTTTCTTCCGATCTTGCGATGTCGCACCTCCCTCAGATGCTACGTGCTGCTTCTGCAACTCTTCTCGGTCTTCCTCCTACCAGCTCAACTTTTGACACTCCCCCTGCTTCGTCTGGCGTCATTGCTGTGACCAATGATGTTGCTCCTGGCGGTGTGCGGAGTCTCTTCGCCTACACCAGGCATATTTTCTCGTACCTCCTTAGTCATTTGGGATGTGAGTTTGAGTTGTTATGCCAGGAGATTTTGGTACAAATATTAGGAGATTCTCATTCTCCCATGCCACACTGCATTTCCGCCAACTTATCCGTTTCTTTTCGGTGTCTGTGTTTGCATTTCTGGTGGATAGGAAAAGCTATGGAGAAGAATTTAACTTGAAATAGTTTGATGTTAATGTCTGCTAATATCCGTTGCTAGCATTGAGGTCATTGTCGGCCGTTAATACCTCGGATACATTTCATGTACAGACATATGGCAGTTTTTATTAACTCACGATCTCGAATATCAAGTTCTCTACTAGCAGCTTCATGCAGGCAAAGTGCTTGAAATCTGGGCAGCCAAAGGTAGCGTTCCCATATCTTTTTTTTTAGTTAATTTTACGCGAATTTTTCTCTGAGCTCCCTTACCATTTCATATTTTGTTATTGCGGACGGAGTTTCTTCTGGTTACATTAAAGATAAACTAAACATGATATATCATAAACGTGAGTTACATCTACGCAATCGGTTGTGAAAGTTTAAAGTTGTTTTCATACCTTGAGGTTATTGCTGCTTACTAAATGACAATTCGTGCATTCAATGCTGTTGGCGTGCATGACACTATGCGCATTCATTTAATGCCCTTTGAGGCACCTTGTACCAGATGGGAAGCGTTCCTTTTACTGACATCCACTTTGGGATTGCTGTGACTTCCTAAATAAATGCTTCTTTATAAAGGCAATTGTGCCATGTGCTTTGTTAATGCATTCTCAACCCTATAGAGGAACTTTGGGGTTAATTGTCATGCTTCAATCATGAAATTGCTTTGGTGAAAAGTAATGACGTAAGACTTCAGTGGAAGTTAATGCTGCACTATGTATTCGTTCCGTTTTCGTGCTGCAACATTGCCAAAGATGAGGGCTTTACTTGTGAAAGGCATACTTGCTACCCTGAGGCCGAAATTCGTTACTGCTGTTAACTTTCTTGTGCCTCATGCATTATCTCTCATTTTTTAGATACGGAGAGAAAACAGATGTACATCTCGGCAGAATCCACATCAGAGTCGGCTGAGGTTTTCTTCGACTCAATGATGGCTATCTTCACGGATATTGTCAACTCAATTAAAGGTGATTCGCCACCAGTTTATCTGCCATTAGTTTAAAACAAAGTTGAAATTAAGGCTGCGATGATGTCAGAAATTGAAGCCATGGTGCTGCGTAGCAGGTCTTCACTTTGCAAGCCATTTGAGAGGCTAAGTAGTGCCTATTGAGATTCGGGAAGCAACTAACTTTACAAAATGTACTTCAAGTAAGTACTTGGTGTTCACGATTTACGATTCATAGACAAAGTTGTTGCAACAGCCTCACCCTTGTAAGTCTTGACTGGGTTAACTGCAGTTATCTTGTAGTTGAAGCAAACGCAAAATGATGGGAAAACTTCATTTTTTGCGATGTCTCGTTACCCCATGTGAGGCGGCATAAGTGAATCCGCTCTGAGCTTATGTTTTTGTTCACCTTTTCCTTTTTTTAATAACAGAGCGCCAGTTGGATCCTGTGGAGTGCGTGTCAATTTTTTTGACAGTCCTGTTCTATTGCAACGGAGCACCTCTGCAATATGTGACGCGTCTGCCCTACGGCTTTCGCTGCTTCAACACCGTCTGTCATTACATGGAGAAGTTGTCGGCCGACGATGATTCCGAGGAATCCGCAAGGCCGCACAAGAGAATGTACTTCGCTCCTGCATAAACCTCGTTCTATTGGCACATTTCTGTAAATAGATTCATTTTTTGAACATTATGAAGAACCGTTTTGTACAGTAGTGTTGATTTAAGGAAAATTGTTTCTTCCAGAGGCAAGACCTTGGAACCCAAGGCATTCGAGCTTCTTCAACCATAATTGCTAATAGGAATTGAAATGGTCTCTCGGTTTTTTGCCTGTCAAGGTGTTGTTGGACTTGGCGAGGCCATTAAAACACTCGCTCAGATCAGCGATCGGACCAGATTTTAGGATCATTGAATGCTGGTTTACTGACTTGATTATCACACTCAAACCGTATTTGAATGCGGAACCTATGTGATATGCTGCTTAGCTTGTCGGCCACACTTTCTCTTACGGATCGAGGGCATACTTGTGAGAACAGATGATCGTTTAGTGAACCGTAGTAAATCAAATTATGCGACTAACAGATGAGCTTAAAACATTATGAGGAAACAATGACTACAACTGAAAATTGCTGAAGAGTGTAGTGGAACATTTTTACTTGGTGGCTCAGCTACACTGGCGCCCTTCCACTCTGGTATATTGTACCATGATAATAATCTTCTGAAATTTCCTGCGCATCTTCATTCGCCAGTGAGTCCGATCCAAAAGCACGTTTTCTGATGTCTGTGACTGGGTACAAAACCGCAACTTTACGAGGAGAGGACATTTCCGCCCAAGTATAGGTCTTCAAATTATTAATTGAAAGGTCAGGAAAGATAGCTGTCTATGGAGAACTACGGAAACATTGGATTTGATTCGTTTGGAAGCATTGCTGTGGAACCATCCGTAGATAGTCATATAACGATGCTGAACAGGCGAACAAGCAACATCGCATCCAAGCTACCACATAAAGGAAAGACCTGACACGAGGACTCAGATAGAGCTGGGAGTAGGGTAAAGTAATGGAGTGTGCCGGACGCAATACGCTTTCCTTGAACTGTCCTGGGTCGTGCGTTTTATTAATCACTTTCACAGTGGACCAACATTCAAATGGTCTGCGATTGGTGCTCGTGATGATATCCGACTGGTAGGAGATTGGAAGAAAAATGCGACTTAATGCTGGTTTTGATAGGATTGTCAAAACTATCTATCTTGAAGTAAAAGCGAGAGACCCTCTGTGCAAGAAATTTAAATAGATGTTGTTGTTGATTAGCGAGTGCTAAAACAATATTGTGCTATAGGCAGTGCAGTGTATTGTAACCCTTAAGCTCGATCGAACTACGAGGCAACACAATCTTCCAACCCAGCTATGAGATTTAAGCCCTTACTCCGTATTAGTTGTTCAGTGTGTTCATGACGCCAGAGTGAACTTGGAGTGTGTGAGGTTTAAAATCTGGCCTTATTTGGTTGTAATCAGATTATTTTATAAACAACACTACCTACTACACATGAGATTTCTAGATCCGCTGAGACGTAAGATTTTATGGTACCATTATACAACCAAGACCAAAAAGTTTGAGCGATTAATAAATTGCTTCAGATATGGTAGTTCGAGGCACAAGTACAATTTGCAAGTCCGTAAGTAATTAAGCATCAAAACGCTTCGTCCGACTGTAATATATACAAGTGTTTAAGTTGACCTTTATAGGAGGGAGGTGGAAACCAAATTGTAATGTTAATGCCGTGCGCAATTACCGTAGGGAATACCTCTCCAGGTGATAGCGGCTATTCTGTAATGTTTTGTTTATAGGAGTGCCTGCACTTTGGCGGTCACTTTAGAATTTGTCTGACCTCTATACACGTCGGCTGGCCTTCGGGCCCCATTTGCTCTGTCGTCTTCGGAATACATGTGTTAAGCCTCACTTATGCCTTCTACTACCCTATGGGAAGCCCCATGACGCTATATATTCGGCGCACTTGCCCTCTCATCCCCGTACTTTCCGCACTAAATGCCTAATAATTCTCTGCAAATACTCTTCTCATAAAGCCCGTGGTTTGGGGGGTGGGGACAGGTAGGTCTCCCTGCACTGACATCCTGCAATGACACACCTTGTATTTGATCACTTAATTCAATTGTTTATGTGAGCGAAAGCTTCTTAAGTTCTATTTAGTGAATAAAGGTAACTTAGTTAATCTGCTGTGCACTGAGGGTTTTCACGAATATTTGCATTGCGATATTTAGTCATGATTGCCTTTGCTTACAAACCTTTCTGTCCTAGAATTGTATCTTTGTTCTCCTCGGTCACGCAATGTTAGCCCGTAAATCTGAAGGTCATCAAACCAACCAATTACATTATGAACTGACAAGGTTCTGGTGGATGCTACTGTGGTGTTTGGTATTGTAACCATGGTTGAAGCATCGGCGAATCTAGTCATTGAACAGGAGAAATCAATAGTTTTCAATGAATTTCAGCATCTAGATGCGTTTTATACCTTGTTTGACACAATTTGCAGTTCAGTTGGGGATGTTCGTAAGGAGGAGACACTGCTTACCAAATTTGCAAGTTTGTTCTTATTTCCTCCAACTTAGACGTAATAGTAATCTTTGGATGGTATCAAGAGCAGCCCCATCTTTTGGACCCATATTTGAATGAGATGCTGGGGAAGTGCATCGCACTAATTTACAGCAACATTGAAAGTCCCAAGATATACCACTTTGTGTTTAAGATCATTCACCTGATGACGAATACGAGAGGTTACAAGAGTCTTATTCGTTTAATGCCGCATACGGTGGATGACTTAGAACCTGTTTTTGATCTCCTTAAGCTTCAGGATATTGATGATCACAATGTAAGCCTACAATTTAGTAGTTTATTTAAAATATCCAGAATTGGCAGACTCGTTATGTGCTGCTGCTATGGCTATCAATCGTTATCATGGTGCCTTTTGCACTTGAGCGGCTTGAGAAGCCGGGTAAAGCACCACTAATTGAGCGTATCTTGAGCGAAGCCAAGAAGCATGTTGTCCTGGTCGACACCACCCAAATAGCTGCTGCACACCTTTTGGCAAAATTCATATCGCGTCCAGATGTGTACCCATCAAAGCTGGAGGATGTTATTCTTTGGGCTGAGGGTGAACTGAAGGAAGCCAATTGTAAGCCCTTTTATTGCAAATCAAGTTTTTGCACACTGTAGCTTTCTATCGGCGTGTTTACTTATTGTTCTATCGTTTTCAATTAGGGATTGCCACTCGGTAATAGACGTCAGCCGTGCGCTTGATACATTGTCAAAATTTGCATAACAAATTTTCTTCACGTTTCTTAAATACCGTATGATGGAGGTTGCATGGATTGGAAGATTTATTGTATTTCGTTGAAAATTTCATGTAGATGATTCACAAAGGGATCAAATGCGTGTAGCTGGTTTTCTTCGTGGCCTTGCCAGCATTTGTAAGATCGTGCCTCGTCATGTTCTTCTTCCCTTCGCACTACGACTGCTCGATATTATCACCAGCGTGGTGCCGGATAAGGTATCCGGAAATATTCTCCTTGCTCGTCTCCGTTGTAAGCTCATTCAGCGTGTGGGATTGCTGTTCTGTCGCCGTAGGGCTGCTGCAGCGTCTTGGCGCTATCAACGTGGCTTTCGCTCTCTTGCCGACAACCTCAGCTCTCTGACTCATCAACAGGCTACCATCGAGAGCGGCGGAGACGTACAGAAAATGGGGCCTGCGCCTGCGGCAGCTTCCTATCTGACATCTAAAGGCATCAAAAAAGAGGACGATGGATTCGAGGAGGATGACGATGTTGAATCACCAGATGAGGTTGCGATTGTGATTGACAACTTGATTGATGCATTGAGAAGTAAATTTACGTGTGTTCGATGGTCAGCCGCTAAAGGGTATGGCCTTAGTGAATGTTTTTTTATGAGTTCGTGCTTTGTTTTGATCTCCGTATTGCGTGCTTCAGGGTTGGTCGAATATGTTCTCGACTGACTGCCCCGTATGTAGATGACGTGCTTACCGCAATTTTGGATCTCTGCACGCGACTGGAAACCTTCTCGGCGTGGCATGGTGCATGTTTTGCGCTTGCGGAACTTGGGAGACGGTGTCTTCTCTTACCGGAAAAACTTCCGAGGGTAACACCGATGGCTGATCTTGCATTTTTGCACACTTTCGTTGCATTGAGTATTTTTGCTTTTGTAGGTCATCCCTGTCGTTTTAACAGCACTGTTCTACGATGAGAAGTCTGGTGATTGCAACTTTGGATCTAATGTGCGCGACGCAGCCTGCTATTGCTGTTGGGCTTTTGCTAGAGCCTATAAGGCCTCTGACTTTGCTTGCCATGTGCACGAGGTATCACAGAAACTCATTCTCTCCGCTCTCTTTGACCGGGAGCTAAATGTTCGGAGGGCAGCAGCAGCAGCTTTTCAGGAGAATGTTGGTCGTCAGGTAAATGTTTTGTTTTCTCTTGTTGATTTTGATTTTGCTTTGCTACCATTGCCATAATTTTAAAGCTCCTTTGTTTACTTTAAAGGGACAGTTTGCTAATGGCATCGAAATCATCACGACTGTAGATTACTTTGCCGTTGGGAGTATTTCCAACTGCTATCTCAACTTGAGGTTTGTGGAGCCATACTTTTAAAGCTTAATCTTGTTGAGCTTGAATTTGTCATAGTTAGATCTGGTTTCCATTTGCTAAACTAATTCCATTTGAAAGCGCTAGCTTTAGTTATTTCTTTAATACAGCTGTAATTTCTAAGTATTAACTTGCTATCTTATTGTACTATATTGTTTTTTTTTAAGTAAGTTTGTGGCAGGTTTCAGTGAGTACACGCTTGCTGTCGTGGAGCATCTTGCTTTCTGGAGACTTGGGCATTGGGATGAAAATATACGTGACATGGCTGCTCGTTCTCTAAATAACCTGTTCCCGCTTGCTGCAGACTACATTGTTCAATCAAGTGAGCTTTTTGTTCATCCACAGTGGCTCTGTTGTCCCAAACCTCTAAACATAAACTACCATTTGGGAATTTACTCTAACTAAAGGCGGGTTTCTTGCCGTAATATAAGCCTTATGTCCCCTTCATATGCCTCATAGTTTTGCCCCAACTCGTAAAGAACGTGAGTGGCACGGATCTATATATGAGGCAGGGTAGCGTTCTGGGCATCGCAGAATTGATTCAACCCCTATCAGAGTAAGCTGTTTTCCTCAATTACTCATCTTACTAGTTTTCTGTCTTTAAACTTATCTTTTCTTGTATTTTGTTAGAATGAATTCCCTCTCTGACGCAGTCATTGATAGCATCGCGGAGATTGTTCCCCAGGTACTAGCTTCCTGCCTCGGGTGACCCAAATTTTTTAAAGCAAAACCGAACATTTTGCCGCTAAGGTTAAACCTTCACTTTGTGTTTGTATAGACCACGTTCAGTCACGCCTACTCTTCATTCGTTGTTTCTCCTTTCCTTAATATTATATCTGGAGATTTTTTGGCGCATCTCCGTTTTTATTTTCGTTAGTCTTGGTTTCATTCATCTCAAGCGGTTGTTATCAGGATTTATAGAAAGTTTAGGTCATTATTACAATTTAATTCATCTTTCTTTCCTCTAGCTAGAACAACGTAAGCTCTTCAATGGAGTCGCAGGTGAACTAATGCGCCGTGCCTGCTGTCGCCTCATTGAGAAGGTGTCGATTTCCAAATTGTCCTTTTATGAGCATCCGATTATTGGTAATTCGGCTACTCGGAATTGTTGTGCTGGCCCCTTTGCCCACGTGCCTTCTAATCGCTGCGTTTTCATGCACTTTAGAAAGATGGAGGGGCTTTCTCGATGCCTGTTTAACACATAAGGAAACAAGTGTCAGAGTGGGTTCACATTTCCTACTTTAATTCCTCATCTTTGCTACTGTTTATGTTGTCCGTACTGTCCACTCTCTTTTACACGGTCTTTCATGTTTTCCTTAGGATCCCGCTATTCCGGCTTATGGTGCGCTCCTTTCAACATACATCTTTAACAAGGATGGAGCTCTAAGGAGAGACTATCGTGGTGGGTTTCATTACCAGCCTCTTGATGCTTGTAACCACGACCCAGCACTTTCATTATACCTACGCGCGTTTTGATTTTCCCCTATTCTAATGCACAAAATATTTGGACATTCGGCAGTGGGATGAATGCAGTACCTTGGCATTGAGCTTATTATTGCCTTGCCAAGCAAAACCTGTATATCTGATGAGATATTTAGGCAGTTGAATGATATCTTTCCGCCGTTTCTGCGAATGAGCACGTTATTGCTTACTATGAAGATTTTAGCATTATGTTTCAAATCTTTAACTGTACCGCTATTTTAACATTGCAAAGCTAGATTATCAATGTTCTGTTTTGTTGCGTTCACTGTCTGTGTCTTTCATTTGGTGCTTATGACAATCGCTTTTGCCAGACATGCTGTTGGCTCACTTGTTGGAGAATCTTAACGCTCGAACGGAGAGTTGCCAGGTTGGGTATTTGGGCGTGTTAAGCCAAGCACCAGGTTTTCTCTTCGTTGACAATATCGATGAGAGTCTTCGCGCCATCAGTGCCTGCTGCCGACCCGTAAAACTCACCCTCCTCTGGGGCAATGCACGCCAACGCGCTCTCTCAACTCTTGCCGAGTACACCTCCTTCTCCTTCCTGGAATTTCACTGTTATTTAAAAGTATCATAAACTAATGGTTTGCCATTGCAATTCTACCTTAATTGCTCCGTTTTTGAGTTATCACCTCTAGGGTTGGTACCCGACCGACTTAATGCCTTCAAATTCTTTAGAGTTGTCAAGCATATTGGAATGGAAGAGAGTAAAATTTCATGTAATCAGCTGCGCTCTCTTTACCCTGTCTTCCTTGGTTCACTTGCGGACTACACAACTGATTCTCGAGGTGACATAGGTTCGATGTGAGTCTCGTTTCTTTTTGCATATGTACATTTCTACTGTTGGGTTTGGTCGCCAGTTTCCTTTTACTTTACGACAAACCATTCAAAGAGCAGATTCTTTTTGCTAATCCCGTCTTATGGGCAATAAAAGTTGCCTATAAGATTGTAATCTGGGGTAATTTTGTTCTTGAACAAGTGAGTTCACCTCTTGTCATTATCCACTTCAAACATCTTCCGTCTCGACTGAGTTTCTTTTGTATCAATTGCAAACATTTTGAGGCAATTTTCAATGTATAATCGTAGTGCTGTCAATCCTGCTTAGCGTACGGGAGGCGGGTATGCAAGCACTGCTGGATTTTTCCAGCAATTTGGTGAAGTTTGGTCGTTTTGGTGTCATCGAAAGTGACGTGTAAGTTTGTACCCATTGGTTGGATCAAAATCCACTTTTAATTACGATTTTTCATTTTTCCATATAAAATGTGAACGAAGTAGCCTTTTAACTATTTTGATATTGAGAAAGCCAAAGAATGCCTGCTTGCTTCTCTATGTTAATAAATAATTTAGTCAAATGCTTGTAAATGTTCTTATTGTCTTCATTTTTTGACTAAAGAATCTGAAGGAAAACACGTGTCGCTTAGCATCGGTCAGGCCTGCCAGAACACTTTAGTTACAATGCATTTTTTTTGGAATCGTAAGATTTTGTCACAATAGTTCCAGTATCTCGACTATTCTGCATGTAGAAATGCTGTGTTTCCTCAAGCTTAATCAATGGTCCTGTTATTATTCCACCACTTATCGTTTTGCTAAGCTCACTGCTGTTTCTAACTTCTCTAAAGTAGGTCAACTCACATAGGCTATTGTATTGAATACTCCTGAACCATGTGGGCATTTATCTTTCGCTTAGAATGGAGCAAGTGTGTGTCCAGGTTGCGCGACAAGCAGTGGAAAAGATTGATCGAACAAGAGCCACGGCAGGTCAAGTCTTTGTTGGCCTCCTCAATCATGAGTAATGTTCCTACTTGGGCTATTTTCTGATCTTGCTATTTTTAAATTCTACCACAATTCAATTTCTTTGCCTCGCTTAGGCCGGAGATTCCCCATATTCCTCATGCAGATGCTCTGCGGGTCATTTTTACCGAGTAGGTTCATACTACCACATTTTCTGGATCTTTAGTTCCTCAGTTTCCTAGTTAGTCCAACTTATGACAGTGGAAATCTCTAAGTTTTTATTCTTTTGATTCTTACAGAAAACGTAAGTGTAGTTCAGAATCTATCAGCCTCCTAAATAAACCACTTCCTTCTAAACTTAATAGTGAGAAAGGACGAATTATTAGAGTAAAGTCCTTTTGTACTTGGAGCATTTCAAGTAGGCGTCATCTTAGCACAACCCTTATGTTGGTCTCCCGTGTTGTCAGTGATTTCTTTTGTTTCAGTGAAGTTCTAGAAGAAGTGCATTGGCGCACGGCTGAAACGACATTTCCTCTCTTTGTACAGCTGTTTGATTTCTCCGATTTCCACTATCAGCTCGTTCTTGGTTTTTCTGCTAGTATAGGTAGTGTTACGGAGAACACCGTAAGTTGCTTACAGTGTGTTTTATTCCTAAGTGCATCAACTCCACCGTTCACCATGTTTTCCAAACCTTGCAGGTCAAAGCCAGCTCAGCTGCCTTGCATGATTACATTGTCAAGCATGAGACTGATCCCGATTTTATTTTGCGTCTCATGAAGACCGTTGGTCGGATATTCACAACTCTTAGCGAACAGCCCAGGTTGGTCAAATGTCAACTCATTATTGAGACACTTGTCAGTGTCTTGATATAAAAAGCTTGCTGAACAGCATAAAACTGCCCTGAGGATATTTGATATCCCACTCAATGCTTGGCTACTTTCTAACGACTGCCTTTTTTATCGTCAGACTGTGTCTTTCTCTGTTGCGCTTTCTCGACTTCCTCCTCTGTGATCCTGTAATTGCCGCCTGCATGGAATCTCACCTGTACGCATATTTCTCTCCTTGAAACGTTTCATCATTCGTATACGTAGGTAACATGTCTTGTTATTTTCTTTAGAATCTAGTTCGAAAATGGCTTTTTAATAAGCATTTTTATAGCCACAGATCTGCTTGAGTGCGCTTTTTTGCGTCCTGTTGGCAGTTTTAAAGTCTCCTGAAGTAAACTGTAAGTAAATGTTTTGTACTCCTTTTGTGATTCAGGTCCCTTGTTGACCAACTGGTTTCTTGCACTTGGAAATTCATCCGGCTGTCGACTGAGGTCGCCAAGCTCAAGTCGGCCATTGATATGTATGTTCTTTTTCCTTGAAGCAAAACGAACGCTACCAATTAACAGGGACAAGCAAATAAACTGAATGCCGATTTGACGCGTGACAAGTGTTAATGCGATGAATTTTAAGGTTCAGGAAATTTTGTTTTGTTTGACGTGATAGTTGATCTAATGTTGCTCATGACAGAAGTTTGTGATTAACAAGACCAATGACACAATTTGTCCACATTTTTTGGCTTTCCCATATGTTTGTGTTTGTTTCTCATTTTTTGGCCCAGAATATTTTCAGTTTACTTTGAAATATGTCTTAAATGCATCGCTAGTTTTGCCGAACCTAGCCTCTCTTATGACTCCACTTTTCTTGATTTTATGGAAAACTCTGCATTTTTGTGTTCGTAAACTCGTAGTTTGATCCTGCTCTTGATATTTTCATTGTTCTGTAGGTGGTACCATAAATGTTCAGGTCCGCTTGCATTTTGAATTCCTTTATCGAACAAAGTTGATGCTACGTTGTTGTTTGACAATTTTTGCGTTGCAGATACGGTGCAGCTCTCCAATTCGCTGACCCGGTGCGACACAAGGCTGCTCAGTATCTAACACAAAGTCTTCGTCATCGGTACCCTATAGTAAGCTATTTTCGACCCTTTAACGGTTATTTGGGTAGGCATTACCATATAACTTTCTAAAAGCAACTTCCATTAGTTTGTCTGGAAAGAAGTTATTGCACTAGAAAGGCCCTCGTGAGTGCATCACTAAGTTGTATTCCGACTACTAATGTTTTGTCACAGATCCGTAAAACCGCCGCAACCAAACTCTTTGAATGCATTTTGATCTACGACGTGGTGGAACCCGAAATAAATAGTGAACTCTCTGATCTATTGTCCGAAACAGTTTGGTGAGTTTATGCGAAAATTTTAAAGTTTAAAACAGAGTTTTTGTCATTATTAGGGTTTCGACATTTGCAAAGTAGCCTAGATTCCGGGCTGCAGAATTTATCAGTCGAAATGTTTCAAAGAATTTAACAATCTAAATTATATAGCTGCCGCTTTAATGTGGATCTATTTCCTTGCCTCAAAAATAAATGTATGGATTCTGGAGCCAGAGAGAGATTTCTGTGCTTATTTACGCTAGGGAACAAGAGCTTGCAGAACTGAAACCAACTCGTCTGCGCATTTGCGAGTTACTCGGTGTGCCATCCACAAGACCTGATTCCGCCGCATCCAACGGATAGACACTTCCCATCGTTACCCGTTTTAAGTTTGCAGATATTTTCCTTACGACAATCGAAATATTTCTCGCTTGGTTCATATTCGAGTTGCTATTTCTATTTGAATCTTTCAATACCCGTTGGTAAATAAATGTCTTCTCGGTGAACTCTCCTAGTTTTTACACTTTAGAGTTAGTGTAGCCTCTGGTCTCAGTTTGAGCTTTTTCCCATCAGGATTTGTAAAAGGGTATAAGCCTGTCATAAACTCATTTGGTGTTGTTAAAGTCTACACTGATGAAGTGTGTGTGGAGGCGTTTGAGTCGAATCTCGTATTTCACTTACGAAACTCGCCTAAGTAGCCTGTTCTGCAGTTAAATGTATTTGGCGCTGCGTGTTTTAGGGCGACTTATATTTTCAGCATTGGTGAAGGGAGGCTAGTGCGTAGCCCGGTGATACTTGGGCAGCGTTGCGACTCTTGGAGAATGGGTGGCAGAAAGACAGTTAAAATCGTGTGACAGGGTTTAAGAGTTGCTGTAATTGTGGGAGCTAGTGTGGGAGGTTACTCAAATTATCGCTTGTAGTGAGAAGTCTCTCTTAGATACTGTAAACTAATCGCCAGTCATGTGAATAAACGGTCGACTACAACAAAATAATTTAAACACATGCAAATGCTTCCGTGGCGAAACTGATATTGCTTGTTTTAATCACTACACATTATTGCTACAGCATCAAAGCGTCAGGCTATCACATTGTCCGATGGCGAAACCTAAAGAGAAGATCTTACATCCTTCAAGCAGAAAAGCGATGCAAAGAATGTCAAGGGAACATCATGCAATCAAAGTTGCTAAGTATGTTCTTCGTATTGTTACGTAGGATCATAGGCGCAAAAAATTGAGAAAAAGTAAGGATGAATTGAAAAGTAAGGCCAATTTGTGAGTTCATTTAAGGACACAAGATGATGTGGTTTAAGGAGAACATTCCTCAACATAAGACCTCATTAACTGTTGATGATCTGCGTCTGCTTATTGTCAGGTTCGCCATTTTTTCATTCATTTCATCTTGTTTCTCTGCACTATGGATCAATCTGGCTATCTTTACTCCTTATTTGGAAATGGCTTATCTGTATATCAAATAAGGTCCGTGCAGCGTCGTTCCTCCACATGCGCCCATCCACGTCCTGAGTCGATTTCTTATTTGCTTGCTAAATTGAATCCAGCTGCTGTAGACCTGCTGAGTTGTCGTGGTGGAATGCAGCTTTGAAAGCTTTAGTCTACTTTTCCTGTAAGGTACCTACACCGATTTGACCTTGAGAATAAGAGCGAGAAAAAGGAAGCCGAAAACTGTTCGATTTCGATGGCGATCGACATGACCAACGAGCTCGCAAAGCAGGAAGTCCAAGAGTTCGCTACAATTGGACTACTGGTGCCCAATCTCACGTCGAAGGAGAATTTGGCAAAGTTCATGAAGTGGAATGGTGAAATCGATAAGATGGTAGCTTTTCCCATGGTCCGCATTAAAAAAAGTACGAAGTAATTTTCTATAACTCGTTTAATAATTGCTTGTACAATGTCCTCTAAAAAATGAAAGACGAGTCCCAAATGTCGTTTGCATTGCTTTGTGTCAAGACGCTGTGCTGCTCCTTGCCGGGTTCGGCTCCCGAACGTAGGCCTGACATATCCAGTGTGGTTTAGCTAGCCCCCGTGGCTCGGAAGACATTGACCAGTTTCCATTCAGCATGCATTCATTCTACAACAAAGGAAATGTACGACCTGAATCTTGCTTCACTCTAACTAGGTCTCACAGCATTCTAACACCAAAACGTGACGAGCACAAAGGGTGGGGAAAAATCGAGAGATATCTGTGCGTAAAGTGAAGTACCTCACAAATTGTCCTGAGGTCACGTGCGAAGTCTCCCACTTCTTGCATCGTACGCGAGGAGGCGAGACGTTCACGCATCTCTGTGTGAACATCCATTCTTGAATTTTAAAGATTGGAGTAAAACACGAGAGTATACCTACGTGTTGCGGAAAAGTTTGAAGAGATGGCCTCGAACAAACGATAACGGACAGGGATATTTCTCAACAAAATTCATATATTCGCCGGCCATTTGGAAGACCGTGCATTCCAGACCCGAAAATATTGTCGGATTGTACAATTGAGACTCTGAGAGACTACTGAACAGGGAAGAACACACATACCTGCACTCATGACCGCGTCGGCTCGAGTAACTTTAAGACATTCATCTATGTCTTCGAAACACATGATATTCCCATTAGCGATTACCGGAACATTAACTCCTTCCCTTAAAATAAATTAAATAATGGTAATGTGTTATATGTAGGGGACGTGTGGTCCTTGTAAGTGTATTCCAGAAGTGAAAAGAAGATAAAACCACATTATGTTCATGTGCGAAAATGTCTATCAGTAGCTGATACCAAAACTTGCAAATCATACTTGACAGCCCGTATCTGCAACCAATCCGCAAATCCGGTCCGAGGCCCATTCTGTTCCCGGGTTCGTCCATGAACGGTGATAAGAGAGGCTCCAGCAGCTTCTAGCATTTTGGCGTAGGAAATAGTTCGCTCAACATCTGGGAAAATGCGTATTTTCACGGATACCGGCACCGACACGGTGGATTTGCACGTACGTACTAAATTAGTAACATTTTCAACGACGTCGCTGCGGCGTACCCATCGCTGCTATGAGTTCCCACTCGTCTTGAAGAAACGATCCATAGTGACCTCTGCGAGCAATTCCTTGTGGACATCCAAGATTCAGATCAACACCATCACAGTACTTCTCTACTACCTTTGCAGAGGCCGCAAACAATTCAGGAGAATTCCCACAAAACTAAACACTCGCTAAGAGAACAAAACCACACCTGTGCAATACACGGTCTATCTTCTTCCGAAAATTCCAATGCCTTAGCTCGATATTTCGGGTCCTTCATGAACTGCTTGATGTTAATCATTGGGGTGAACGTGACATGCGCACCGTACTTTCTCGAAAGCATGCGCCAAGCTAGTTCGCTGTGGTCAACCATCGGAGCTAGAACGAACTTGTAACGTTCTGTTAGAAAACTTTTGTTAATTTTGGTGTTTTGATCCATTCAGAAACCGACAATCCGACTGCCCTGCACTGACCCGTGCAACGCCCAACCCGCTTAATGCATGAAGACGTCGCAGCATTCAATAAAACAACCTCCAGCTGCGAATAAAATAAATTACAACTTTCTGCCACAATTACTTCAATTAATCAATATTTTCGTAAGGTTTTTTGTGTGCACAATTTATCCAATTCACCTTGTAAATTGTTTTTGATTTTCACAAACTCCAACGGGATAAGGAGACCTCCAACACGCACATAACCCCCGAACTTGCAAATGGACTGTGGCGCCCCGAGACTCCCTAACCGATACAAGAAGTCAGTAATCGCACCCGATTGCATGCGTCCCGAAGACAACAGCGTAGATGAGCCTAGGCGTGGCCCGAAGGCTAGCCCACGAGCACAAAGGCCAGACAGATACCAAGGTGACGAGGCATTGCATGCACGACTAAGAAGCGCTAGGACACCCACGCACCTGAAGCACTCACTAACGATACGCCCAAGCGTAAAACGCGACAACACCACCGCGTCTCCACCCACCTTGCAACACTATACTACGCTAAAAACCCGAAAGCTAAAACTGGAACATGAAATTTCAAAAAGGCACCCCTACCGCTGCGTACCATTAACTTCAAGTAGATTGTACCCTAGACCTCTAGAGAAGCCTTTCTTCCTGTTCATCAATAATAAGCGCATCCATGATACCATGTCCCATTCCGACTTCAGAGGGGAACTTCAGCTTCCAAAAGTATCAACGAGAGAAATGAAATACAAAACGCAATAGTTACATGTGCGACAAACCGAGATGAAGCAAGTTAAAAGCGTAAAAAATAGGAGACATCAGGCCCTCAACCTACATTAAAAACAAATTTGTCAGCGCTATCTCATTCTCAAGCATTGGGTTGGGGGTCAGGTTCCTTATTCCAATCCTTAAGGCCAGGTGGAAGATCAGTCTCCTCGTCAAGTGGACCTGGGAATAGATAATACCAATTTAATGCTAAGAGAAAGTGCTTAAATCACGTACCAACGCCTTAAATCGTTTTGGATGATGAAAGCAAAGAGCATCTCATATCAACTGCGTAAATAAAATCACTAACACCGATGATTTGAGAAATAAAAGACTGTATCGAGAAATGGAGAATACAAAGACACTTTTATCTTACCAGATCCAATAAGCTCCTCGTAGGTACTTTTTTCTTGGAAGGGTCGTGGGCCAAGTATTTCCACTAAATCCTCCTTCTGAAGTTGTTCCTTCTCCAGAAGTCGAAGCGCCAACTGCAAAATGCATTTACATATCATCTATTGGCTTCATTTCATTACAATGAAATTGTTCTGGATGAGATGAGCGAAACTCACAGCCTCGATGTGACCTTTATGCTCTTCAACAAGTTTAAGGGTTCGATCATAGGCCCTAGCAACAAGATCCCGCACCTCTTCGTCGATTATTTGGGCAGTGTGCTCTGAATAGGGCTTCGTCATGACCGGCTCACCTTGCTGAGGTAGATCAAAGGAGAGGTTGCCCACTTTTGGAGAGAAACCCAGTTGAACAACCTAAGACAGCAGATTTTGAGACAAGGATTGCCAAACAGACGTTAGTGAGACAATGCTTCACATCAATGCCAGATAAAAAGTCAGCTGAATGACACTTTTGCAAAAGATTCTTCAGTCGTTTGTTTAAGCGTCCAATGCAGAATCGATGCAACGTGCCGCATTTAGAACTTTAGTACTGCCGTCTTTGGCGATAATCTTCGATGTCAGCATTCTGAGCTAATTATTCACCGATGTCCTCTAAAAATTTGCTCTGCATGATAGCGTTACCTTACAATGGCCAAACTAAATAAGGGAAGATCAATTTCAAATCATTAGGAAGACCGGGAAAATGACGAATTTGAACCACAATTGTGGATCCATGAAGTGCTTTGGACAACAGTACGGGCACTAGAGGGTAGTAAAAGCTGCTACTGGATTTACCATGAGTAAACTAAGGAGACGAAGGACGCTTTCAAGGCATTTCAACAAAAGTTCAGACCTGAGCATAGGCAGATCGAGTAACGCGTTGGAGGTCGTCCATGGCACCAGAGCCGACCTTGCCAAAGAAGACTTGTTCACTGGCGCGGCCACCAAGGGCGAGGCACATCTCATCGAGCATCTGAGCTTGAGTATGTAGGTATGCGTCGCGCGGTTGGTACTGCGTGTAACCCAGCGCCTTGCCCCTCGGAATAATAGAAATCTTTAAAAGAGGGTTGCAGTGCTCCAGGAACCACCCCACAGTAGCGTGCCCTGCTTCGTGATAGGCCACTGTCTTCTTCTCCTCTGGCTGCAGCACCTACACGTGCACATTTTAAATAAGTTACATAATTAGACTTAAAACCTTTCTGCAAGACGACAACTATGCCTTTGTTTACACATTACACTGACTAGGGTCGGTCTCCCACGACAAATGATTGCTGCCTTCCTAATGGGCATTAACGACGGCTTTAGCTGTCAAAGCAATTCAACCACCCAAATAACCAAAACGACTACTACACTGCTTTCGCCATCAACTAAGAACATGGACTTCAGAAGATAGCTCATTAACATAGAGGTTTAGAAACCAAGCCATAAACTTTACCTCTAAGTTCGACAAGCTCCATACAAGCACACAGGAAAGTCTGAATCCCAAAACCCCAACAACTCAAATATTAAGATATAAAAAAGGAGACGTTCAACTTTATAAAAGCACTAAGTGCCTTTGCTTCTCACTCCAATTCCCATCAACTCTTTACATCCTGCATGAGCCAGTCAAGTATACTGCTTCACGGTTTTGAAAAACGCCCGCTTGCACATTTAATACTCATAAATTTGACTAAGCTCAGGAATAATTGCCCTCAATAAGGTAAAGGCGTGTCGACAGCCGACAGAGGAAAACATGCAAAGTTGAAATGCATATAAATAGAGCTACTCAGCCTTCCAATGGAAAGGAAAGAAATCAAACAGTTTCTAACAATCCGATTGCCGAAGAAAATAAATAAGTGGGACAGACCTGACTTTTCTTCTCCAATCCTGCGATGACCCTATCAATGGCGGCGTCAAAGTGACTGAGATCAACTGACTTCGCATCCTCGCGAGCCGCAATGAGGGCAGCCTCATTGCAAACACTTGCAATGTCCGCCCCCGAGAAGCCCGGTGTGCGGGCTGCCATGCGACGCGCCACCTCTACCTTGTCCAGTGCCGACTTTAACGGCTTCAAGTGAACCTATTGCCCAAACCAATGATGATTGGGTACATGCACGTGATACAATCCAAGAGACAGATACACTATTTTATCAGGCATAAAATGAGTCCATTTTCTGATCATCAGTTTAAATATTGCCTGGTTATCCCAATTACACCGAGGGTTAGAGACTGAAGCAGTTCCCACAAATGCTTTACTTTTGGATATTTGGGTGAAGGCGATTTTAAAAGGCATGTCAAACAGTATTGGCATTGAATTACAAACTCCATCGATTCGCAAACTGCGCATTCCAACCCAATTCGGCCCTTGCTTATGATACACCTAGAAATTTGACTAACTTCTTCCCACACAGGTTCCGAAAAGGCGCCAAACTACAAGTTACCGGCAGATTTGGAGATTATCAATGCTAACTCACCTTGAAGATAGAAGCGCGTCCTTTGATGTCTGGAAGGGAGACGTAGATCTGACGATCGAAACGACCAGGGCGCAGCAGGGCTGGATCGAGAATGTCAATTCGGTTGGTGGCAGCGAGCACCACAACATTTTCTTGAGTTGTAAATCCTACCATAATCGAGAGAAGTTAACTTCATTTTTAGCATTCGAGATGAATGTGATGGGCATTTCAGAGAGAAGATTAGTCACAGGACATCACAGGTAACCGCACGAGGCATTACCATAGCCTGACAACTTTCATCATTTCCTAAATCATTATGCCTTTACTGGAAAACTGCATTGAAAATGAAAAAAAACTGTAAGGTTCAGTAAGTAGAGCAAGCACACACCGTCCATCTCGACAAGAAGCTGATTCAGTGTGTTCTCCCGTTCCTGATGACCAAAAGAGGAACCAGAGCGCTTTCCACCAATAGCGTCGATTTCGTCAATGAACAGAATGCAAGGTGCTTTAGAGCGTGCCTGACTGAACATGTCGCGAACGCGCTTTGGACCGACACCGACAAACATCTCGAGGAATTCACTGCCCGATACCGAAAGGAAGGGGACGTTGGCCTCGCCCGCCGTCGCCTTGGCTAATAGCGTTTTGCCCGTCCCTGGAGGACCCTTCAATACAAGAGCAGCACACCATCACTTGCACTGTTTCAACCAATGCACAACAATTAAAATACCAATTTGCGTCTAGTTCACACAGCTCCAACATCCTCATACATCGGAACTTCATGGGAGATTTACACATTTCAGTTGATGATGCTAAAAATTCAAAGAGAAAAGTTCATTTGAACTCACCAAAGTTGAGTCCGAATCACAAAGTTAGCTTCATTAAATACATGAGAGCACACTGGTAAGGATTTTAAACAATATCGAAGTAGGTCAAAAAAAGACACCATATACATTTCGAAAAAAGCGCCGTTCATAGTTTATGCTAGCTTTTTAAAGTTCGACTTGGCATGGTGAAGGGCTCAGTTATTGAGGAACGGATTACCTACCTTAAGGATAGCTCCACGAGGAATTTTGGCACCAAGTGCCTCGTAACGACCGGGGTTTTTGAGGAAGTTGACGAATTCGATGATTTCCAACTTAGCCTCTTCACAACCCGCAACATCAGAGAAACTCACACCAATTTTATCTTTTTCAATCAGACGAACAGGAGACTGACCAAAGTTGAAGAGACTCGAACCCATTCCAGGCTGTAGAAAATTAAATCACAAAGCCTGAGAAGAGAGCATTCATGGTAACATAGATCGTAACTATAGATACTATTTCACTGGTATTTAATATTAAGCGAATTTGGTAGAATGAAATTAAGATAACTAACGCTAATTAACTGGACTAACATAAAACAGTTTCGAATGGTGGCAACCTTTCTAAAAGTGACCGATAATGCAAATTACTACTAAAGCGTGACGCAACACAGAAGCCGAAGGTTATTGGAGAAAAACAAACCAACTTTGCGAACAACACCACCAGAAGTGGATCGGAAGGAATAGATTGCTGCGCCTATCAGAGCTGCATAAAATGCCATATAGAAGATGTCTGACCTGAAGGGCAAAACATAAGCATTTAGTCTTGAATTGTAATGATTCCTTGAGCAAATAGTGGGGAGTTCGGTCTACACTATACTTACGGCCTAAATTGAGACTTGTAATTGATCGGTACGCGATTGATAGGATCAACACCAAGGTTTGCTTCAAGTTCACGAAGACCGCGCTCAAATGTGTCAACAGCACCTATTTCGAACCAATAAATGGGTTCGGTGGAACTGGTGAGGGAAGAAGTCGAGGTTGCGAGAGAGGCGTCATAAGCATCTCCCGAATCACTATCGCGACCACGCCCAACTCCTGGGGGTTGAAGGTAAACGCGTACCCACTCCTTATTCACTACCTCCAAGTGGTTGACGCGACCGCTGTGTTGAAGAAGAATTATGTAAGTTCCATCATATCACTTACAAACACGCAAAAAAAACTGCAGTTCGAGATCGCCATACTCATTCTCAACTGTTTATAACTAAAACAAGGCAAATAATAAAACAAAAAACGCCTGTAAATGATTGAAAAGTGTAGAAAAGCCCCTCAATTCCGAATTCATAGTTTCTATTATGATTTTATTTACTGTGTCTCCTCAAACCAATTACAAACACGAAACTGTTGGCGCCACCCTGTAAATACTCTCAAGATGGGACATATGGGCCATGAAAAACAGGCCAAATGCCCATTATCAGAAGAAACATGATTTGAATGAAACAGATTGGGTAACAGGTCTTGAGCGTAGGCTCAATAGTCAATCTTACGCCTGAAGAAAGTTCTCCGCGAATTCTTTCCACGAGACCTTCTTATACCTTGAGGCATTATAACCCATCAAAACACCCACTCCGACGACTCCTGCGACAATCCAAGGACCAATATTCCATGAATTTGGTGACTGGGACACCTTGGAGCCGCCACTACCACTGCTACCAAATGAAAATTGGAATTCAATCTTGGTTTTGGGACCAGATGACTCCGTTTTAACGTCAGGCTTTTTGGAGCCCTGTTTCTCCGCGAACCGCCAGAGCGAAGTCGGACGACGCCATAACAAACGCCGAAAGAAGCCCGCATTACTCAAACCGACAGGGGTGTAGTGTTTGTACTATAGAGATGAGAAATATGCACGTAAGCGACCCAAATTCCTACGAGCTGCTGCCAACTTAATTGGAATTATATGGATAATTGCAATTCCAGACATTTAAAACAGGACCCAACGCCTTTAATGAAATACAATAAGGAAATGACAGCTACTTTTCACCAGAGTCCCTCTACAAGAAAATACATAACTCGCCTGAACGTTTGGTAGTATCGGAGACCGACGAAACACCGACCCAACGAAGTGAAGTACCACAGGCATTGTTCTAAATTGAGCGGTTTTTAAACAACTGGCCATGAAGTTTATATTATGAGGCATTGCTAAAAGACGGTTATTAGGTAAATATTTAATCTCCATGACTTAAATCTATTTATTGCTGAATTGTCTTAGCCACGCCTTAATTTCTAACCCCACGCAATTTATCGCAGCGACCCACCTCAGGTACACAAATCCTTTATGTGTTAAACTACATTAGTATTCGATTTTTACCTGCAATATAATGACGTAGCACATTTTTCGTTGCCTTAATGGATTGTGAATCCTCTATGATTTGTGACTTTCCTGCACCGATGGACTTACAGCAACCTTGTTGATTAGCGGTTTATGTACTTTCTCTCCATTTTGGATTTTACAACTCTGGAGTAGATCCAGGTCACTTTTTTAGTGCTATCAATCTTGTAAAAGAAGAGCTTTTGTCCAAAAGTTGCAAACTGACCTTATGAATTTATGTAGCCCATGCACAATTGGCACCAACTAGGCAAAATGCTGCAATTCTCACCGGTATGGAGCTACTATTTTTCTACTTTACTTTATCTGAGCCCATTGGCAACAAATATTTTCTTGCTCACGCATACACGGAATACACGCGTGGATTTATCCTTCTTAGGTCCTGACTGCGTGGTTGTGGTTAGCGCGGCAGGAAGACAATGCGGCACTGTGGAATGTGCTCAAAGGAAGGCGGAGTCTATGCAGCACCCTTCTTGACTAGTTTGAGGTGCAAAGTGCTCATACTTTTCCAGTCTGGTCTGTTCTGTGGTAGTCATTCATTGGTACCGCTCATTAGGACCCCATACCTTTTCTGCGTTAACAATGCGTGCTCTTCCTCACGCTTTGACACTTCGGAGCACCTAGTGCCACCATGTCACTCAAATTAGGTACGTCCACTTTAATGGTATCCTATGTAGGTTAGATCACACAAACGAAATAGGAAAAACCCTCTGACACTCCCACTAATGCACACAAACCCCGACCCACGATAGCGCTTCACGCTATATCTTTTCCTACCGCCAAGCCTGACTGGGTTCCGCGACATTTACTTCATGACTGCAGGATGATCCCGATATGATGGCAATGACTCGTGTAAGGGAACCCGTACGACGCAAAGTTAAAGCTAATTACCCTACAAAATTCTACCCCCTCATAGGAATCCTTCCATTTTAACAAATCCAGATGCTTCCCCCAAGCAACTCTATGTTTCTTACAAGTTGTAGTAAGGCTTTTCAAAATGCAATTTGAACAAAAGAAGGCAGAAAAACACTCTAAAGAACAATCGTCAGACAAATCTTTGCTGCATGTCGAAATACGTGGAAGTGCCTATAAATCCAACATTGTAGGACGCTACTGCGCTTCAACTCCGGCTCCTGTGCACGAAAGCAAGACCGATTTTTGATCCGGTAGTACTTCAACACTAAACTTAACCTAAAAGTCGCAATAAGCGCAAGTTTTGATATCCATTGAATGAGCATTTAAGAACAAAAAAAAATGAGAAAAATTACGGAGGGCATAATTTGCTCCGCAACATATATTGCCGACCGAGTGTGCAGCGTGAGAGGGGTGGTGCGAATCATCGATGTTCCGTGCGCTAATGCCATGGGTAAAATCAGTTGATCCTGCATAAAGCTATCACAGCAGGCGCCGCAATCGAGGCACGGCAACAACTCCAAATTAATGGCATCTGCGACTAAGTCATGGGGAGAAGGCCCGCGGCTACGACCTAGTCGTGATACTGCTATGCGACATCCAGTGGAGGTTTCGACAACGAACCTGTTTCAAATTTGGTTAATTTAGTAGTTATGGTTTTACCATAAAGCTACTCACATAAATGCCGAAGCACTTCCATGACAAGAATTATCTGGGGCACGATAGGATTCAATGTCAATAGGAACGTCTGGAAAATGAGATCCCAAGATGTCGTGGCCGGTAGAGGCCATCAATTCAGCGACCTTTTAGAGATAAAGAGTTCAACATTTCTAACCTTCAATGGCACTTTTCCAGCTACGAAAGCTGAGCCAGTTATTTTTACAACTTGACCCATATCTGTGAGGGTGACCGAAGAGAGTTTGTCGCTAATCGGATCGACGCTGACATGAACCAATCCACCTCCGCGCGGATAGTAGCCACTAGTAAAATGCGATACGTTAGTAAGAATTACCGCTCACAAATTTCTGCTTGAAAACTCAGTCCGAATTTTTTACAGTAAAAACTGGTGACGTCTATCATGTAGTCGACCGGCGGGGCGAAGTCTGCATTAGTACCACCGCGCAAAGAAACAACACTTTTTTTCGAGGCAAAAGCGAGTATTGGAATGCATGTTTGCATGATCAAGGCCACGGAACTACAAAAAATGAAAAATAGGAGCCAACTACCCTGCAGTCTTGACATCGCATTCATATTCCCCACCTTCGACATTATGTGGATCAAAAAGTACTTTCATTGAATTAGTATAGCATCCTTCAAGCCTTCCGTTGCAAATTTTAGCGGCCAATTCCAAGCCAAACATATGCTGATTGCTAGAAATTATTGCAACAGAAACCTAAGTACCGCAAACCAGGGCTTGGTCGACCAGCACGAATGTTATTTATTTCAATAGGGCGCTGGCACACTGCAGATAAGGACACCGCATTTCGGAGGATTTGACCGCCCTAGAAATAAATGCATAATGCTACTTACGCCTTCCAAACACGACCCATCGATCAAAACTCTCTCCATCTAGAGACAATGCTGACCTGGAACGTAATTCTAGGGATAATATGACCTTTAGCTCCAACGAATTTACTCCGGGCTGAACAAGCAGGTGTGAGCACATGAAGTGGTGTGGAGCTTCCAGTGTGAGTAACAAATAAGCTGCACTGTCAACTCTGAATAACACGAGATGGATAATTTTTAAGTGATAACTTGCTTGAAGCAAAGTCGGCAACTCCATAAAAAGTTAGATGTCTAAGAGTTTTGATGTTTTTCGTCATGCTGCAAATGGATACAAATGTTAATTCGAAAATCTGTGATACATATCACATTACGGATTACACCAGGTCAGTATACATTACAGGGATAAAAGGATTCCGACGTTCATCGAAGTAATAAAAGGCCCTGAGCTTGGTAATTTATTTACAGGATGCCAATGATCAATAGGATAGCAGGTAGAAATTTCAAGCTTATGTGTTTACTACCACACTAATGATACCCAAATTATTTGTTCCTTACACTGCACTCTGGATTAACTGATAAGAACAGAGTTATTGAAACATAATTTTCACCATAGTCTCATGCAATAGCACAAAATAGCAAAAAAATCATACACCAAAATAATAATTAAGATTATAAGAGTTATTTGTTATGCTCGTACGCCAGTTGCGATAGCACTGCAAACTTTTCTTTCCCTTCATTATATTTTACGAATGCCTTACAAGGGCGTTTAATAAGGTCGCAACTTCCCCCGCGAAGTCGAAGGCATAGGTTCCTCCTGTCTTTTTCGCATACTGCAAGTCTTTATTTGCTAGTGCTAAACTTGTTCTCTCGTCCCTTTAGATGGCTAATCCTTTCTGGATCGGGAATGACGCTTTGGTTTGTCACGCATTTAATAAGGATGCCTCATTGATGGCAATATCGATAAATACAAGCAATGTGTACATTCTTTCTGTTCCTAAGTCACCGAGTGATCGATTTAAATTAGTCGACACTCTTAAAGAACATTCTGCTTTAGTTATGGGGATCGACTGGTGTGCTAGCTCGAATCAAATTGTTTCGTGCTCAGCTGATAGAAACGCTTATGTTTGGAAACAATCTTCTGATGGTAAATGGAAGCCAACGCTTGTGGCTTTGCAGGTTTGCGAATTTTGAGTGTTCTGAATGAGTCCTTTTTATCACTACTAATGCGTTTTTTCTTAGATTAATAGAGCTGCCCTTTGTGTGAAATGGTCACCTCTTGGGAACAAGTTTGCTGTCGGTTCTGGAAGTAGGATCGTGTCTGTGTGTTTTTTCGAAAAGGAACAAGATTGGTGGGTTCCAAAACAGATCAAGAAGGTCATGAAATCTACTATCACTTGTGTGGATTGGCACCCCAACAACACAATATTAGCTTGTGGTTCTGCTGATTACCATGTTCGTGTTTTCTCAGCTTTTATCAAAGAAACAGATTCGGAGGACAGAGATTCTGCCTGGGGTGCTAAAAGTCCCTTTCAAACTCTACTTTTTGAGGCTTATAATGGTCATGGTGAGTTTTATTTTCATACGGCGATTTATGTGCTCTGGATCCTGATATCGCTCTCTGCTTTCTGGCTTGTTAGCATCTTAACTATGCGGCCTGTATATGTGCACATTATCATTTGCAATCAACAATGGATTGAATAGCAAATTTGAGACCTACTAGAGCTCTTTAAAGTTTTGCGCTTATTTACTTTGTTCCTGTGTTCTAGGGTCTTGGATTCATAGCGTCTGCTTTTCGGCTGATGGCAATAAACTGGCTTGGACGGGACACAACTGTTCTTTGAGCATTGCGGATGCTGGAGCCGGCAAGCCACCGGTCGTGCGAACAATTAGTACTCAGTATCTTCCCCTTTTGAGTTGCGTTTGGGTGGGACAAAACAGCGTCCTTGGGGCTGGTCACGATTGCTGCCCCATTCTATTCAACTACTATGGCTCGGAGAAAGGGATTTCAGAAGGCAAAATGGTACCGCAGATTGGCTTTATCTATCCCCTCTTTTCCCTCTGTGTCACTTTTTTATGGAAGGTCATTTATATAAGGCTTATGATGGGCCTTACTTCGATTTCTTGTCATTTGGTTTAAGATCAGGCGCGCTGCTTAGTCCATCTTGCCTTCGATTGGCTGGCACGTTTCTAATTTCAAAACCCCCCAACTTACGTAGCTTACTTGCATAATTTAAGTACAAACCAAGTTTCCGTAATCCATTAAGTGGAGCGTATTCTATTTTACTCTCTTCTTTGATTTCTCTCAGGTCTCGAATGTCATTCTTCGTGGGTGTTATTTGTTTGCGAATTTTCGTGCATTCATTTATTAATACTGTCTTTACACCACGTACTAACGTTGTACTAAATTGTTAACACTTTTATTTTTTGTTTAGTTCAATGTAAAGAGTGAGTCGCAAGATGCACCCAAGGTTTCGGCGTTGCGTCGTTTCCAAAATATCGATCGTATGGCTACAACGGATAACACAGATACGCGTCTTACCACCATCCACCAAAACTCCATCAAGTAGGTCAACCGTTCTCACCCTCCTGTACATAAATGGATTGATAAAATATTCGGTCAGATTAATTTAAAGTCACCAGACAGAAAGGTCTAATCGAACCAGAGTATTTTTCTACGTATTTAGTGAGCTGTGTATAATGAAAGGGGATAGATCAAAGACGATTCAGGTCACCTCGATTGGTCGGGATGGGCAACTGGTGATCTGGGACATGGTCTCTTTGCCCTCACTAATTGCGGGTCTCACAATCAACTAAATGCCATCAGCGGCCTTTAGTCTGAACCACCTTGGCAACGTACGGACTCATCCTTCATCCTCAAAGTCAATTTATCGTGATGTCCTTCTGTATTGCCGTTTCTGCACCATCTCTTTACCGCCCATTTGAGTGCATGACCTATCCACACCACGTCTCTCCTTAATTTACTCTTTTTATATGCAGCTTCTTTAATTTGGAAATAAAAATTGAAAATTCAGAAGTACCTTATTGAGTTAAGGTTTTACGCATGGTAGTTGGCTTTTTTTGTTCGTTCTAGGAAGTCACTTTCTTTTCATTGCGTGGTATTAATTTGCAGTCCGCAGCCCATTCCTCACAGCGGCTTCCAGAGGCCAAATTTTGACCTCCTTTAAGTGAGCATGGTGTCGCACTGGGGATGGAGTGATAGGCGATTTTAATTTCATCGGTTTTGCTGCAACCGTTTACCATGGTTAAGAATCATTGGGAGATGATCCTAGTGTTTCACTCCTAATTTCAGTTGTTATAAATATGAATTCTGGAGACCACGAGACTCTCATCCCTAACAGTTTCGATGTGAGCCTCCAGTTGTTTCCGCACGTTCTTCCGCGATTGGAACACATTACACCTCACGCATTCGGGAATAAGCGCCTTTTTGCAACTTAGGCATGTTTCGATGTGTTGGGACTACCAGTATCTCACTTGCAATCCGAACGTATACTTGAGGTTGTCTTGCTTGCATTTCACTTATCATGCAATGTTCCCCAGAGAAATGGCTCTCAATCACGATTTATTAGTATACTGACCTCTTAATACTTTTCAAAATCAATTTTGGGCTATTACTTGATGGGGACTGCAGTGATGGTCGGTCAACTGACTCGCAAACCTAAAATTGCACGTACTTGCGACCAGGAATAGTGGTGTTCTGCGAATGGGGGTACAGTGTGAAAGAATTAAAGAATTTTTGGCTTGTTGTATGGGTCTTTGAATCCTCTCTTCAAGCGAAATGTTCTAAGGGCTCACCTTCCCATCAGTCACACTGTGAACAACGTAGTGCTGTGAGTGATGAGACTCCATTTTCAAATACCCACTTAAGGCGATTCTGTGATGCAAAGCACATCTTTAAATGTTTACCTTCTCCTTGTTATCTTGATAACATACCATGTGATGCCTGAATAAAATGCATGCAGATTTCGACCTCCCGCTCAGGCACTGCAGGCGTGACAGGATGCCCTGGATGGGATCGCTAATTACTGTTCTCCTTGATCCCCACCGGCGTTGCACTGGCTAGCGATATAGGTGATGAGTGTGATTATGATATAAGAGTGAATGACACAAAGCAAAATGTTTTGCAATTGTCAACGCATATCCACATTAGACATGAATTTAAAATGCTTCATACGGCCCCCTAAGCAGTTACTGCACTGGAGTGGTAAGTTCAGAGATGCAGTTTCATACACACTCTTCCTTTTCTCGTGATTCAACGTTAAGCAGTTGGTACGAAGCAGGATCTTGTTCCATGGGGTTCACCTTCAGTATTAACGGAAGGGAGAGTGACTAGTCCGCCTTTGGGATCTATATCCTGCATCATGTCTACCCCAAAGTGCTAGAGCTGAGGGCTGGCATGTGCAGAGTCTTTAGCTCATGCTAGGGCAGAGCAGCCACTCTTTACTTGAAATTCATTTGAAACTCCTATTATCAGCGATGGTACTTTGTAAATAATGATAGTTTCGGCTGGAGTGTTGTTGAATAATTGCCTTCTGAATACATTGAGCTACTGGTAAGGAAGTTGAGACAACTCCTCTTGACGTCAGCCTATGATTAAGAATCTTCACTGCAGTTAGTCTTATTCAGAATGGTATGCTCTTGCAAGCCTGAATGAGAAATATGCTTAACTAATCTGGATTATTTCAGTAGGACAGGCCACAAGAGCCATCATCATTTCGCCATGCGAACCAGCATATAACTTTCGCCGCCGTGGATACTAATGTTTGCAAGGATCTTAGTCTCAACTGACGGTTGTGGCGGTTCCATCGTCTCTGGGTCGAAAATCGATGTGTGCGAGGCGGCGCGACTGACTGTCGAAGGCCAAATGCGGCTAGCAAGAGAAGTGTTATGGCGAGGCCTCGCACGCCGCCGATGGACCAATCAGCGTGTTGCTGACACACACGAGCGCACTACATGCATGCTGCAATGACCGCGAAATGCCAAATGCTCCACGCATTCCAGTATATAGTTTTACGCAACTATTGTCTAACCATTCCATTGTGAAGGAGGATTTTTACTCTCCAAGTGAGTTCCATTTCATATGCGTGGTGTATAGGGTTAGGAACATTTAAACCTAGATCATCTTGACCACTATCGTGTGTGCATGCGTTCATCGGATGCCTAGACGTAAGGTGGTGACTCAATTTATTCCCCATTTTTTTGCATTTTAAGATTGTCTCACCTTGATGAACCATGATCGCATCATTTCCATTAATACAAGGATTTTGTTCGCAACATTAACTGGTCTCCTGTTGTGGCACACTTCAATTGAAATTCTTCAACCCCCTGTGAAGTAGTACGATCGCAGAAGGCCTCTCATGTGGCTTCTCGTGGAAAGTCCTAGGTTAACCATGCGCCTATCCTGATTCCATAATCAGCATGCAGCATTCACGGCACTGACACGATGCGATTTTTATGAAAGAGAGTCGGTTATCTACACATCCAACTTATCAACTCCAATTAACAACAGCTAATACCGGTGTTTTTGTGAAATTTCTCTAGATTCCACAGCACAATTCTTTACACATTCATCACCCCCAGTCTAAGATGTAATTGTTGCAGGACATTTTTTTCGGCCTAACTCGGTTGTATTCCCAACAAATTTGCGATTATATTGAGTAGCTACATCGTGTTTTAGATAAAGAAAAGTTAAATTTGATATAATTTTTCGACTTTTTTACTCGAACTAGTTTATGGAGCGGTCCTATGACTCCTCCCTATCGGGTAGAGCTTAAAAAAAGTCAATACAACCACATGCAATATTGTGAGGTCAGTCAGTTGCATCAGAACTATGTGTCGAACCAACGTTTCTTTCCACAAAGAGCTGAAGTTCACACCCACGCACTGCATCGCGGTGACGAAGAATTGCTGCAACTGCTTGTGGTTAGTGGTATGGCCTCTCACTGAGGAAAACGACGCCCACTCCTTTCGGCATACAGCATGGGCTCTCTAAACTCCAAGTTTCGTTTAACGCTGACTGGAGTTATTTATATCATCTTATGGCTAAGGTGTCAACTCCACCTTTTGATTCTAAGGCAATGGCAAGCGCTTGAAAACACTCCAACTTAAGGTCAAGTTTGCAAACGATACTGGTATGTTAATTCTGTCTTGGCGGAAGAAGTCTCCTCTATCCCCTCGTGAAGTGTGCGTGCGAAGCACTTTCGAAAGGCTTCCTTTGGAAAGTCCGTTGATTGATCTCACCTTTTGCATGAGATCTAACAAGAATTCATTTTTTACCCTTGAAAGTCCTATTTAAATGATAACAGATAGTAAAGGCGGCTTGACGTACTTGGCATACGAGGATAGCGAGAGTTCTGAGACATCTGGGCAGATGTTGCTTTCTTGAGTTCACGGCCATATTCGATGCTTGTACAGTGAGCGCACGATGAGAGGCCAAGAAATATGAACATGGTGCCCATCAAGCAGTGAGGAAGGCTAACATTCTCTCCTTCTTGGAGTTCGCCACCTCCTCCAGTAGTGGTTGAGTGCGAAACTGTTGTATTAAGGAAATCAAAGGAACAACTGACGCCATCATCGTTAAAAGTCCGATTTGTTCAGTGAAACCTCTTTCAGCCAAGCTAATCCAGGCATAGTGAGAATTCAGTTCTTTACTTTTGCATCGTTCACCCTGGGTGGCCGCCTTGATAGCATCGAGCGCTACGGTTTCCACAACCTGGCCCGTTAATCTCTATCATCCATTAAAAACGGCGAGTCTTAAATCAACTACTCATAATTTGGGGTAAAAACGTTGCATCGGTGTTGTTCGTGTTTCATCGGGACACACCTTCTTTCTCCATTGAGGTGGTGTCTGTTGCGCGTGATTGAGTGCTGAGGCTCTTCAAATGCTGTTGGGATGCAATAGGTTCTTTTCGTTTCAGCACACTCACTGACTGGATGCTGGTGCTCAAGTCGATTTGGAAACGTCCAAATGAAGACATGCGTTTAGTGTACTTAACTTCATCATCTCTGTCACTCTACTAGGCAAATGGGCCTTTCAAGTGTTCTAAGATCACGGAAAGGCCTAAACTCAGGTCGAATATCCTGAAACTAAGACCCATTCTCAAGCTGATGCGCTAAATCCTGGCAACAAGAAGTGAAATGAAGTGAACTGGAAACCTCCACTCATTTCAAGTGTGCGACTTTTAGCGCATAAAATTCGGGGAGTGTATGAGGCCAAACACTCCGCCACTGTTGTCTGCGAAATGGGCCCCTGTAGGCTCGAGATTCATCAACCTGAACCCAGTAGGAGACTTGTTTCGGTATACCTTCCTCAGACTGCCATGATCATGCTTTGACGTTGGTTGCCATTTGACGCGATTGAAATTGCCAACTGTTAAGTTAGTTTGACTTCCCTCGTGCGAGACAGGCTGTCCAAAAGAAACTACCGTGTTCTATTTTTAAATTATTTGTATTCATTCTCCTCATATTTTAAATGTTAATGTTTATTTTCTTTTTTGAAGAATACAATACAATGGCAGACAATGTAAACCTAAGAATCGCACCCATTGGACCGGTGCAGAGCTCAGATGACTTGAAATCTCAAAGAGGAGCACACACTTCCTCCTCCACCAAGAAGCCGATTGATGAAGTGGAGCTCCCGGTTAGTCATCCCTTCGAATGCAATGAAAACCATTCTTTTCAAACCGCAACGGAGGCGAGGAAGTCCACTCTCGGAGGCCCTCAGCTGCAGACGGAAGTAAGGGGTCGATCCCACATGGCTGAGCCGGTAAACGATGTGAAGTTGTTAGAATACCAGTCCTCCGAAGCTACCGACAATGGACACGGAACAATCACGTCAGACGAAATCAATCATAGTTCTGGTGAATCAGACTTGCAAACAGACGTACGAAATCGTTCTCATCACACTAATTCGGTAAACAGAGGGAAATTTTCAGAGAGTCGGGATAAAAACGAGGTAGAAGGGAAGGCTTCTGAGCTTGTCATGAAGCTATGCAATCAGCTGCGCGTTGATCTTACACAAGAATTCAATCACCATCTCCAACTAGTTCTTGAAAACGCGGTGGATCGAATTCTGGAACACTCGGATGCAGAGAATTTGATGATAAATCGCAACTGGTTGAAATCAAAGTAAGCTACACCTACTGCACTGCTCTGTTGCGAGGGCTTCAGTTACATCCACCCGTCCAGCACCCTTCGGTCTTGACGCTCGATTACTTTACGTACACTTTTTTACCATTATTAAATAGTGGCAAATTAAGACATCCAAATCTCGATTTCCGTGAATGCGGTCGAGTGCGTGAAGTCCACAAACTTGTTTAGCTCCCCAAGTGCTCTGCTCTAAGCGGTTAAAGTAAGACTCCAACGAAGACGTGGATGCACGGCATCCCGTGTGTCAGGAGTTCCTCAACTACCTACGCTTCGAACGCAGTTTGAAAGTGTTGAGGATTCACCCTCTGTGTGTGTGTGTGTGTGTATTCTTTAATAAGCCACACCAATTTCCTGATCTTGTAGCAATAACTCTGGTAAGGCAAAAGCATTTTAATTGCAGCTTACCTCCTCCTTTAGTAAATTACCGTAAACCAGTACCATTTTTGGGTGCTCTAGAGGTTTCACATTTACCATCAGGGGAACTCTTGGTAGCCAATTCAAAAGACAAGATTAAAGTCATTCGGCTTGTTCAGTGAAGTCAAAAGGGAGTCATTGTTACCTTTTGGCTTGTTTGCCTTTGCAGCATGTCGGATAAAACGAGGATTGCATCGGAGTCGGACAGATGGCTTCCGGAGAAAAATTTTCGCCACCGGAATTCGGTTCTGACAGATCTTTTTAAGATTTCTCATATTGAAACTGTCTACCACATCTTCATCGCCGTTCTGCTCATCTTTGCGCTGAATACCATACTGTCGGATGCTGTGGAGAAGGGCGGTATAGTGCATGTCTACCACCTCGAGCTCCTTGAATGGACTTTTAAGGGCCTCTTCAACGTGTTTCACTGTTGGATTGTAATGTTTCTTTCAACAAGCCTTTGCATCTACCTTGCCTTTATTGTATGGGCGTCGAAAAGGAAGCCAGTCTCCAGATTCACTAACTTCGACCTTGGTTTCCTCCTTCTTTACGTTGCCTATCAAGTGAGTAATGTTGTTAACTGATGGAGGCAAAGCTCTCAGCTTGACATTCATACCGACTTCGTGCGTCTATTTACAAGCCTACAAGCCATGCTTAATTGGCACATTTTCGACAAAATGATTACATTACCACCAAATGGCTTTGTAAGTGCCCCTGAAACCAGACAGTCTCATGGGCAGAGGCACTGGAGACGGCCTTAGTGGTGGGGCCTGCACCAGTGCCACCAGCCTCACAGTTGACCATCAGTAAAGTCACACCTTTTGCGCCGAGTCGTAGACACCACTGGGAAACTTGCTTTACCTTGGTGCAAAGTAGAGATAAAATGATGCTGCCTTGTATGAAGGAGGGTTTGATGTCTAGACCGAACATTTGATAGGCTTTGGCAATCGCAATAAACCGTAGCAAATCTGACCTTCTTTTACCCCAAAATGTTTTAATTCAGGTGGCCTTCATAATACTACCAGTGATTTTCATTTTGAAAAATGAAATTGCCCCATCTTCAACGGCAATCGTGTGTCTCGAACAAATTCGACTGGTTATGAAGTCTCACGCTTTTGTTCGTACTAACATTGGAAGTGCATTTCTCTCAGGGGAGGAATGTGAGCGCGAGAAAGCTCATCGCCGCCATCGGCGATTGTTGACCGGAGATGAGCGATTCCCGGTCAGCGCTTGTGGCGACAGCGTAACAGAGGAAGTGGAGATCACAATGTCCAACGGTATACCCATTCCTCCCTTTTCCCATTACCTCTACTTTCTCTTTGCTCCCACCCTTGTTTACCGTAGTGCCTATCCACGCACTCCCTACATTCGTTGGCGCTTTGTTACAATCAACCTACTCCAAATGGGACTCTGCATAGTCTACACTTATTTTATCTTCGCACGTTTCTGTTTCTCTTACTTCGCTAATTTTGGACGTTCGGACCACTTCAACTTCTCCCTGCGTCAGCTGATCACATCGTCTTTTGGTTGCATGCTGCCTGGCGCCCTCCTCCTGCTCATCAACTTTTATGCCCTTTTACACTGTTGGTTGAACGCATTTGCAGAACTCTTGCGTTTTGGCGATCGTCTCTTCTACAAGGACTGGTGGAACAGCGTCACATTCAGTGCCTACTACCGTACCTGGAATGTTGTGGTGCACGATTGGCTCTATACCTACATTTACCGCGATGTCTATGCAATAAGTGGACGACATAGACGCATTTTGGCTCAAACAGCTGTGTTTCTACTTTCCGCCATTGTGCACGAGTATATTCTCACCCTCGTCTATCGGTTCTTTTACCCCGTCCTCTTCGTCATATTCGGTGGAGCTGGCCTTGCTATTGCCAACTTGAGAGGACGCTCGAAACTTTGGAATATTGGACTTTGGGTCGGGCTGTTCATGGGCATGGGAATCCTGATGTGCCTCTATTCCATGGAGTGGTACGCAAGGAAAAATTGCCCTCCTACTCAGGGGCTGATTGACCTTTTCATTCCCAGAAGCTGGTTTTGCGGAAATTAACAGTTTTGAACCCAACGATTTTCTTTATACGACAAGTCACTTTTATGATTAAATTGTTTTTTACCGAAATTACACATTTCCTTAAATATTGGAGGATGCGAAAGTGAAAAATGAGAAAAGCTGTCGAGACTGGGTGTGGCTCATGCATCCGGAGCTCCTCACTTGCAGAGGAGATCCGCCTTATATCGTGAACTGCAGCAACAAGAGTCGAAGAGTTCGAGTTGTACGTTGTAGAAAATGGTCTATCTTTGGTTAATGGGAGCTGCATCAACTTGGGATGCAAGTCTCGGTGCAGAACTTCACTGCTCTGGGACACACTTTAATTTTTCCAAGCTACAGATTCGATGGTATAAACGAGCGTAATACTTTGCTTACTGGACTACCTGTACGAATTGCTTTCATGTGAGCTGAACTTTGAGCCATGCCATAGCCTCACTTACTCATTCGGTCTGAAAATAAATATTTGACAATCCCCACTGCCGTCTATTACAGCGAACGGCGAACCCGACTATATCCAAGACTTCCATCGTGGTTTCCGCTGTTCGTTACGAACTTCTATGGTGTAAATGAGGGGTATGTACTATAGCAAGAGGGCTGAGAACAACATCTACTTTTGGCAATTATCTCATTTTCGTTTTTCGGCAAGCCATTAATTACTAAAGCAACCTCATTAGGAACCATCTACGAAATTTTGTCCTAAAGGTCCTTTTACCACATTTGATAATGGATACCAGCAGCAGCATTGTAATACTTTGTGTGATCACCTGATGTCTGGCAATTACTTCAAAATTGTCTGGCTCTTGTATACATGGGCTGGCCTTTGGACCAAGCTCAGGCTTAATCTCTTTGATCTTCTATAATGCACGTTTTCTGCACCACTTAGTGCCGGTAGGAAGTCTCGAGACACTACAGACATTACACTTGACTCCACTCCATGGCGAACTGCGTTCGATCCCATTTTTCCCATTACACATTTTTAAGCTAGTACTCTAACGGCTGGCTTTAAAAGCAAATAGTGGCTAGGTGAAGCTAATGTAACAGGTACTGCTAAATATATATGAGCAGATAGAAGCAGTACAAGCAAAACAAGGTTGCTTGGTCTCGAGTTCTTTCCATGCGTCAAGGGCAGAGCAGCCGTAAAATGACCTTATTTTACAAAAGCCGTCAAATAAACAAAGTATTACAGGTTCCACCTCAATTTCGTGCACTGAGACTAGACGTTTGTGCAGATCCACCAGAAGCCATGAGGAGTCGACTACTGGCGCAGACGGCTTGTGTGAGTCCCTCCTAGCACTGAATATGTTGCGATGGCTGACGCAGGAAGTATACGAAGGCAAACATTGAGAATATTACTCAAAAAACGAGGGGAATTATGCAATGCTTTGTTCACAAAAATGCTCCAGTGGAAGGTGTTGAATTTAGAGGCCATCTGTAGGTGAAAGCTGGATTTCGGATCATGCCGAACCCTCAGTTGTACACTTTTTGCTCAAATAAAAATGGCTGGCTCAGCATTATGACTTCTTTTAACAATTGAACGACTCAGGACACTGCAGCAAGCATCAAAATAATATTCATTGTCAAAGTGATCATGAGTTAAACAACAAAAGCACTGACGAAAAGCACAGTTAGCGAGGAAAACGAAACCCTGCTAATACCTTTGTTCTCCGACTACAATAAATACAGTGCAGAAGCGATATTCTGTTATGCACACCTTTAATTATGCAAATAAAATGTAAATGCAAATCACTCATGATCTTCAAATTAATGACAGTATCACACATAAACGCATTGTTATTAGTTTACTAGTAAGTGCAATAACATCGTACACAGCTCAGTTTGGGAGGGGGAGTTCATCGGTTAGATCAACAACGGTACTGGTTGCCATAGCACCAAATGCACCCGGCTCAACGAATAACCTCCCAAAGTGTGCGCTATTCCTGCGATTGGGACGTGTCCGCGGTATTAAGCAACTTTCAAAACCGAAACTGGGTGGAGGTCGATCCGAGCGATCATTGGAATATATTCTGGGCATCAACAGGAAGTGCACGCACAATTTTTAGCACAGATCATGGAAAACGATTGTGTGATGATCAGGTAAAAAATATTGCCAAGTTGTAATTGGTTATTTGAAGAAAATAAATCATTTTTCGAACCACTATGAGTTGACAAGAAAGGATTTAATGGTAAAAAACATAAAGCAATACCGTAAACAACTTTTTAAAGCTCAAAATCCAGTCGCGGCAGTCGACGAACACGGTAAATTTGTGCACCTAGACTTCATTCCGACCACATACCTACTCCCACAAGATTACACTTTGTTTACCGAAGAATTCAGGAGGAATCCCCGTGCAACGTGGATAATCAAACCTAGTGCCAGATCTCGTGGTGTTGGTATATTCATTGTAAATCGTCTTTCACAAATTAAGAAGTGGGCCCGAGAAGGTCATACTGGCAACAGAGATGCATTTTCCTTGCCGCATGTGGCGCGCGAAACTTATGTTGTTTCCAGATACATCGAAAATCCTCTTCTTATTGGTGGAAAGAAGTTTGATCTTCGTATGTATGTTCTTGTTACATCGTTTAAACCGCTGAAATGCTATGTTAATAAGCTTGGCTTCTGTCGGTTTTGCACAGTACGATATGACAGAAAAGACTCTGAACTGGGAAACATGTTTGTGCACCTAACAAATATATCAATTCAAAAACACGCTGCTGATTATAATAGTCGTCATGGTGGAAAGTGGAGTATCTTTAATCTCAGGCTCTGGCTTGAAGGTACACGTGGAAAAGAGGTTGCTGATAAACTATTTAACGAGATTTACTGGATGATGTACCACTCCCTTCAATCCGTAGCGAATGTTATCAACAACGACCGTCACTGTTTCGAGTGTTATGGCTATGATATTATCATTGATGATACGCTTAAACCTTGGCTGATCGAAATAAATGCCTCGCCGTCTCTAAGTTCAACGACTCAACTTGACAGAATAATGAAGTACAAGCTTGTCGACGATGTACTAAACATCGTCATTCCCGACAATCAAATTCCAGACACAAGGATTTCGAAACCAACTAAGGACCTTACCCTAGGAGACTTCGAAGTTCTATATGACGAACAGTGCGTACAAGTCGAATCAAGCGCAGTCCTCTCTCGGACCTCAACAACACAGTCAAAAAGGCTATAGCTTCTCAGCTACTAAATTTATTGGAGCTATGTTATTTGGAATATAGAAAAAGCATCAACAAATTGGGCGTGCTTTAAACATCGGGCCATGGCCCGGAATAATATAGTTCGCAAAAGATGCGATTAGACGTCGGCTACGCTCTTGCAATTCGGGCTTCAAACTATTTTCCTTCCATAGTTTGGGGTTCTCCTGATCATAGTGGTTTTCAAAAATATCTCCACTTGCAACGACGGTGCCCAACTCAGGCACCCCCTCGACTACTAAAGAAACGTCATTGGCCGTGTGTCCAGGAGTGTGCGTTACACGAACCTAAACAGAACTACGTTAAAAACCAGGGAAACGTGCATTTTCGTCTATCACGAAGGAGTCAGTATTGGAAAAGCTATGCGCCAAAACCATGCCTTGTCTCATTACTTCTGTTCCAACAATAATGGTCGCGTATGGGAATTGGTTCAGGCTTCCAATATGGTCTACGTGCCCATGGGAGCAGACAACATAGTTGATATCTTCGGGTTTAAGACCGTATTTAGCTAGGGCGGATAAAACCAGTTCCAAATCCCAAGGACCACCAGGGTCGAATAAAATGTTCAACGCTCCGTAAACTAGTGTGATGGAACAAGCAGCTGAGAACAATCTATTTCCTGTTTGGTTTGAAAAGCCTTCACGACATACGACGACGCGATAGGGAACCATGCCAGTGTGCCAGAAGACCCACGTGTAACAGCTTGTATTGCAGGCTAGGACCTCAGAGACTTTCCGACACACACGCTTGGTAGGAGCGCCATATTCGAATGACCCGCCGTGTGCCTTAGCCTAACCATCCTTAGGAAGGCATCAAAATATTAAAGTATCAGAGGATGTGTTTCACTTTTCGATGCAAATGAATTTGTTATTTTGCATATTATTTTGTATAAATATGTTAAGTAATTAGGTGGCTGTTCATATTTTTATGTTCAGTGCCCACTAAAAGCATGCAACATAAGGTTTGATTTTGGTTTTAAGCTTAATTAAACTTAGTGATTATTGTAAAGCATCATGCAGTGATGTTTGAATTTACTTGCATTATGCTTATGACAATACTGGCAAAAATAATTTAAAAAATTAGCAGCAAAGTTTATGACCACATAATTAATTTACAACAAATCTATTAACCATCGTAGTTGTGTTTTACCAGGTAACTTGTGCCCCGCAGAAATCAGAGATGAGCCAGGCGGGTGAGTCGCGGCTGGGGTTGCTTTGATTTTTGTTGTTGCTAGTTCAAATAATATAGATGTATTTTGATACATCGCTTATGCATTCTGATAAGAAATAGCATTATTAGGTTTTTTGTCATATTCTTTTGCCCATTTATATCTAGCACAGTATGCAGTCTGTTATGCTCTTGCCTGTCTGTAGTTAAAAGTATAGGCCATTGAACAAGCAGTGTGTCCCATTTGGTGATTGCCTACTTCAAACTGTCTTCTTAAATGTGGTTCTTTTTCGGTGACTCGCTGAATGTGGTCTTCTTTGTGCTTTGTCTTGAAGTAATATTTTACTAACCGAATATTTCTTGTGTGTTTTTAGATTATTCATTGAGATATTCGGTGTTTTTTTAGCGCATATGTGCTATGGCCTATCGGAACTATAGCATTTTTTTATTCTGCTACCCTACTCTAATCATGGGAACACTTCGTTAGAATAAATCGTGATTAATTTTGTTGGTCATGTATTAGATTTGGATTTTTATTCCTAAACATTTCTACCATATTGGTATTTCTTATCTCCTAATCATCAATCCCGATTGATTTTCCTGAAATTTTCCTGCTTCATTTTAGTGACTGTACCTCGGATTTTCTATTTGATGGATGAATTGGAAGCCGGTCAGAAGGGGTCAAATGATGGTACTATAAGTTGGGGCCTTGAAAATAATGACGATAACACTTTAACAACTTGGAATGGCATGATTATAGGACCAGCTAGAACACCTTTTCAAAATAGGATGTACAATTTACAGATTGTTTGTGGAAACGATTACCCAGATAAGCCTCCAGAAGTAAGGTAATTTTCACAACCTTGGCTTGCTCTTTCTATTGAATAGCCTTGAAAGTTATCTTTTGTACTTTACTTTTCTTTGCTAGTACCTTTTTTTTCCAGAAAACAGTTCCTTAATCTCTATTTCTTTGCGTAACTAGACAAAGAACTTCGAGTGTAACTTATCACATTCGACTACCTATTTGCCATTTGGTGGGCTTGCATCGCTCGATACGCAACTCTATTGTTGAATTTGGTTTATTGGTGTGCATGTTTCGGCGTGCTTAAGAGCTGCCACGTGGCGCTCCTCGTCTCAGTGCCACGATCTCTGAATTTCATCTTGTTTTTTGATCTCCCAGACACATTCTTAGTCCTTCCCCTCAAACACGCATGTCAAATCATTTTACTACCAACTTTAGGTTCTTAAGTTTACAAGTAGGAACCACTTTTAACTTAAAATGTTTTTGATGTTTTATATTACGTTTAAGCTTTTCTTCTATTTGCAGATTTATAACGCGAATTAACATGGATGGAGTTGGTGGCAACGGTCAGGTATGCCCTACTTTTTTTGCACGCAGATTGCCTTTTGAATTTTTTACGGTCATTGAAAAGTTTATGCACACTCGGTGTTTCTCTTATAGTCGAAAAGGTAACTTCCTCTGGGATCAATGCAGTCTTAATCAGAGTGTCAGCAAAGGTCGTAGTTCTTCTATAGGAAACGTAGTCTTACATTTTTAAATCTGAAACTTTTAATCAGCGTTTCCTATCTTATTAGTTGTTACGCCCATGCATGCGTCATTTTGTTGCTCTACGTCAATCATCAATACACTACAGTTAACGGATCAGTGGAGTTCATGAGCCAGTGTTAATTTGCAAACACCGTGAGTGTTCAGAATGCGGCGTGTTTTCGTAAGACAAGACAAATTTATTGTCGCTCTTAGTTGGCTTTCCGTTTTGGTGATCAGCGGAATGCAAGCTTGTAGCTTTATTCGTTCACTAAATCATGCTGCTACCTGTATGCATCCTATGCTGGTAGGAGTGCGATTATTTCTTTTTCAATACTCATTGATGAGTGGCTTTTGGGTTATAGCAACAGTCATTATTGTCATTAGCTTTAATGGCAAATTTATTGATGTCGATGCTGTGATAGGTTCTGTGCCTTCTTCATTGTGTTCTTATCCTTTGAATGTTCGAGAACCCTTTAGCCTGTATCGAGGTGATAACAAGTGTCAACTATTGTTTTTGCCCTTTTCGACCATGTCAATCTCGTCAAATGTGTATATTTTTTACTATCGGATCCTCGCAAACAAAGGTGTCAATATCTCTTTTTTAGTTCGGGGAGTTTCGTACTAGTGATATTTCGATGATATTTCTGACGCGTTCTACTCAAAGTTTATAACTCCTTCGATTATTTCTTCATCTCAGATCGACAACTCCAAGGTTCCTTCTCTTCGAACTTGGCGTCGGGGAATGTTGATTCGCAATATCCTATTTGATCTTCGAACCATGATGACCCAGAGAGAAAATGCTAACCTCACTCAGCCACCGGATGGCACGTTCTACTAGTCTGTCTCGTTGTCTGATCGGTTGCTGCCTTGTCGCTCCCATTTTTTGCCGCCAAACAGCACTGATTTGCACCGTCGACCCCACCTGACGTGACCTTCCTTATACCATGCGTACGCTCTCTGTCCTTCCTCTCTTCCTTGCGCTCCGCTTGTCAGTTATTGTCTCCTCAAGTCTAACAATTTGGAAGGGAAGGAACGTAGTGCATTATGCGCATGTAATGATTTTAAAGTGCGGTTATGTGAAGTTTGGCAAACCGAAGTACTTCGCCCTGTCTACATCGTTTCTAGCAATAATATGAAGCATTCCGATCGGAGTCTTGTTCTCTTAGGCTTCATACGCTCGGTATTTAGACGCCAGCATTACATTGCTGCGGGGTGACTGACGTTGGCCTTGTTTCTTTACAATCAAGAGCAGTTTTAGCAACACTAGCATGGCGGCAGCTTGTATTACAGGACGTTCAGCTCCGGAAGTAGTTAATCTTTAAAGAAGACCAAAATGTGCCTGAAACAAAGTGGGCTTGTAAGCTTCATGATCGATACTTCATTGTAACTCAAGAGAGGTTAAAGTCTTCGCTTCCTCCACACCCTAATAGCCAAAGCACGAGCCCCTCAACGGTACTGGTCTCTGCAGTGGTAATAAGGACTGACCTGCATGATCAAGCAGTTCTCATGATATTCACCACTGCATTTCTCGTATTCGACTTATGTGGAACGAGCTCAGGATAACGGCAAATCTCCAGTGTGCATTGACCGCAAAGGGCGATCGGGACTCCTTCCTGCCTGTAATGGCGTGCCCAGACGGGCTGGACTTGGTGCCGCAATCTTAGAAGTGTTGGAAGGAATTTGATCACTGATGAAGAGTAGGAATTTTAGATGAATTTAAATCCTATGGGTACTTTCTTACTTTTTTATTCCCTTAGGTGACATCGAATTATGATTGATGGTGAAGTTAGTGACAAGGTGTAGAAACACCACTAAACAACCTTTAACTGAGCAAAATGCTTCCTTACTGTACGTTGGGTACGTTGAGGTGCAAGCATGTGGGCAACGGTTTTGCTAGGTTAGGAAGTGCCGAAGCAAAAGCGGACATATTCTGCTAAATAAGTTGAGTTCATTGAGGATGCAGCGTCATTAACCAAAAATCTCCAAAGCAAATACATTGGAGCACCCAAAACACGTCAATATGCTGAGTAGTGTCAAAGCGGCGCAACCAATTTGCACAAGTCATTAACTTAAAATGCATGTCGGAGTTAGGCTCAGCAACATCATCGTGATGGATGGCATTCTTTTGAAGTTGGCGGTGAAAGACGTTGAAGAAAACATTCACATGGCAGGGCGGAATGATGACTCGACAATATAGTTAAAGAAAACACAAGTCGTTTGAAGCAGTAATCATCTCAAATCCGAGGGGTTTTGACATTTCCGTTTGAAGGAGTTAAGACGAAAGTTAGCTAAACTGGCAAATGAAGGGTTGCTTGCGCCCCTTTCTCAACCCTCCAACCAATTGCTCTTATAACGGATTCGCTATAGCCGACTCAAATAATTTTCCCTTTCACAAGCGTTGGTGAACCTTCCACTTCAAATGACACTGCCTTAATCGTCGTCGGACTGGAAGACTTTTTAGCTACGATGCTACAGACAGCGAATTTTAATTGAAAATCAGTGGCAGACAGGGGAACAGCAATGCGCAACAGCTCTGCCCACTTTATAGCCATTGTTGAGAAATCACAATTTTCCAATGAAAACTAGGGCGGCAAAGCTGAGAGTCCTACACCATGCTATTTTTCCCAGAAGTGGACTTAAAGTCTGCGGAGAGATCGAAAACGATGGATATCTCAATGCACCATTGTTCACACATCCGGACATTGAGGCAATCACACTCGAAGCGCTCAGGTGTACAGAATAAATCAGCAGCAGGTGCGAGATATCTCGCATTACAGTGCGTACATTCAGGCAAACAGGCAGGCCAGTGAGCTTTGTGCGTGGACCTGGAGCCACTCAAGTGAGACCAAACCAGTCACACAAACAAACTATTGCATTCGGAAACTGGGCTTCTTCTTTTTCGTCTTCTCCCTTCTTCTTTGTGATATTTTGAATAGTTGACACTTGGGAGTTGTAAAGTCTTCCATTGCTTTGCGATTGTTAGACAGACTGAAGGAATAGCGTTGGAATTTGCACTGCTTTTTGACGCCGTTCTTGAACACACACTTTAGAAATGTTTTATTGTTGTTGTTGCTGAAAACAACAACAAATCATTTGGTTGCATTCCACGTAAACCTTCAGATCTCGGGGCCATTTACACAAACTAAAATAACAAATCTTGGAACTCTCATCAAAAATTTGTAATTTTACCTTCCAACTAATCGGCCACTTAGTTGAGCCTGCCATTAATCGTGCAAGTCCCAACGAGCCAGCATTTGGAGAATGCTGCTGTCAGTGTTTTGGATGCCACCGCTTTTTGAAACACAATGAATTCAGTTTGTTTAGGTACTACAAAGTTTACAAGGTCTACATACATCCTAGTACTTCTTTTCAAGTCCTCATATTAAAGTGGAGTGTGCAAACCCGGAAGTGAGGTTCCCTCTCCCTTGAGGTGGCGGTCCATTTGTTGCCTCACCTTTGTGTTATCCATACTAAATCTCAAAACTTTGGTGCAATCTTCACACCTCCGTGGGACTGTTTGAGTGGTCAGAATTGTGAGTTTACAAAAGGCTTCGAATCCTATCAGGGCACCTTCAGCGGTTTGCACGATCTGAAGCGTTCAGATCTCTAAGTTTACAAATTATGCATCCAATGCTAGCAGCCAAAGGGAGGCTGCTTGTTGGAGCAGGCTGCAAACCAACTCAATCATTGCCTTTAGTATAGATGTCAATTTCCTGGTTCCAGCTCCTTGAAGCACAGTGGCGATCGCTTTCCCAAGGCCAAAGAGTGGAAAAATTAAGTTGAATGGTGGATGTCATAGCAACAATATAACAGTAATTTCAACACGACAGGTGACTCGAGCCTCCTAGGTCAGTCCACTCAACGGGTTGAGAGGGTTGAGTCCCTAAAATCTTTCGGAAAAGGCTCACCTAAAAGTGCTTACCTTCTTCTCAGACGTACAATCTGAAGGCAGCACAATTTTGGGCATTTTACTCTCTACTTTTCAGTAGGAGTAACGTCATGAGCATCTCATGACTGCTGCCCTACTGAACGAAACAAAGAAGCTCAAAGCAGTTAATGCGTGCTGCACTGCAATTGCTACTCAAGCATGTTACTACCGATGGCAGCCAAATTAATGGTCGATTCCCATTTTCCTTTTCCAAACTGAAGAGTTGCTCATTTTCTTGGTATTGCTTCTACACCTTCCAAAGGCGCGCCATTGACTGCTTCACTTATCTGTGCCTCACTACCTTAAGTCCACACGCTGTTCCAGTATTGCCTCCCTAAAGGCGAGTATTTTAATGCTGACGCCTGAACAAAAAAAAATTACCAAAAGAAGAAAATTAAAAACGCTGTGGCTGGGGAAATTCGGTGATGACGCATAACGGAGGGACTACAAATGACGCTTGTCTTTTTCGGGAAAGCCATTAACTCGAAGTGAATCATCCGGAAAAGTTGTCAATGCAGCTACCCACCTTTTCGGCATGAAGACATCATGTACGCAAAAAGGCGACACTTCCTTCACTCTCCCACTTGCTGTAAAGAATTGGGATGGAGAGAGGGGAACAGCTCCATAAAGAAATAAGTAATGAAAGCGGGATTTTCCCTCCCCGAGGGTACTAAATCCCTGTCCTTCGATGGAGTGATTTACTTTTAGGCTGAGACCTGCATTGCCAGCTCTGCCAGCCGTTCGATTCGCCAAGAGGACTCATTAACGACGCAGCACCTATCATCAAAATCTAACCAAAATTAAACCAGTGGCACAGATGATTGCGAGTATTTTTCTTTAACCATCAATCGCCTTGTGTTGTTTACCGCTGGAGGCTAGCTGAGGTGCTATTGCATGCGTCGGTTATGTTCAAATCTTGGTTTTGATAAATGGATGTCTGGGATCGACTGTGTTTCCAGCTTTGTTGGATTGACTGGCCTTCGAGTCATGCCGGTGGCCGCACACTCCACTAAAAACATTGAACATTTAAAAGTCTGGCCAAGCTCTGTGCGATGCCATGCTAAAAGGCGTGAATGATGGGCATCCCAACGCCCGTGTTGCAAGTCTACGTCATACATTTCATAACAAAATGCCACGACAGTCAAGCTTTGCACATTTTAATGCACAAAGCCTTGCTTACTAGCAGTAGATTAGCGATTTTCAACTCGTTTACTTCTCTGCAAGTAAATTGACGCACTTCCTTGAACAATGGTGTGTACTCCTGACGAGCGTTGTTGGTGGTCCGGACGACTGTGTGCAGGCAGGTTATAATGAATCGCATCAATCTCCACTTCCATTCTGAAAGGACTCCAAATGCTTTTGTACACATTGTCGTTTGCTTATTCCTCAACAAAAAATTGAAATGGTCCTGGATATTGTTATTCGATTTTGTTTTTCAGCTTTGCTTTCCTTGCCATCGGACGAAAAGGCCTTACGCGAACTTCTTACGCTTGTTACTCCCTTCGCCTTCATTTGAATGAGGTGGTCGACTTACGCTATTTTTTGGGGCAGGCTCACAGTCGCGTCAGCACTTTTGATTCGGCGCATAACCTACAAGTAGTCACCACTTTCCAAATGATCGCGAATCTTAGTGAAACCTTGTAAGAAGATGCAAAAGACGTTTTCTGAGAGGACCTTTACTTTCAGTCGGCTGAGATAATCAAGAGTGATGTCCACGCCTATGTGAAAAGCAAGCAAGCAGTAGTATGTCTTTACATCGAACACTTAACAGATGGAATTTGTCAATTGTGCAACACAAAATACACGAACGGGTGTTTTAAGGCGCCTGTTAAAGCATAAAATGGTCGAAATTGTACTCCAAGCACAAGCCATGCAGACGAAAAGACAACAAATGGGTCATACTTGTGGAACAAAAGCACACTTTTAGTCAGTCTCCTGAATCGCATCCTCATCTTCATCGAATTCTCCTTCATCATCTGCTGTGGCATCCTGGTACTGCTGATACTCACTCACAAGATCGTTCATGTTGGATTCTGCTTCGGTGAATTCCATCTCATCCATACCCTCACCGGTGTACCAGTGTAGGAAGGCCTTGCGTCTGAACATGGCTGTGAATTGCTCACTTACACGTTTGAAGAGTTCTTGGATAGCCGTGCTATTACCGATGAAGGTGACTGACATCTTCAGTCCCCGTGGTGGAATATCGCATACTGCAGTTTTGACATTGTTGGGGATCCACTCCACGAAGTAACTGGAGTTTTTATTTTGCACGTTCAACATCTGCTCATCCACCTCCTTCATGGACATGCGGCCGCGGAAGATTGCGGCGACAGTGAGGTAGCGGCCATGTCGAGGATCGCAAGCGGCCATCATGTTCTTCGCGTCAAACATCTGTTGCGTCAGCTCGGGCACAGTGAGAGCGCGGTACTGTTGACTACCACGGCTTGTAAGCGGCGCAAAGCCGGGCATAAAGAAGTGCAGTCTCGGGAAGGGCACCATGTTGACAGACAGTTTGCGCAAATCGGCATTCAGTTGACCCGGAAAACGCAGGCACGTAGTCACGCCCGACATAGTGGCGGAGACGAGGTGGTTGAGATCTCCATAGGTGGGATTAGTTAGCTTTAGTGTGCGGAAGCAAATATCGTAGAGCGCCTCATTGTCAATGCAGAAGGTCTGGTCGGTGTTTTCCACCAGTTGGTGCACCGAGAGCGTGGCATTATACGGTTCCACTACTGTATCCGACACCTACAAGTGGGACCCACTCTAAGTGTCTCCCGAACACTCTTTGTACAGCTGTAGGTAAAATATCACGATATTTTCGTTCGAGGTTTGCGCATAAGCGATGTTAGCAAAATTTTTGCTCACTTTTTCTTAATTGTAAGGTCGATCGGTTTGATGGAGGAAGTCATGCTTTATAATACAATTTCTCCAGCACACTATAAATTCGTTGGGCTAAAGCGCCTGAAATTTGCACTTAATCTGCGCCTGCTTTACGTAGAGGCACTGAAAACTTATTATTACTTGTCTATATTTTCACTTCATTTGTATTCCCCCTTGATGCATGCAAGCATAGAGCTGCCGCATCCTCTAAATTCTCATTTTCACCAAGATATTAGTTTATTTCGGTGCGTCGTCAACTTGTCAACGATTTTTCAGGTGTTTTAATCACTTAATGCGAGCTTTTCTATCGCTATGTGATGTGGACAGAATTTGTCACGACTACCGAAACATGTTGTGGAGGGACAAAGTAGCCTTTTAATCGGGCAACGTAGTCAATCTCAATGAAAGTCGTGATTTTAACAGGGGAGAATACAACTTGAAAATGGCTTGATTTGGTCTTTGTTTTGGCAATGACCTGACAGAACATGGTCAGTTTGAATGAGGAAATTGTTTCCTTCACACCAACGCTGTGATGCGATGACACGCAATGGCAAGCCCAGAGTCGTAGGTGCCGTTGAAGGCGTTGCAGCCGCCTGCAGGTTACGCACATTCTCTCAAATCACGTTCATTGCCTGTCACTGATGAGGTCCAGACACTCAGTCTTGGCAACAAGGCAACTGTGTTATCACCGATGATAATTCGGCAATAAGTTGTACTACTTTTAGAACCGGCTTAACTCCACGCTTCCTTTTCTTGGCGATGCAAAGCTCAGCTTTTTCCCAGTCCGGAAGACGAGTAGTGAGCTGTTGGGGCATTACACTTTCTCCAGTCTTTTGAAAAGCCCTCCAGATAAACACACTCGAATGAGAACCTCTGGATTTCAAACCTAACAAAATGTGGGTGCCCCAGCGACTTGGTTAGTGTTTTTGTGGGCACATGAAGGTGAGCGCTCAGCTTCACATCGCACTGCGAGTTCAACCAGACAATGCTAGATATCCACCGCCACCATGCGAAGCGTGAGTCAAAGAGTCGAGTTCATTTTATGCTACTGTCATCAATGCAGCAAACAAAAGGTCCGAAATTCCTTGTTAAGACTGCGCAATTCACCAAAAAACGAAGTTGCAATCCAACACGTAGTCTGGCGTACACCGACTATACGGCTGTCTTTTCAATCTCTCCTCCACGACTGCTACAGTGTCCAAAATCCTAACGCTTAAATGGAAACCACTTTCGAAATACTAAAGAATTGAAGAAGCACTGCGACCTTCAAATGATTTTGAAGGTCAACCCTAAAGATACTACTTAGACTTGGTTTGAATGGCAGGAGAATCGGATATTTGGTCTACAGTTTGTGATTTACTGTTTATTTGTCCATACTTCTGTGACACATTTATGAAGTGTAGCACTACAGGGATCTCATTTGCTGTTCGATTTCAGTGCCTCAAGGGAACCCAAGGGCTTCCGAGTGTTTGTGCGCTGATCGAAATGATCCTCGGAATTCACCTACGTTTTACTACTTATTATAGCAATGGCATGCGTTTGTTAATAAAAGAGGTCGATTTGTCAGCAGAGGAGGCGACCGTTGTTTACAGAAGCAAAAAATTACAGCCCACCTGTCAACAGCTTGCTTTTTAGCCGCCTAACAGATTTCCAGATCCTTTTTTTAGTAAATTGGATGATTGACCAAATGCTTACCGTCCAGGCACTTACTTACATCACATCTGTCTTCCTTAGCTCACCCACCTATGATATCGCTATCCCTGAAATAAGGCGACATAATGGCTAATCCAAAGCCTTGGCACGTGTAAGTGGAGGGGGAACTGACCTTGGGGGAGGGCACCACAGAGAAGGTGATCATGATGCGGTCAGGGTACTCCTCGCGAATCTTGGAAATAAGGAGGGTGCCCATGCCAGAACCAGTGCCACCACCAAGAGAGTGAGTGAGTTGGAAGCCTTGAAGACAGTCGCAACACTCGGCCTCCTTGCGCACTACATCAAGCACCGCGTCCACCAGTTCTGCACCCTCTGTGTAGTGACCCTTCGCCCAATTATTTCCTGCGCCACTCTGACCGAACACGAAGTTGTCAGGTCGAAAAAGTTGTCCAAACGGACCTGCGCGCACGCTATCCATGGTGCCAGGCTCCAGGTCCACCAGAATGCATCGTGGCACATACTTGGCGCCGCTCGCCTCATTGTAGTACACACGGATTCGTTCCAATTGAAGGTCTGAATCGCCATGGTAACTGCCTGTTGGGTCAATTCCATGCTCATCCGAGATCACCTCCCAGAACTGCAGAAAAGTAATCGAGTGATTATCTATGCACGATGGACCTATAGTGTGACTCCCTTTCGCCTTGAAAAATATCACTGTAGACATCGGCTGAAGTTGCCACTGCTTGGTCGAGAGCGAACATGGCGCTCCACTAAAGCAGATCAGACTAACCTGATAATTCAAATTTCGCCTGCACCGTTAGACTTCGGACAGCAGCTGTGCTCTCCAATTAGAAAGGAACAGAAAGACGGACGCCTTTTTAAGTAAGTAGCGTAGAGCAAGCAGCAATGCGGAGGAATTTCTCCCAAAAGAGGTGCGCAATTCGAGTTTGTTTTTCTTACCTCATCCTTCGGTTGCCAGAATAACAGTTTGATTTACCAAATGCGAAAGTTTCTTGCTTCATGAAAGTGGCCAGTAGATTAGGCTTATCAGAAAATGCATAAGCGGTAGACAAAATGAGGAGCGACTATTCTGGTGGATTAACTGTTAGGTGGCTGAAAGTTAATTGACAGAGGCAACAAAGAGGTGCCGTTCTCGTAGACAATCCGCAAACACTCAAACACCCAAACGCACCTCAAATCTGCCATTGAATAGTCTGCGTAAAAAAAGTAGATTTACGTAGTCAGAAAATGCTGGACTTGTAATACCACTAAAGTGACCATCCCCAAGGCTTAGGAACACGTTTTTTTCTTGTTACAACCTCAGTTCATTTGAAGCGAACTGAGCGCTCTTTGTGTGAGCCAGTGCCGGTGTGTAATGCTTTTCTTTTTACAAGCGAAAACTACCCTACCTTACATCAGTTGAACATCCAGCGATGGCATTACATTGCCTAAATTATTTCACTTAAAAATCTTTTGATTTGCCTCGCTTTGGTTTGGCCTCACAATGCACACTTCCAGGGCAATGCATCAAAGAGTACTGCAGACGACCAGATCTCGACAGCTTATTTTCCCACGCCAAATACGACAAAGGGCTGGACAATACTCCATAAAATGGTAACGAGGACGGTTAGCCGTGGGAGATTCCTGATGACCTTATATGCAGGCTCATTCATTCATATTTTATGGTGGGCACAGATATGAGGGATTACATGAATAATAATAAGGAAAAGACGACAAATTATGCCTCAGGGACCGGCGACCGCGGTTGCCAGCATCATACCTGAGTACGCTGCATAAGAGACATACTTTGTTCTTTCTGTTGGATGCAAATGCGGTGAGTTGTTCAAACCACCTAACTTCAACTGGTTTGCAGATCCGCTTTAGTCGAATCAACGTGGCCAAGCATCGCAACGAAAATATGCAAGAGTTGTAATAAAGACTCCCTGCTTCTTGTTTTGAGTTATCACAACTAACCCACCCATCTCAAATGGATGTAAGCTCAACTGGTTAAGCCTTCGGCACTCGTTGCAGATGTCTAGAGGGAACTGTTGAAAAGTGCGGTTGTCGCATTGCCTCAAGACAACCTTCAAGTACTAAACAAGGAGGTTGGACGGTGTCTATGCTTCCAAGCCAATTTAATTACTTGTCAAAGAATTACAAAAAAAAATATTTTGATAGAGGACCAACTTTAAGAAGAGAATCCAGTGCTACAGCTTTTGTCATGTATGCATGAGAGTTGATTCACCCCAACCTTTGCTGGAACGCAAGGAATGCGAAAGTTGCACATACTGTGCTGTTTCCAGTAAGGTTTGGTGATTCAGGACGGCAGCTATTTTGCCAGCTAAAATGCACGATGAGAGTGCTGCACGGCGATAAAATGAATTTATTCAAAGATCAGATGGGACAATCATTGAGGTATGAGCAAACTCTTTCTGCAGGTTAACAAGGTTGTTAGTAGAGACAGCATTACCAAGACCATTAGAATTTGAGTAATCGGTAAATACAACTTTGATTTAAATACCAACAGCTAACATAAAAGCAATAGGAAAAGGGGTCAAATTCTAAAAGAAAACCAAGCACTTATTTTCATCGAATTGACGATTTATCATCATTGGTGTTTAGTATATTGAAAATTTGGATGTCTCAAATTCTCCTATCGCTAAGGCTTACCTTGGCACCAACTTGATTGCCACATTGACCAGCTTGAATGTGCACGATTTCACGCATCTTACTACTTGTTGTTACTTTGATTTGAGACGAGTGGAAAACGAAAGGTTAGGAGGGACAGTTGCATTGGCCAGGCCTAAGTCACTGCATCAACCAACTGGCGGTCGACCAATCAGAATCGTCCTGTGGCTGAAGGAGCCGTGCCACCAGAGTTGACCAATGGAAAGAGAGACAATCCACATGTTAGGAAAAATGCAACTTGGAAAGCTTGCAAAGTGTTTTTTCGTACCTCGACTCTTCATCCCTTCCAGGTGGCTTCAAAGCTCAGCAGTCATTTCGAAAACACTGAGTTCCAATTGTGGCAAGATGCAGTGAAATGGACGAAATTGTCCATCATTGATCCACCAGAAAGAGAGCCTATCATGAATTCCTATTTGACAATATGTTTGCTATTCTTCGTCTGCCTAGCTAACGTTGTTCCTTATCTTAAAATGAAGCAGAGGGAAATACGAATAATTTCATTATAAGTGGATTGTTTAACGTCATGATGGCGCACAAAAAATCGAACCACAGCGTTTCAGTTCTTGTCACTTCCTTATTTCAGACCATTTATTTTTGGCATTAAATTAGGCTTTATGTCTAAGTAAAAATTGCTTTGAAAAACGATAGAATTATAGTTATATACTCACAAGACTAAGGTGAGTTTTGTTGACTGGGGGACTGGTGTGACGCATTACATGGGCTTACCAGAACGTCTCTACAGTAACTTTAGTCGTATCTTCTTGTGAAGGGAGGGGAGGGGGGTGTGGGGCGAATTCGCGACTAGATACCACCACTTGAATACCTTTTCGACACAATCAACAAGGCGAATTATTTTAGCTCCATACAGCCCTAATTTATGCTGCCTGCATGGAGGAAGGTACGCGTAAGGGGGTTTTTGACATCCGCTTGAATCATCAACTAAACAGACACTTTAAATGCCACTTTAAACGTCTGATTCATCTCGCAGGCCTTGGGTCCTGCATAGAAGACGTTGACATTACACCGAAATTTTGTTGAACTTTTTAATGGAAGGAGAATAAGGCGAACACAGGCCTTCAATTGCTCAACATGAAAGTGCATTTGGTGTTTCGAAGAGAGCTAAGGAAAGAGCTCGACATCTGTGCAACATTTGTGCTAGATTTTGTTGCCTGTGAAGGCGAAATTTGGAAGTGCTGTTAAATCATTTGAGGTAGCATTAAGCACTCCTAAGCCGAACTTTTGGTGGGGTACTCCTCTTGTCGCCTTTGCGTTAGTTAAATGCTCTCCGATTCACCTTTAGGCACAGTCGACGGAGATCCGCCTTCTCACTTGATAAGCATTACGGTATTGTGTCAAGTAAGCGACTTTTTTGCTTTGTACCTTACTTGACCCCGCACCCACAATCCCCTGGAGCACCTCCATTGCCTTTTGGTTTTGTGGGCGACCAATTCTTCTAGACGTTGGTAGTGTTACTACTGCTTTTATATTAATTCTTCTTCTTGTAGGCTCAGAGAGTTCGACTGACATCGGTCATCGGGATAAAGCCGCAGTGACCTCGTTAAAAGCAGTCGACATCAAACATTCCCCTTGGAGTATATGCTTACTCGAGTATTCTGACACATTACCAAATGAAAATGATTTAAAAAGTCCCTCAATTTGTGTGCTTTTTCGTTCCGGTTCTGAATCCTTATTAGCTTGACTTATGTAATTACTGAATGGTGGCACAGTTTACTTGTAGTGGAGGTGCTTGTGGCCCCATCGTCATTCACTCTTCCTTCCTGAGACGACTTTAGACACAAGACGAATGCTTACCGTGCGCCATCATCATTGCCCCACACCAAAGGGGACGACTAATGAGGTCTAGGTGGACGACGCCCCGTTATGCATTTCTACATTCCTAAAAAGTGTCTTTGAGGAAACATAAGAATTACGGTAGTGTTGAAACTAACATCTCACACCAATCACAGCCCGTAGTTGAGACATCAAGGCGGAGCAAATGCACTTTGACTTTGAAGCCCCTTGAAAACAGGGGAGCCTCTGAGTTAAATAAACATTTGAGTAATTAGCATGAACTTAAAGGATAATCAAGGATTAAGAAAGTGGTATTTCCTATCCAATGACATCAACCAACGAAATGCTTTGCAGAGGTATTCACACGAAGGCTGTGAACACTTTCTAGAAGAAAAAACCACTCCACAAGGAAGGCGTAATTTAAAATCGAAGGAAAAAAAGGCATACACGATCAACTGCATTGTGTAAATGTTAATCTTCCAGTCTTGAGAACATCAGATGACACCATACTTTCATTTTATTGTCTTATGGCAATTTGTTGAAGATCTCGTCATGGTAACGGCCTGACTTTTGCTGGTTGCTGTCAAGGCAACGGTGAGTCTTTTGTTCTGACCGCCAGCCAGATAAAATCCGTTTTGTTGTCGTTGTTTCTGCATCACGGAAGTTCGTATGAGAATGGCTTTTCAAAGGGACCAATTTTATTCTCATTCAGGACTTAAGGAGGTCTGCCCGCCTCCAGACTTGCAAACAAACAAACTTCCACTCCAAAGAAAGTTTTCATCAAAATGGTGGTGGTGAGGACCGCTTTTGTACTCCGTAAAATAAAATCACTCATGATCACTACAGGCAACTTAAACCCACTCAAGCTCATATAAATAGTCTTTTTCAGGTTGGTCATGATACCAATTATTCTGTGCTACCACACTTATTTTGTTGAAAGCTTTTCTAACAGTTCAACACTTTGAAACTACAATTTACTAAACAAGTATATAAGTGGTGATATTTGACTGAGCCCCAAAATACTTGCGCCACCATCAAAATGTTGCGGCCTGCAAGAAAGAATGATGTTCATTCTCAAAATGATCCTCCGTACTACCTGCCACAAGGCGACTTTTACTTCCTCAGATAGAAGATCGGAAATACCCGCATTTTAGCATCTGGTAACCTCAGTCTTCCTTGCCACAAACAACTCAACTGTTCTTTGTGCTTCCCCTTCGCATGTCATAACCCGACTTTTTAGTTGTTGCACTGAGCTTGACCCATATAATGGCTTACTCGCATGCCTTGAATGCTGGCCGTTTGCAAAGTAAAAGTGCGAGTATCATGAATACACAAGGACGCATATTTTTTAACGAAATGTTGACATTTTCAGCCTTGTGTGGATTGAGCTCATGCCTATCAAAATTTAGAATCTATGCATCGGTGCTAATCGGGTTTAAAATATTAAAGCAAGAGGAGGAATATTCACCTGCGAGTAAAAGACTCCAGGATCAGAGCTGGCTCATTACAAAAAGGGACAGAACCAAGTGAACACAATAGGAGTCGAAATTTGCAACCTGTTTCTGCACTTCAACATTCGGAAACGGATTCTCTGTCCCCCAGCTCGACATTCGAACCATATTAGTAGTATACGAAATGAATTAGTAGACTGGTTGGTGATTCCAGTTGACCACGTCTTATTAAGGACATTTGGCTTTCTTTTACGATCAGCGCTGATATTCTACGCTGCAAATATTATCAGATGAGAGGAAATCGGTTTATACCCAACAAACAAAAGGTAGCCGTGACAATAAAAATCGTTTTAGAAATTAAACGACTTTGATTTTGTGTCATGCTTTCCTAAAAATGATTTCCATTCCAATGGAGTGTTTATACATTTTTTGTTCTGATAACATTGGTCTAAAAACTGAGGGAGAAATATCTGTCATGTGAAATCAAGAGGACCTGTTTAAGTGTGGATTTTTTAAAAAGCCTATTACTTGTTAACTCTACGAGTTAGAAATGTGAGTTGGAATTCAATTCGAATGCAGAGCCTAAAAGCCAATACACCACCCGTTTGCAGTCAGCCACCGCCTTTCTACGCTTCTTGGATCGCACATTCAATTCTCTGTGTCATACTCAATAGAGCTCGCATTAGAGGCAACCTGAGTAAGTAACCGAAATATATGCTTGAGTGTTTAAGTGAACCTTTGTAGAGAGAGGCGGGAAGCGAATTCAAAAGCCAATGTGGCGTGCGAGGTCGGAAAGGAATCCGTCTCCGGGTGATATCTGCTATTCGGCTCATCTGTACTCCTATCATCGTTGTTCCCGTAATCAATACCTAATATATCTACTACAGTTAATTTTCCTCTTGAGACTTGTGGTTCAAGAGCATGAGGTAGTTCCTACAGTAGCTAGGATGGGTTCGTATAATAGTGGCAGAGAGGCTACAATGACACTCGCGTTTCTCAAAAGTTGCGCGAATACGCATGCTTGCCCATGTACGAATGTGTAGCAGATGCAATCAACTTTGTTCAAGCAGAAACATAAACCATGCATATATATTAATAAAATGGCATACAAAAATTTGGGCTGCTTACTAACTTCTCATGTAGGTAATTTCACTTGCTTTCTAAAAAAATAGTGCAAGAAAAATTTTAAGGACCATATAAACATGCCTATAAAATTCACAGGATATTTTTTTCACAGTCAAAGTATTATCGAAGTAGAATAACTACTGCGTAAACTTTTGTTTGTACTCTTATTACTTTGCGTGCGCTGCGCGATTTTACAGGTTTTGAGTATGGGTGAGGTGGATGTCATATCGACAATAAATTTCAATGTGAATAATGGCTATCTAGAGGGTCTCATACGCGGGCTAAAGGGGGGAATTCTCAAACAATCTGACTACCTCGTACTAGTTCAATGCGAAACCTTGGAGGGTAATATATAGAATCTATGGAGTCTCGTAGATCTAAAGCTCCACTTACAAGACACCGATTATGGAAACTTTTTGGCTAACGAACCGGGGCCACTGACCGTTGGGATTATCGAAGAAAAAATGCGGGAGAAGCTTGTCAGTGAATTTAGGTACACTCGGAATCAGGCCTTCCGCCCTTTGTCGGTGTTTCTTGACTACATAACGTAAGGTCGCCGTGCCACTAACAGGACGGGTTTTTCAGGTATAGCTATATGATTGATAATATTGTCCTCCTCATCACTGGCACCTTGCATGAACGACCAATATCAGAGCTGATAACTAAGTGCCATCCTCTGGGTACGTTCATGCAGATGGAGACGCTGCACATTGCCTCAACCCCGTCGGAGCTGTACAACGCTGTCCTAGTGGATACGCCATTGGGTAACTAGTTATTTGTCATATTTTCTTAGCACCATACTTTGTCGACTGCGTAACCAAACATGACTTGGATGAACTAAACATCGAAATTATTCGCAACACGCTTTACCGTGCCTACCTCGAAGACTTTTATAGGTTATGTGAATCAATGGGCGGTGCCACTGCAGAAATCATGTGCAACTTACTGGCCTTTGAGGCAGACAGACGATCATTTCTGATCACAATTAATTCGTTTGGCACCGAGTTGACTAAGGAGGACCGTGCAAAGCTGTATCCACGGTGTGGCAAATTGCATCCTTACGGATTAGCTGCGCTTGCAAAGGCCGACGACTTTGACCAAGTTAGGCATATTGCTGATTACTACGCAGTAGGTTTAACTGTCTTTATTGCTTTTGCAATTTGTGGGATTTCAGTGAAATATTGTCTTACTGTTTCCAAGGAATATAAACCACTTTTTGACGACTCGGGAGATGCTTCTGGTGAAAAGACGTTGGAGGACAAATTCTTCGAGTACGAGGTATGTCGACATTTTCTTAAAGCCATCTTGCTGCAGTATTTATTCTTATACTAATGGCAACGATTATAACTTGCTAGGTTCAACTGAACCTGGATTCCTTTATGCAGCAATTTCATTTTGGCCTGTTCTACTCATACATTAAGCTGAAGGAGCAGGAAATGAGGAACATTGCCTGGATAGCTGAATGTGTCTCTCAGCGTCACCGAGCCAAAATTGACTCCTACATTCCTATTTTGTAATCTTGTTCAACATGTTTTACCCACTCTAAGCATAATATTCCTTGCTCATGTTGTCATCATCTCTACTTTCCTTTTTTGTTGTGGATTTTGGACTCAATGAAGGCACTTATGTCCTAGCTCTCTTTGCCTTTCTTGCTTCACTCTCCTCTTTCAGTGAATGCGAGCATTAACTTCCGTGTCGAGTCCGCCAGACATCTCACAGAAGGTATGATGCGGCGCATTATTCGGATTTGAACTTTTGCAGGCTGTTTGCAAACTCCTTGGCTTGTTTGAATCGATCAGTTATCTGAACGAGAATCCACTGACACTCGGAAGTGAATTCGTTGCAAAGTCGAGTGTGGCCACGAGGGTGAACTTGTACTGCATACCGAAAGTAGTCATGTGCCTGTCATGCCATCGTGTTCAGTGTACTGTGCGCTTTCATGAAGCTTGGATTTCCCTGGACACAAGCACTTGGTAAACATTACTCGGTTTGAGTTAAAGCATAAGACACGCTACGCTAAATTCAGCTGCGCGCTTCATTAATGGGGGTTGGGGTTGGCCATACCTAATTAGCGTATCGATACAATGGGTATGGTTCGCTCATTTTGGATGCGTCATTGGCACGGGGAAAAACGAAGTTTAACCAGTGAATATACGGAAACTAGTCCCTGTATATGATAACCACTCACTCACTGAGAAGTGTATTTCCATGTGGATGAATAAAGGCTATAACATTATCGCCAGCAGAAATGTGAAACCTTTAAATAAGGACATGGCCGCTGATCAGTCGGAGGGGTGGAGTTATCTACAGAACGCAATCGTCGCGTCTCAAGGAAGATAATTAAAACACACCCGCATTAATCTACTTGATGCATGCTTTATCTAAAATAGACAGGCGGATGTCTGATAAGGAGGAAAATCCACTCCGAAGCTATAAAATACAACGTAAAGTCTCATGGCTGTCATATTCTGAGAAAATTAATTTAAGACAAATGGGGGATCCCAATTATTATCATGCTAGAAGAAGCAATGTATCTACACATGCTATCAGAAAACCGCTTTTCGATGAGTTTGAATTCAAAATAACCGTATAAGAGAGCCAGCTTTGGTACTGAATCCCCAATTAACAGATCAGAATTAGACAGCCCAAAGGATTGTAGTAAAGTGTTATCCTATAAGACATCGATTGACAGAAAGGTTTGCCGGATGACTATCTCACGGTTCGCAGTGGCATAGAGGGCCAAAACGGAGAATCCCGACATTCACTGATATTTTCATAGAAATTTTCGATTGACGACTCAATCTGCAAGCGTTTCGAAAGAGAAGAGCCACAAAATGGTCGTTCAGGAGGCTTTAAAGGAGGTAGTTTGGTTGCGGAGGCCTCTGCAAGAGCCTTTTCTCTGTCCCGCTGTTCCCGATGGCGGATTGTTTGCAGCATAAAATTTAGCATATCAGGTCCCAACTGCTCGATTGGTTCGTCTTCGTTCTCTTCTTCTGCTGCCTCGTCTTCGTAGATTTGTTCTTCTGGGTACTGTGGCACGTCATAACTAAAAACCCAATCAGGTAAACCATGAGAGATATTAGTTAGTTGACCAACGACCTCATTGTAGGCATGCCGGTAGTACTCCTGCTTATATTTCAATTCATGCAATTTGGCACGAAGAGCACATAAACATTTTTTTTGAGACTGAGGTAGTAGTGGCTTTGGAAGTGATTCCCAAGCCCGTGCTAAGTCGACTTCGATTTCCTCTAGAAATTTCTGATGTAGTTCATCTATGCCATCCATCACTGTAAAAAGAAAAAAATCAAGCAGACATCAATCCTTTTATTCAACCAAATAGTTCGAAGTTTGTATCATATCAAGTTTGTGATCCGCGACATTGGGTTTGACTTCATAATTTGTTATCACAATCCCCTGACGTCTTGCCTGCATGAAATCACCCCTCAAACCAATGTAGTGAAGCCGAGTGCATTCACCACCAAAGTTCTTCAAAATGTGAAGACCAAGATGCTGAACATTTCCAAATTTCAGGACCTTCAAAGGATAGGTGATTTCCCCAGTAGGATCAGGATGCAATTCTAAGTACTGATCAGCCTGGGCCTAAATGCAAAAAAGATACTATCCGATCTAGCCTACTTCGGTGTCAACAAAGGTCATAAAAGGCCTATTTTTGTAAATAGCAACCGATGATGGATGAGTATCACCGTTTTCACCGGCAATAATTATGCCCTTCAACTTCACTGAACCAGTAAAAGGTATGTTGAACAGAAGTTCCTCATCATCATCACTTTCCACAAAGATGCTCGAATCCTTTCTTTCCTAAGGAGAGATAAAATTCTACCTCAAATACCTCAAAAGCCTTAAAGACCTTCTTTCCAGAATCAGGGACACTCTCATTAAGGCATACTAGATTTTCCATATCAATAAACTTATAAAGATTATACAAGTCGACTGCATCTTCAGGGACATGCGCGTGCTCGCAGTGACCACGACTATCACACATTCCGAGGACAAATGCAAGTTAGCGAAACACGGGCGACGACTTACCCAACGGGTCAGGGTCATTTATAGCGAGTCCACACTGTTCAAAGAAGGAAAGAAATAAAACACTGCAAATTAAACTTATATTACAATATTATCTATTGTTAGGTAAGTAACAATACACAAGTACATGTATAATATTATCAAAGGAATTTCGCAAATAGAAGTACATGTTAAGGTGTCCATCGAGCGGAATTTAAGCATGAGTTTAATGGCCATCAAGCAAATTATGTTTGCATCCTTGTCTAGTAAATTTCATGAGCCGAACCAATAATGGAGTGCGCTAAGCTAACTACCATCAGCTTTGCCTTCTCGCTATTTCTAGGTACTTTTGCAAAATTCTTTGAAACAGTAGCATGCTCCGTTCATTTGGTTTATCCTTTCTTAGGCCTTAGGGCATACTAGGACTCACCCTTACCGCTTGTACATCAGCAGTGTGTTAGTGTCTTCTTATTTAGACTGAGCTACCTTAAAGAATTACTCAGGCACAAAATGTAAAGTGCCTGTTCCTCAGGGGTCACTCTGTCGGAAGGTCTAATCGTTTGATCAGTTACTATACTTGGTACCCAAAGTCCTGCGTTTGGAGAACCTCTTTTGTGCTATATTACATCATCAAACCCTAGTTCTTTAGCATTATTTGTTGTACTTTTTTTTACTTAATCCACGGATTTTAGCTGCAACAACTGATGTCAACCGCAGGAAACCCTAAAAAGGCTTTAACTTGACTTCTAATTAAAGGAACTACCCGCCCCCATGCTCTACTTTGGGGTTAAGGACCGCTAAAGTCACATCTCTTTAATTTCTTCAGATGTCTGCAACCTTTTGTCTCTATTAGCTTGAGAGAACCCGTGGAGATAAAGGAGAATAGGAAGGCGGGAAATGAGTGGGTTCAACGGCTGTTGCAACGCATTGTAGAGTAGGTAGAATGGAAAGATGAATGTGAAAATGCGACTAAACGTAAAACTAAGTACATCGATAAAAATATGGGGGGCCATACAGTGCTGATGCTTTAGAGTTGTGTATTTGCACTTTTGCGCACTTTTGTAGCCTTAAAACTCTTTCTACCGCTGATGGCACATACCCTTCCACTCGACTTTTGCGGGATTTCTAACCAATGGGTGAGTAGCAGTTGATGTCCTTCTCATTTCAGATGAAGGTAGTTTATTTACTAGCAGTCAAAAACAATGTGATGCGTGAACATATCCTGACAGATGTTCTATTTTTTCGCTCCATCAGATAACACTACCACACCATTTACGGATAAACTCGAAGGTATCAATGCACTCGGAATTACGGTTCACATTGGCAGCATAGCTAATACGCTTCCAGTCCTCCAAATTAGCTGAGTGTTTCCCACTTTTGGATGAAAATGAAACACCATCACGCAAGACGGGATAGCCAGTTACCACGCATGGTAGCGCGGACACACCCGTTGCAGGAGAACTCAAACAAGCTACGTAGATTCCTCGTTCATCTTTAGGTAACACCTGATCCAATTTCTGATCCATCGACACTGCCAGGATCCACTCACGTACTGATTCGTGCTCAGCATTGGTGGCGTAGGGCTCTTCCGGAATTGGAACCTCCAAAGGAATGTCTGTGTTCTAAAGTTAAATAAGATAACTCTAAGGCGACTCCTGTAATGTATATCAAGTAAGCAATATAATTACTTTTTTATTTTTTTCCAAATACTATGCAAAATGACAAAGACCGAGACAGGCTTCAGTATCGATATTATCATACCTCGAAATCAGTGCTGTCTAGTGCACCCGAATTGCCCTCGTGATCTTCAATCACCTCCATAAGGTCAAGAAAACGGTTTAAAAAAACAAATGCCATGCTGTCCCATCCCAGCTTACGACACTGAGTCCCAGCTTCGAAGAATGCCTTGTCAGCGGGAATGATGTCTGAGTCTCTGAGGAGGGAGACGCTCACTTTTGTCGCCAACTGAAAACATTAACAATCTGTTAGGCTTATTACATAGTTTTCAGTAGGTTAGATCTATCATGTCAGAACACACATTTGTCATTTGAGACGTGCATGTCTGCAGTCATGAAAGCATGTTGTTATTAGCAAACCTTGAACATTTAAGATGAAATAAGAAATAAGAATAGTATCGTTACAAAATTATGGTATTTGGCTCACATCAAAGAGCTTTGCAGAGATCAGTGCCGAACGTGTTGCATAATAGTGCGCCACCAGAAACATGCGCTCAAAGACGTTAACTACATTGGGCTGGATTTTGACAGCACCGGAGAGAGAAGAGACGCGTTGGTAGATATCAAAGAGGGTGTCTCTCAAAGCAGCCCATGTGGAATAGGCGTCCGCTGTGGCGAGATTGCGTTGTGCAGTTATCTCCTAACAACGGAGTAAATGAGAGGAGAAAGTAAACACAATTGAACGACTCACTTCTGGTCTCAAAATTGGGACTCACTTGGAATATCCCCTTGTAGATATTGAAGTTCTGCACGTAAGGTGGTGCGCCATGGCGCTTGTAAAGAAGAAGGGCATCATAGGCGCGTTTCTCCCTGATCAAAGTCGCAGCAAAGGTGGCAAGGTGCTTATGTAGCAACTGGTAGTCACGTTCCGCCTGCGTCTCCTGGTAGAGACGATCCGCAGCATTTATGCACTTCTCCCACCTACCCTGTTCCGCATACATCTCAATTGCCGAGAAAGCATCGACGCCAGCCAGTTCTTCCGCCTGTCCCTTACTCTACATGTTTCAACGGTATTCCAGAGGCCATTCAAAACTGTGATCACTATTACTCATCGATGGAAACTTAAATAATGATGAGTAACTCGTAGCTATAAACACCGTAACAGTTCTATTTTCTTCAGAGCTTTCTGACTTGACAACAACTGAAAGGGCACCAACCTTAAGAAATTCCTTATATTTCTTTTCCACGTAACTCTTGAGCTGGGGCTCCAAATCCTGCACAATCTTGCGTGCCTTTTCCCACTCCTCACCGGCTACAAAGACATTAACGGCCTCTTGAAATCTGTCAACGCTAAGCAGCAACTCGCCAGCTGTACTGTATCGCTAATGGTGGGGGAGGAAAGTGGAAGCCATTGAGTAATGCCACGCAAAAGCAAATACATCAAAGGGAACAGCTTACTTGAAGTCGAGCCAGCTTTGAAGCCACCAACTCGGTCACTTGGACGGAATTCTCTGGAGTAAGGAATTTCATAGCAAGGTTGGCAGCATGCACCCATAGGCTTTCGCACGTCTCCACAGAATGAGTTAGTGCAGCTGCGCTCTCGCCTTCCCCACCACCGTCTCCACCCTCAGAAAGGAGGTCAGGTGTGACTTTGAGGTAGTGCTCTACAGCCTTGAGGTACTCTCCGTTTCCCTCTAGCTGTCGTGCTGATGCAATCAGAGGATGCGTGGAACCACCAGACTGTCTGGATATAGGTAGACTTTGTAGTCCGCGTGCACGAACGGAATTCGCCCCACGCTGCGCTGACCAGTGTGGATCCCCGCCACCACCACCACCACAAACACTACCAGCAGTTGCAGCTGTTGAGTCTGTGCGCATTTTCTCCTCCTCGTATTCCTCCTGTAAGTAGTTAGCTGTAGTGAAAGTGTAGGTGGTGCTGCAGTCAGTTCATACGCACGCCGTGGTTTACAATATTCGATATGGCAAGCATCTTTTGCATATGTATGCATGGATAGATTTTCTTCCCAAAAGGAGGAGCACGCAGGCACAAAGTTTGGTAAATAAATCCCAAAGAGTAGTATGAGTGACTATGTTGACATAATGATGCGGGATGTTGGCTACCAGCGGAAAGAGAGAATAGCTACACGGTGAATACGTATTGAAAACAATACGCGATACAAAAGACTCAAGGGTGATTCCAAGGCACTATTAATCGCAAAAGTCACCATATAACAAAGTGGATCTTAAATTTTTCCCTTCTATTAACAGTGAAGCTGTCTAACATCGCCTCCAAACTAATTGCCGAAGCCTGATCCACCTAGATGAGTGTTTGAATCGCGTGCCAAGTAAACGTACGACTCCTAGGTTGGTACCAAAAATAGCTGATCAGAAGTATAGCTTTATTAAACAATTAAGAGGTTAAATTTCGCAAGTGTAATCCACTCTTGAAGTCAGTGAAACCAAATCTGTTGTATATTTGTTTTGCAAAAAAAAATATTTCTCATCCAGAACATCGCAGCCAAACAGTAAATTTCCTAACAAATGGTTGCCTTAAAATATGCCAACTCCTTAATAAAGGGACGAAACAAAGAGCAACAAGGGAGGAACCCTATGAGACTTTAAAATTCGGCTCCAAAAGAAGGAAGCAAGTCTCACCAGAAGTTCCTGTAACTTGGAAGGAAGATAGGCTTGAGCCACCCGAATGGCATCCTCCCAATGGCCGGTCTCTCGGTAAGCGCGCACTGCCATGTCAGGCCGTTGAGCGCGTAGTAGCAGCGCTTCCGCTTGGGAGAAGTCGCGTTCGCTGAATGCGATCCGAGCTTGACCTAACAAGACGTCGTTCACGCTCTCTGGATCGTGCTCCCTCGCTACTCGCGCAGCTGATGTCCAGTCCTGGTTGTGAACATACATTAATACCGCCTCTCGTGGTCGTCCAGCCTACAATAACATACTTAAAGGTTTGAAAACATAAGATACTGATGCTAGTCGATGTAATGAAGATGAATGGAACCTTAATGAACTGTTCTTCAGCCTCAGAGAGCTTCCCTTCATCTTCAAGGAACATGGCATACTTGTTGTGCACCTCGGCAACCTTTTCCGCCGGGCAGGAGCGTACTAACTCAAAGGCGAACTCGAAGGCGCAGTGCTCCGTGGCGTAGTCGATGGCGGTGTGAAGTAAGCCAAGACGATTAAGCAGACGCACTGCCGAGTCACTACCAAGGTGCTTAGCCCATAGAAAGGCCACTTGTTTGCGCAGCTCCGGCTGCTGTCGGCATTCTCCAGCCACACGAAAGGCCTCCTCCCAGAGGTCGCGTGTGCGGTACATGTTGACCACTGACTTCCACTCCCCTGCCTACAAGAGCACAGAGGGCAATTGAGTTTCAAGTCCATAACCAAAAGAAAAACTATAGTAGCTGGTCATGATTAGTATCAGGAGATCACTCGAAAAAATGAAGACCATGAGTAGGTTTTCGATAGCCATGCTTCAAGCGTGGCTTGGCGGGCGAAGTCATCATGCTAGAGTCGCCTTAACCAACTCACGTCTGTTATTGTTTGTGTAATGCGCTTAAATGGTTCAGTGATATCTTTCTCCACCTCGGTTTGCAAAAAGATGGTGATTCTATGGCTAGCACAAGTTGGACATCGACAAATTAAGAAAAGACAAATGAAAAGGTTCCAAGTTGATAGAGTTTTGAATCCTCCTTGCCTACATTTGAGGTGGACTGTTCGATGGGTAGCAAGTTGAGATGAAATGCAACCACTATGTGGATTTTAAGGGTAGCTACCTCCATGTAGTATTGCTCGGCCTGTCGCAGATTGCCTTCGCACTCCAATTCCTGCGCAATACGAATTAGTGTCTGTTCGAGGAGCTCCGGTTTGTGAGTACGCACTATACGCGCCATCTCGCGATACTGTCTCTGATTTTTGTACATTGTCATTGCCCGATCAACACGTTTCACCGTCAAGTAGAGCCGCTCCGCTTCCTTTAGCTTGCCACTATGCTCCAAGGTCTCAGCTTGTTGTATGTACATTCTAAAAATGGCCGCCTCGGTTAGTGGGCAAAGGCTTTATTTTTCTTTCTACGTCTTTTGACAAGAGGTCATATAAATGTGTACGAGCATAGGAGGGTGTAGAGTCAGCAGTACACTTTTCGATTAAGTGAGTAGACGAGAGGAAAGGAAAAAAGGGGATGGGATATCAGTCACTCTGAAAGAGACTGAACTTACGTGTTGAGAGCATCCTGTTGCATATTAGCGGAAGCTAAGTCGTGAGCCTCCTCCCACATGCCCGCGTCAGTGTACATCTCAATGGCGAGTTTGGGTTCACCTGCCGCCAAGAAAGTTTTCTCAGCCAATGCGAATTGACGCGTGTGCGCGTAGTGTCGAGCTAACTCCAGTCTGTACGGTGCCACGGCCTCCATTGTTGAGTCCGAATTATCGCCTGTATCGATACTAGAAAGAATTTCTGCCATTTTTGTCCACTCGCCCGCCTTCGTAGCCGCCTCAAGCGCTTTTACGTAGGCCCTTTCAGAAGTTGCAAGAAAGTGAACCTGCATGAGGGTTGACATGAATCATGCATGGATAAGCACGCACCTACCAGTTGAAACAGAGAGCGCTAACATTTAGCTTGATCCAATTCTAAGTCGTAGATTAGGTCACGTGTGCTCAGCAGTAAATCTGACTAATGCGAATCGGAACAAACTGCATGAAAAAATTCATCTAACCGGCGTGATGAAATTCATATAAAAGTTTATTTCCAGATTTTCACAAGAAATTAGGTGGGTCAGGTCAGAGTAAAAGTTCACACCCAGCTTCAATGAAGTGGCTTATGGCTGCATCAAGCTGCCGGCGAGTGACAAGATAATTGCCCCACTCTTCCTCCAGCCACACAACTTCACTAGGGAGGTGCTCGCGAGCCACGTCGAGGGCCTTCTGAAAGGCACCGCCTGCGCGGAAGCAACGCATCGCAGCCTCGTACTGTCGCAACCGTTTATACAACTCTCCCGCCTTCTCCTGTTGATTCGCACGTATAAGGGCCTGTATAAGGAGGGTGAAGAGGTTGCAGCACTACCACCAGACTAAAAAACTGAAAACGGCTCGTGAAAACAGATGAAACTTCTTCTCACAAGTTCTTTGATAGCGAGAGTGTATTGTGGCAGCTAGTGGGATTGAGAGCGATTCTATCAAATGCTGATGATAAAATTAGCTATTTGAAAAGCATCACAGTAATTATTATATAATATTTATGGCAAATTTATAAAAAAATATTACAATTTTGTCAATTATTCAATCATTTTTCCATGCAAAATTTATCGCGTGGTTTGTTCAATTACCATTCGCGTCATAATAATCACAGGATCCAGTTTTGAATGACGTAGGCTATTATTGTGCAGCACAATCAACGCTTAAGGCGGTTGCGATTTACCTGAGCAATTTGCTCCAGTACTCCACGGTCCTCAGACAGTGAGGCGTCGGAGAGAGCAAGAGCTGCAGCCTTCCCGGGCACAGAGGCCCGCAGATAGAGACTGACAGCAGTTGCGTTGTCAGCATCTCTGGCACGAAAGTCGCCCAACACTTCCATCTGTCCGGTTTCCACCAACCACTTGTTGTAGTCCTCGCGCAGCATCTCCAAATTTGACCAATTTTTTGCCTCCGCAATCTACAGATGCATGTTTACATTGTCGTAATTCAAAGGTCTTGTAAAACATACACGCAAGTTCTTGAAGTGCCAACCCACCTCGAGAGCTTTCTCGTATCTGTGCATTTCAGTGTACATATTAATGGCCTCATCGACAGCATTGTGCTCGAGGAAGATAGCCTCGGCAAGTTCCAGATTACCAGCGAGGATGTGGAGTCGAGTTTGAACTTTGTAGTGGTTTGCGTCGCCCTCCTGTTCCGCAATGTCCCTCGTAACTCGAAGGTATCGTGCCTTGCTAAGGAGGCCCAGTGCAGCATAACAGCGTTCTGCTACCAAGAGGTTATTGGATTGCAACGCCTTTTCAGACAACCTTTTCCACATACTCTCAGTCTCCTCTGCCATCGCCAGAGAGTCAAGAAAAGTGACAGCTCTTTCTAGATCATTATCCTCCATTGCGGTACCAAATTCAATGAGACTATTGTCAAGAGGGTGCCTAATGGTCGTCATCCCCTTGGATACAAGAACCTCCGTCTTGCCTCCTATGTGATCAACACCGACGATGTCGCCGCCCTGTAACGGTACTTTTGTCACCCTGTCGATAGCATCGATATTGTACCATATGCTAATGTTATCCTTTGTTTGGGCAACGATTGCATCACTCTGTGGAATCCACTGAACAAAGGCACAAAATGGGAGCAGGATGGAAGAAGCAAAGGTTTCCGTATTGAGGATAAGCAATTGACGTTTCCGATCTCGAAGTAATAGATGATTTGCCTTTTCACTTAATTCTATCCAGTCCAAACACACGTCGTGATTGTAGTGGCCAATTGTAAGACCAGACGTCAAATCCACAACATTCACCGTCTTCGGATCCAACATGTAAGCCATCCTTTTGCATGTTGCACTATTCGTACTCCTCTCGTTTATTCGAACACTGAAGAGGTAGGGATTTGTTATTTCCGTACGCACAGATCCAAGCACCTCTGATAATCCATATTCAATCACAAAGAGTTCGCCAGCACCAAAAATGACGCAGAATTTTCTGCTTGAGAAAATTATTTTATATTTCGTTCCATTTTTTCTCCAATACACTTCGCTCAGCTCCTTAGTAGGTATATAAACCAGAATGAGTGTGTCAGATGTTTGTGCAACCAGATAGCTGTCGCCGCCCATTACTTTAACATCCTCAATTTCGTAACCGTAAATTGATCTGAGCAAGGTTTTATCCTGAGTGTTTTTGTTTAACACAATAATTTGACTTGGTCCCACGTAAATTAACTCAAAATTTCTCACGATTCTCCGTTTTATGCAACAATCGAATTGATCAACGCCCCCACACAACGTTCCAATCGTCAGTTTGGATCCATCAGGTTTCCAACACATAGCAGTTATGGTGTAAAGATTTGGAATAACTTTTGGGGAAACTTCATCCCAAACATTTTTACGGATGCTAAAGTTATAAACTCGTATCCTGTTATAGCTTCCAATGGCAACAACATGACCCCCCGGTCCTGAAACTGCAATGGTCGACTCCTTTTCAGTTGGATCCTTCGAGTAATCAAATTGCTGCCGTATTTTTCCTTCGCGACCATATATAACAACGCGTCTATCGAAACCGGCAGCAAAAATAGAATTACCGGCCCAGGTCAAGGCAAAGGGTGGAACGGGGTGAGTGGCAACCTTAGCTTGTAGCATACAATTGCCATCATCATCGAAAGTATACCGAGCAATTTTCCCATCCGCATGACCGGAAATAAATCCTCTTCCGCAAGGATTTGCAGCCAATGATACTACATAAGATCCAGAATTGAAGACAGTTGATGACTTATTATTTTTTGTGTTTGCAAGTCTAACTTTTCCATCTATTAGACCCATTATTATCTGTTGTTCAGACGACCAGATGATGCAAGTGACAGGATTTCGTTGGGGAAACTTGTTACAGATGGCCTTCTTGTCCTCCCAACTTTCACCAAGTTTATAAACAAACACCATATTATCAGATTGAGCAATCGCAAGCTTTATCGAGTCAAAGGAAAAAGACAAACCAGTGACAACGTAACCCTTTTTCGATTTTCCATCAGCCGGTTTCGTTAAAAATCTCTCCCTTCTTTCACCATCTTCATCAAACAAAACAATAAGACGATCACTCGTTGAAACTGCTAACCGTTTGTTGTTCGGAGACCAGGCTAGTGCCGATATTTTCGATTCCATTAATTGATGTGAAATTAGGGTTTTCAAGTGTTTGAGATGCATCTTCTAAGCCACAATGTTGCAGAGACTACCTCGCAGCCAATTACGAACAAGTGTCCTAGACACGTACGAATAATGCACGCAGACCTAAACATCAATTACAATAGCAACCAATGATTTTAAAGGTCATCTAAATAAAAGTGAAAATCGAAAGGGAGATTACCATTGAATCTGGATAAATAGTTTCCGAGGTGAGCAAAAGTTTGAAAATACAGACATCTCAGTATTTTCTTCCCAGCAAGAGTCCAAATCACATCGCAAATCATAGAAGAGTGTAAAAATATGGGTCAAACAAACAAGCGTGCAATTTTTCCATCCTTCTTACAAAAATCAATTGACGCATCTCAATTCGAAGCATGTTTTATTTTAAAAGCTATCACGTAGCTCCAGCTAGGCGGGAAATAATTCATTTGAATAAATATTCGAATACACCATGGTAAACGCCTGCTGAGAAAACATCTTTTATTTCTTTGTTAACCAGTTATTGTTACCCAAAATTTTTATTATCTTGCCATGTTTGTTTTGTTATGCGCTCAATTTTGACCTTGGATTTGTGGCTTCATATTTAATTCAGCTTTAATGGATTATCGCCACGCGGTAATTTGTCTATGGGTCTCTTTATCAGGTGTGTTTAATTTGATTATTTACTCTTTTTAGCGGCATATGTTGCAGATGTTGGAAAATACAGAGGTAAAGTTACCAGTTTTTTTTACTTTTAAAAGTTTGTTTGAGTCAAATGTGCGAAATCAGTGGATTCCCAATCGATGGATCATATGAATACCTTAGGAAGTTGTTTTCTTCTGGATGCACACATATTGTAGGAAATTTGATCATCTATGGCCTTCGCTCTACTGGTATGCAAACAAACCTGATCGAATTTATTTATTGTCATTATAAACCATTTTCATAGTTAAAAACACTGTTTATTTCTTTGCTTGGATTTTGAATGTGCCTACTTTTATGTTTTATAATTTTTAGTTTTGTGTTCGTAACTATTGTCTGCGATTTCTTGTGTATTTGACGTGCATACTTTGTATTTGTTTTTCATTAAGTTGCCTTTGTGTTTTTGGATTGTTTCTCAATCACAGGCTAATCATTTCTGAACCTTGCCCATTAAACAAACCATTTTGCTTTGGTTCTTTTTTAGCCGATGGGCCAGGTCCAGATCTGAGTTTTTTGAAAGACATTGAAGAAATCAGTGGATTTTTAATCATAATGAACTCTAGTGTTGACGAAATACCTCTTTCGAGTCTTAAAATTATTCGCGGCCTTGGCAGCGGTTACAGTCTTCGTGAAGATCTTCCAAAAGCGTCGGTGCTTATTCGGCACACATATGAAGCAGGAAGGATGCTTAAAAAAGTTGATCTCAGTAATCTTCGTGGTGAGTTAAACCTTATTTCAGTGGTTTTTTTTAAGGTATGCTTTATTCACTTGCTCGACCACTCGTTGACATTAATTCACGTTGACAGCTGTCGATGACTACTTACGTAAAATGCTTGATTTAATTCTCTTTGACCTGAGTTTTGTTACGAAAAATTTGGCACTTTTCAAATACCTTTATCATCTTTAATGGTTTTTTGAACTTTCATGGTGAATTTACTTAAAATACCTAGTATGCTCGACGTATAATTAATTGAGAGGTTTTGACCGTTTTTATCATTTCGTGAAGGACAGACTTTATGGATTAAAATTTTGACTGTTCTCATAGACTTAATGCACTTCTACGCACCGGTTTTCGGCAACTATTTTTGTCGATGATGTCTTTTATGATGAAATTTTTGCTTTTTTTCCAGTTGCTGTTTGTTACCCATGAAATTAGGCATGCTTTGATGTAGTTTAGTTACAATAAATAAAAAAGGTTGGTTTAAGTGTCATTTAAAAAACGTTTCAAAGGCACTTATATAATCGCAGGTTGCGATGTCATGGTTTGACAGCTACAACGTCAAAAACAAAGAGAGTCATTAAGTTCACATGCTTTTCTGACTCATGGCTCAAACATTGGCATTTCAATGGTCTTGGTGCCTCTTTGTTAGTATTTTTAAGCAAACAGTCAAGTTGTTCCAATGTACGGATTTCTGCTGCGGAATTGTTTTCTAACATTTGCTTATAGTATTTACTGTGTGGTGCTGAGCTCGGTTTCGGTTTTCTTTGACCATCAATGTTCCCTTTTTAGTGGGCGTATGAAAATACCTAGCAGCTCAAATGCACATGTTCTTGATTAATTTTCTGCTGCAGTTCTGTAATAAGCTTTCAGACTAGTTTGCCGCTGTCCGTATAGTGAGTAATTAGATTCGCAAAGAAGTGATTTTCAGGTACTTTTTCTCACTCCAACGAATGTCATGGCTACCAAACGAATGGATTTCCAAGCTTTCGAATCGACATCACTTTATTACCTATTTAATTTTTTGTCAATGATGTATTCGCTGAGTTTGTATGTAATGCTTTTTTAGTAATTCAAAATGGGGATGTCTACATGTTTGACAATCCGCAAGGATGCGATTTAACACCAGGACTTTCATGGGATGGTCTTTTTGCAAATCCAGCCATCCAGCGTTTTCACACCTCCACAGTCTCGGAGTTGAACCAAGGAGACTCTTCCCAAACGGAGCCCTGCCCATCGTCTCCAGGTAAAGACGGCTCGCAACAACCTTTGTGATTTTATTGGAGTAGTGTGCCAGAAACCGGGATGAGTTTGTTCTCAGAACGTATGTGAAATCCTGCGTAAGATAATAGAGCACACAAACGAAGGCTATTCTGGTGAGTACGCATAGTTAACTGCTGGTGCCAAATGAGCAAAGACGAATCGATTGAAAGAATGGAGCCATACAGTCCTCTACCTCCTTCTCAATGTTTCTTGAGGGCTGAACGCCTTAAGAACTTGGAAGTAAGGTCTGGTCACTTAGAGTGCCCGAAAATAGGCAGTAGTTTGGGTAGAATTAACCCACTACCGTTGCACATCGATAACAATCAGCGATACTCTTTCCATGGATTGTTCCAACATTCCATTCGAGCATAGCAGTTTAGACAGCTTTTTACCGCTTTCTTTATGAACACATCAAAGCTGCGTAATGCATAGCTTCAATGGTTGCGATTTACTCGAATGATCATCATTGAGAGCAGTGCAAAACCCTAATACCTAGTTGCTCTCTTTGACGCAGGAATAAACTTACAAAAACTTGAAGTTGAGATCAACAGCATAGCTTCCTTTTGAAGGGAAATGCAACAGAAAGAACTAGGCGCAGTTCGTGAATTGCAAGCCAGTAGGCTCGTCGTAGGTGGATGTTATTTTCGCAGTCAAAAGTATGAGTTCTAAGCAGGAGGGACGAGGCCTAAGTACCTCAAAGTTAAATTGACATCCTCCGAACATGATTCGCTTCTCTTTTTTTCAATGCGCTGACCTTTGTGCACAAGTAAAGTAACTATATAAGAAGCAAATACACACACACACACACACACCCTTACTTCTATGTTGTGTCAGTAGAAGTGGGAACATTCAACCTATTTGACTTCTGCCTGTCCTCAATGCGTCCTACACTCTTTTTGTATGCTTTTTATTCGCTTATGTAGTAGCTCGAGTGATTAGAGGGTTGGGTCAATGACTCCTCTTTTATGATTCAGTCCGACTGAAGCCACGCAAATCTTTAGCTGTGAGCAGGCGAAGTGCTAATTTAAGGTAGGGCGCTGAATTCCATGCATTAATTAGCATTCCGTCTGTCTCACCCAAAAATTAGAAAGCGAATTACTGTTTAGCGCATTAAAAATGGTAATGTAGGACCTTAAGAATTTACACACACGAGTTAATCCTTTTTCTTCGTTTGTAAGCACACTTACGCTCCAATGGATGACTGCATGAATCCTCTTCTTCTAACTTTAGCCTCCACTTACAATGTGTCTTGTATTCACTCACCGGCACCAAGGCAAAATGTCATTTTAATGCTGTGAACATAAAACAGTGCTAGTGCCACGATCGATGGTCCCATGATCAGGTATGCTCTCACCGTTTGGAAAGCATGTCCCAACAGCGCAACAAATTAGAAAAATAAACCACAACACTCAAATCATTCACCAAAGTACAGCATATTTTCATTTGGCTTTTGTGAAAGTTCTGTCTTGTCGCAGATTAGTCAGACCTTGACCCCCCCACAGTCGCGTCGGTTCTGGCTCAGTCCGTGCACGTCGTAGCTCCCCTCTTCAAAGAATGCAGTCATCATGACACCTAAAATGTCAACACCTGCTCATGCTCTCCAGCCGAGGAGGAGTGAGGTCCAAGCATCAGCTTGGTCGTCAGATGGGAGACTCTCGGATGTCTCACACCGACAAGTCACACACCGCACCTCACTTTCCCTTTTCCCATCTGTTGTTGCCCAACTTGATCGTTTTTGTTGAATCACTTCCATTGCTAGGATTTACTCTAGAAAGTAGCGGTTCTACAAATTGTCCTAAGGAATCTGACGGTAACACTTTTTTCTACAACTATGCACAGTGAGTACAGACCAGCAGTTTTATTAGTCGTTTGCGTAATTACCGCGAAATGTATGCGTATGTTAGGAAAGAGTGCGTTTATAAATTTTCATAATTGAGTATTAGGGCTAAAAGATTTTGTTTTTATGATGATTTATGGGTGGCTGAGTTAAATTGATAATGTAATGAAAGCCTCTTCTCAGACATAAAAAGGTATGATTTTTACGTGACGCGAGGCACCTTTCGTGTTGCCTCTTCTTCTTCTTCTTCTTCTTCTTCTTCTTCTTTCTCTGCGTCTTCCAATCGCGCATCCTTACACTCACGCCTCGGAGTGAATGCCGTGTACACTCACTCAGCAGCGATGGTGAAAGGCGAGTTCATGCAGAGGCGGCGTTTGATGCTGATGAATATCATTTGGGCGACTTCGGGTGCTCCAAAGGCATTAGTGTCGCTACTTCTTGTAGCCATTCCATCAAATATCCCGGCGATGCGTGCTGTACACCATTTTCATATACTTACGCAAATAAGTCCACTTTACAGGAGGTATGTTTCAGTTCAACTGTCTTTTGTAAAGCGGCGTCAACAATGATGCTCCGGTGATGTAAGAGGATGCTGCCAATATGAAATAGTCGTTTATTTGTCCTCAGAGCCACTGAGGAAGTTAAAAAGCTTTACGTTCCGACTGAGGACGTTTTAAAATGGACATCGGCCACTCACTGACCTGAGATACTATTTATCTTCTCCACAACACTGCTATTTATGCATCTCTTTTTTCTAGCATAAATGAATAATAATGCCACAATTTCAAAGGTAGTGATGGGTGTGTTTTTAAGTGTTCCCTGGGCAACATAAAAAAATGCGCTCTGATTGTCAGAGTCACAAGTTGTAAAGAATGCGAGGCTGTTTTTCTCATGCCACTGAAATCTCAAACATTTTCGGGATAAATTATGCAGAATCATATCCTTTGACTGCGGTAACAGTTGTGATTGTGTCAGGTGGAGGTGCTGTACCTTGGGCAATTTGCAGCACGTCACGAATCAGGTGAAGGGGGAAGGGGGAGATAAGGGCTTTGGGCGGGCAACAATTCATCACTGCAGTCCTCTCGCTTGTGTTTTCTACAGGTCACTCCTCATCTTGAACCCTCACAGCATAAAGTGGAAACCATAAGAATCACTGTGTTTAAAGATCGCCGGCTCTACGAATTGAGTTAGAAGTAATTCCAAAAAGTGTAAATTCCCCTTTTGGCATGCTTAAGGTGGTTTTTAGGTCCTCGATTCTGCGGAGGCAGCAAAAAAGGGTGAAAAGGAGATATTCCGCGTTTAAACAGATCATTTGTTCCCAAAAAAATTAGGAGTCACACATTGTCACTGCAAGTCCTCTCCAAGATTGACTTTTTGGTTGGGCTCAACATGACTAATTCGACAAGTCGTCTTCAACGACAACTGGAAAGCCATGGGAACTAAACAAATGCATTTCACATGTGCTGACTGTAGATGGCAGTGAGGGCTTAAAGTGGTCGCTTCTCCACTTTAAGTACGTTGTAAAAACGACTTGTGCATATCATATTGGTTGCGCTGTGACTGACCGACTGATCTGTGACGACAAGTGGCTTTTGTGTCTGTGCATTGCAGAGATTGTCAACTGGACCAGCACGTCACCCACCGTACATTCACACTTCCTGAGAATGCGCCACCTCATTTCCAACACACCGTGTATGCTTTCTGGTGATGGCTTAGCATTAACGACTGCAGTCTCTCTTATGCGACGGAGTTCAAGGAGTCAAACTTAAGCAGGCACAAGCAAAGTGAGTAGAGGGAAGGTTTTAGTCTTCTGACGGCATGCGAGTTCTCATACCTTAGTGCGACCAGAAGGTAATTGTGATCTCTTTTTGTGTTTCACATATGTTTTTTGAGGTTGTCACCCGCTTACTTCTTCCGCTTATGTCAGTCATTGTAAGATGGATACCTTTCACTTGGTCTTTGGCGTCTGAGTCAATGGCTTTCACAGGCCTAAAGTGAATGCCATCTCGGCTTTTCATTCACTAGCATCCAAGTTCTAAACCACCTTTTTTTCGACTTACCTCCAAAGAACAAATTTTGGACTGAAACATATTTTCTTATAACAATGGATGGAGTAGATGTGACAGATTTTAAACACATCGTCTCTCCGCAAGTCCCAGGCTCGAAATCGGCAATTGTGTTCTGTGACAAGGTGTTTGCATGCATGTGCTAATTTAACATTTGGCTTTATTAAGAAGTTAATTATTGTGCAATTTTATTGGCCTCTGTGTCTGAGAGAAGTCTCAAATCGCCTAATTGCACACACCACACACACAACCACCCCATTGGGTCAGCATGGGAGAGGCTGACGAAAGCCCTTGGGATGTGACATTTAGCCTTAACTGCTTTACCAATTCCACCGCTTCGTGGGCCTCGTCTTTCTTCATCCTGCTGTTGAGGCAACTTTACGACGTCATCTTGGCAGTTTTTGGACCCTCGTTCTAAACTGGCAATGGAATGTGTAAAGCTCCTCTGATAGTGCTTGTCAAACACTACAAAAATTCGTATAGTTTTGTTCCCTTTTCACATTCGTTTCTCGGCATATGCTAGTTATGAAATTTAGATGAAATGTGATTTTCTCTGCCTTCAAAGGATGATTGATGTTGATGCAATGGTCCTTTCACATGTGAGTGGCTACATGGGAAGTATTTTTAACAAAGCAAAGCTTCACGGACGGTAGAGAAGCACTCATGTAGTCAGCCAGGAGGTTTAGCAATGCACATTCACTTACTTGGAAATGTTTATAATACCGCCTTCCCGAACTCCTCTTCTCCTGAGCGTCTAGTGCACTTGTGGCACCTCGAGCTTTCTTAGAGTTGTGCAAATGATAAAATGTTCGGTCACAGTGTCACTGATGCATCTTGGAGGGCTCACTGGAACCAATATTCAGGCCTGTTTGAAAGGGAGTAAAGAAAGTTGAATGTGTCTCTTCCCTAGCCTCGGAGGCTGGAGGACGCTCAGCATGAAGGCCATTTTGCGTCAAGGGAGTTGGTCACAGGAACAGACTCACCTTCTTAAGGGTGAGGTTTGCATGAGTTTCATGGGACTAAAGTTTAATTCGTACTCTTTCATGCTATTTTGTTCCCAGCCACTTACCTACATTGGTTCTATTTATTCCGTAGGGAGGTAGAAATGGTGTCGTGTGTTAGTGTCGTTGGTACCGTAGTCAGCTATGGGGCCATCTTTTTTAAATGCATCACAGCCAATGTCGGCGTCGCTTCAGCTGCTAATGTCACCCCTGCATTACACGGGCCGGCGGTTGCCGAAGACGGACGTCATTTTTATGATTTTTAGAGGTGTTCATGAATCCGCTCATCAGCCACAGGGTTCGGCTTCTCTCATGCGAAGATTCAGCATGTAGTAGCAGAATTTTTTGTTTCTTACATGTGATTTTACTCTGCAACGACACTGATGTAGCACCCCGGCTCCTTTCAGAAGTCACCAAAGAGGATGCGTTATTACACTTGAGAAGAGCTGAGACCACTGGCATGAGAGGGAAGCCAATCAACTGGAAGCAGGAATAATCCATGAAGACTCAGGCATCAGAGTAATTAAACGCATTTAGGCATTTCACTTCATAGAATGCTGCATGACTAAAACTTGTGACAGAATTATTTCACCTCCAAATGACCTTGATATCATTTAACAGTTGAAAGGTACGCGATCCACAGAGAGAGAGAGAGAGAGAGAGAGAGAAACATTTGTGACGCAGTTGTGAGTGGTTGAGAGAGCGTATGGAATCAATGGCACAGAAAATGTTGCCTCCTCTCTTCGATGAGCACAGAATATTTTCGAATTTTTTTACCACTGGCTCCATGTTGGGATTAAAATCTCGCATGATCACCTTTGCTGCATCCCGATTTGATTCCCTGTGTTTTCCTCCCTCCACGTTTGCGTGCAAAAGTTAAGTTGCAAGATATTCCCACGCCTATCGGAGGCCGATGGATCACATTCTGGGGATGTGTTGAATCACTATTTTGTAAAGCGGTAGTGTGGTGCATCGGGCATCAATTCTCTCCTAACAATTACTATTTGGCCATAGCGAAGGTAGCCCGTTTATTGGCGTTGGTTTAGGACGATATGCTGCTTACTACTTAAAAGGCAAACCAAAGAAAAGCAGCGAGTAGCAGTTGGATAAACAAATGGATTTGACTTTCCATCAGCACAACACAAAGTCATTTCATCATACTTTATCAACTCTCTCCCTATCAATGCTCAGTTTAGACATTAAAAGTTGATATATTGCTTAAATTATGTTGGAAATGTTAACCTTAGTACTTGCTTTCGAGACTCCCTTCAATCTGCATGTTATGGTGTCTTGACTGAATGACAGCTCCAACAAAAAACTGAAATCCTTGTGGCCTTTCTGCCGCCGCTTTACAGTCCCACTATTGGCATAGAAACTGATTATCAGCGTATGTTAATGTGAAAAGTATTTCGTTCGCCACCGGTGTGCTTCATTATGCAAATTCAAGGTTTGAGCAGCTGCCAACTTTTGCACCCGTTTCAGTGGGGCGATTGCATACCTTTGGGCCAATATTTGATTCCGTTACACTCTTCACCCCACTCTAAAAGGGAGGACTGCGTTAACCTGATTGTGGGTTGTTGATTGCTAGACGCACTGAAATGCAAACTTTAATGTTAATTAGAAACATCTTTGCATGGTATCGAGATAAAAAGAGAGAGAGAGAGAGAGCTTAATGACAACTGAAAACAAAAGTATTCTGTACTGTTTATCTCACTTTTGGTGACTAAATGATAATGTGCGCTAGCAGAGCGTTCTCTTCACCATATTCTGCTCCACGTTTTGTGCGCGGTTAAGCTACGACTTCGTTGAAAGGCGATTTGCAATGTCACGCATTAGAATGCTTCTAACTAACTTTCAGTGCCCAAAATGAAGGAATGCGCAAGACCTTGCAAGATTCAGTCATCTACTCGAAATGTGTCTCTCATTTGCACTACCGACGGTTGTAACATTTAGGTGAATTGAGACTTGATTTCTTGCAACAAGCCAATTTTGGTGCTAATGATTTGCCTCAAAATGAAGCAAAAATGATTCTGTGACTCTCCGAGACCATCAACATTGCAGCGACTGAGAAGAAGCCGATGTCCGTGACCTATTCAGTGGGTTGTATTGGTGAACGAACCACTCCTACGCGACTGCTGTTTCTTAAATTGTTCACCCGCTTCTTAGCTACGTAGTTTCAGCTTTTTGTAGAAATCCCAGTCAATGTCTGTTTTGTTGACTTTATAAATCTCAGAATACTAGATGATCTTATCATTATTCGTGAAAGGCATCTCCAGAAATTTCTCTCTGTGTATGTGTGTATGTGTGTGTGTATCTTTATCATTAACCTTTGCTACAAACTGGTTCATAATTTGCCGAGAAAAGCACGTAAAGTTCAGGTACAAATTAACAACACACATCTTCCACACTCATCTAACCCTCCTCATTAGAGGGCAAGAATTACAAATTAAGGCTTAAATTCGAACCGCCTAATGACTTCACTACTTTGTGCGCCTACTCATTAACATTGAATGTCAAGATGCTCACCGCGGATATAAAATAGTGAATACTGGGAAACTTCACTACAAACGATGTCAGAGAGTGAACAGTGGTAGAATTCTTCTCAGAGGTGTTTCTGGCTTCTGGCACCACTCGCCTGTGCGCCCTGACACGCCATTGGTCAGGAGCGATTGCGTCATCATTACCATGCGCACGTGGGTGCTCGCGTGTGATCCTTTGTGTTGGCGCATTACTCAAGCCGGTGTGCGCACTCGAGTTCGCCCACACACGCCAACCGGTGTCTGGAAGTAGGGCGCCTCTGCAGTAGGTTTGCTCGTCTAATGCGTTGCTATGGTGCCAAGGAGCAGCCTAGACGGCCCAGTTTCCTGATGCATTGGCCAGCTTTGAGTTGCTTCGGGTTTGCTGGAGCACACAGGCTATGGAATCCAATATCACGCATGCTGAGTGTGTTAGCAATTTTCATTACCTTAATGAACGATAATTACCAAGATACATTGATTTTGTGATTTGAGGAGTTACACAATGAGGCTCCTGGAGTACTACCAACCACTGTTGAGGAATCTTTCCTCTGGCGTAAGCAATCTCAGCAATGATAGAAGGTTCACCGAAACAATCCTCTACCTGAGTAGAAAAACGCTTTACTATATTAGCTTCAAGGAGGGTTTTACTGAAAGAGTAAGAACCTCTTTCTCACCTCTCCACCATCAGCTCGAGGACGATGCAAAAAACGTGACTGTGAATGGTGCTACGAGACAAAAGGCCCCAACAGAGAGGAGTACTGCTGCGATACTTCATGCCTTGGGGGCTGCACGGGCCCCACAAACGCCGATTGCTTCGTGAGTTAGCAGATTTTCACCCTTCCTATCCCATTCAGTCATGGTGCTATCACGCACAAATTAAGAACCGCAACAAAATAACCAACTTCACCATTCCACTTCTATTAAAAGGGATCAGTAGCAACTTCATCTACTCACTTGCCAAACCTCAACTCACAGTATCTCCAACAGTAACGAAATCTCATTGAATCACTATATAAAACATTAAATAATTCCCTTCCAACAGACTTTTTGGACCACTCGATCGCAATGCAATGAGTGTCTCAAAGTAAATTCAGATAGATCCGAAACTACCATAACTTCCTTACCATGCTGCCATACTACATACATTTTTTCGGAAAATATGACGTAAAACTATGTTTTTTTCTTTTTTTCTTATGATTATATTACTTTTCATCGCATTTTCTGCCATAGGTTTGCAGGAACCTCCGCGACGGTGACAGATGCGTTGAGAAATGCCCTCCACCGGCCACTGTACAAAATTACCGATTGGCACTAAACGTGAATTTCAGCTACGAATTCAATGGATTTTGTGTCAAAGAATGCCCGAGTGCGATCATCTTATGACATCATGCCTTAAAAGTCATTCTTTATGATTAATTCGAAGTGAGCCTAAAGACAGCCAATCGGTCGGTGTTCGATTCTCCTTTCCTCCTACTAATTTACATAAGTAAAGCTTACGAAGTTAATTTTCTCCAAATGAGTAAGATCAAAGCCTTTTCATAAATAGCTTAAGATTGCACCAAATCATGAGGTCACACTTATTAACTAACGTCATTCAGCAAAGAATAGGCAAACCAAGTCATTTTAAGTTAATAAACACAAGATCACGCCTACGTGGTCTCTTCTGTTCATCGGACATTGTAGTGAACTCCATCCAGCAGACGTATCTCGATTAGCTGTGCGCTTCGGATGCATGAATGAGACTCTGCTTTCCTCCCTCTTAGGGACACTGTTGACTGAGGGAACCAAATGTGTGAGCGAATGCACTCCTGGTCACTACTACGTCTCGGGTCAATTCTGCATTCCTTGTCACCCAAACTGCCCAAAAGGTGAGACCTCTTAAACTCATGACGACTTCCTTCAGTATCTTTAAGGAACTACATCTCTATCATCTGAAAGTAACGCCTTAAAATGCATTACTTTAAATCCAAGTGAAACTCTATTGCAATCTTTAACAAGAGGAAGGATTTGGTTCACTTTTTTGGGAGGAAAGAGCAACAAGTAGACTTTACGCTGCCTGCTTTTCTATGCAGTTTGCTCTGTCGAGAAGTCTTCCAGTCTGGATGCCACGACCTTGGCCAGCCTTGAGAACTGTACCACTCTTTCGGGCGACCTAATTATTTCAGAGGAGTCTTATAGGTAAGGAAAATGCTTAAGTCATCCTTTGAATTGCTGCTTTTAAGAGAAATTCGAGTATAAAAATGGGATTGGACCACTACTTCAAAAGGTAACGCCATTCTTAGTTTGAAGATAATTAATGATGTCACAACTTCAGATGGACGATCGAGTTTAGTAAAGTGTAGGTGACTTGTTTGATCCCATCGCATTATACACCGATTTTATTTTATGTCGATTGAGTTTATAGAAAATGGAGATGCCGCTGACAACAACAACGGTGATAGCGGAGTTGTTCACTGCAGCGGCATTGCCCACTAGCAGTCATGGTGGGGTGAAAATTTTGACATGGAAACTAACATCTGGGAGGGTAACCCATTTCACAACCCTTCAGTCACGTCGACTGTCCGTCTTAGTAACACTTGACAGTGAGCTGAATGCATGGCAAGCCTATGTTCAGTTGAATGTAAGAGCCAAGTACCTTTTCACAGCTCTTTCCTGCCTCTATGTGCGGGAAGGGGTGCGTGAACCCTGATAAGCTAGAGGCTACTTTGAACTGAACCCACGTAATTTTAAGCTCCGAAGTGCCCGGAAGGAAACCCATTACGACCACAGAGGAGTTGTGGGCCTTGCATTCACTGCGTGAGGTGACCGGCTTTGTTCATCTGGACCTGCGCAATCATCCCGCACCCTTAAAGAGCTTGATTTTTCTCGAAAATTTGCGCAAGATTGGGGGCTTTCGTAAGTGAGGCTTACAATTACTTAAATAAGTCAATACCTGCATTTTTCTCGTCAAAGCACCCTTTTTACGGCTACAGATTCAAGCTTCAGTCTAGCGGTAGTACACGGCGAAATCGAGTTCCCGGGTTTGCATCGCCTTCGTGAAACACCGCATGGAGACATTGCATTCATGGATTCGCCTGCACTTTGCTACGTGCAGACCATCGGTATGTCCTCCTGGAGCACAGTTTCAGTTAAATTTTTGCATAATAACTAACAACTACCTTGATCTATCAGACTCTTTTTAACTAGCTTTCCGTAAATATGTTGTCTTAGTTACTGCAAAGACCACAGACAGATATCGCTTTCTTCCCAATTTCCGCATACAGATGTACCATCTTCCAACCGCCGCTGAATGTGGTGAGTCAATCCAAGCCAACTATTTCAACATTTGTGTCCACATGAACTAGCCTATCCTAATGAACTTTAAAGGCTTTGAATTAAAAGGCGCATCTATGCTAGCAGCAATATCATACACGAAGGACTTATGTTTGTGTTGGTAAAGAGGCGAGAGGCGCCGTGTGTCACCCTTCCTGTGACCCCGCCTTCGGTTGTTGGGGTCCGCGTCGTGAAGACTGTCTGCTTTGCCGCAGTCATTCAATTCAGGGATCCATTTGCGTGGAGAGTTGCACCGAGTTACCAGGTTTCTTTGAGGCTTCACAAGAAAACGTTAGCATTGTACCCACGATACCGCCTCACAGCAATCCCTTGACTACCCGACTACAAATGGCCAGAATCGCTGCTGGCCACATTATCGAGGAATCTATGTACAGTCAATACAGCGGCTATCCAGACAATGCAAAGGCTCCCATTTCTTGTGCTCAGTGCCACCCAGAGTGTGCAGACACTTGTTCCGGACCGGGAGCCGATCAGTGCATCGGTGGCTGCAAAAATGCAAAGGTGAAGCCTTAATCTCCATAACATCTCTGTACACGAAACTGTACTTATTAAGGTTTTTGCTTACAGAATGGTAATGAATGCGTTGTGGAGTGCCCCCATACCACCTTCTTAGATTTGAAGCGAAGGATATGCGTTCCTTGTCCCTCCCTCTGCCATCAGCGAAAACTCAGCAGCAAACCTGTTTGCACCGGAAGCGGTATTTACCCCGGTCCTGGAGGGTGCAATAAGTGCGAGATGTTTCTCGAATTCATCGCTTTTGATGGTGTTTTAAAAGGTAATTCAGATGTTACGTGGAAATCAAACGTTTCATAAGAATTACTAATAAGTAGCTGATTTCCACTGAGCTCCTCACCATTGCCAGAGAAAAGATCCTGCGACTAGTTCTGCAAAGCAATCTAGAGTAGTATCTGTTGTTTCGTTAAGTTTGTACAAGCTTTAGTCAGAACTCAGTAGGAATGGTCTTCTTTCGCAGAAAGCTCGGATGAACTTTCCGAGAACGCCATGCGTACACAGCATGGTGCATTGCTCTGCATGAGAGGTGCATGTCCAAAGGGAACATTCAGGACCATGGAGACGGTGGAACCGACTTCCAGATTTGCACCGTTTGTGGAGGAGGGTGTGTACGCAGTGCCCGTCTGTAGCACCTGTCATAACCTCTGTCGTACCTGCACCGGCTACAGTGTGCTTCGTGCCACCAACACTACTCCCGGATGTGTGGAGTGCCACGGCTTCTGGTTCAAAGATACTTGCGTCAAGGACTGTCCTGAAGGTAATAGACCAACATCAGCATTGGTTGAGCCGCTTTCAGTCTCCAGCAAACCGTCTCCACTCCTCAAATTGTAGTAAATGTAAAAACCCTGCCTTATGATTAAGTAAAGGTTAGGAGGCTCGCAAATAGTTTAAGTCCGTTTTTTATGTATGGTTAGAAGTTGATTTTGGAGTCAACGGACTACCCTCTCTCTCTAGCGAATTGGAAGCTTTTTAAAAATTACCCACTCGTGATGTTTGAAGGCTGGGCATTTTTATACAAAAAATTGATAACGCATATTGTCTCCTGTAAACCAAAATATAATGGCAAACGGAAGAAGTCTTTGGCAAAGAAAAACTATTTGAATGATGAGTAGCTAGAAGTGCAAAAAATATGCAAACTGAAATTTGGCGGGAAGTTGTATAAGCAATCATTTGTTACTTATAGAGAAACGTTTGAAGCAGTTTACAGTCTATTTTCAAAGTTGGCAAGGTATCCAGAGCTTGTTTTTTGACGTAGATAAGACCTTCCAAATATCGCTAACGCACCCACCAGAAGTGCGGAAAGCGTTTCACTTTCGGCAATCGCTGGACAGCAGTGGCCTTTTCCTTCCATCGAGGCTTTCTAGTCCTGTGCGCGGTTCGGATGTCTTCCCAAGACCATACCTATGGACCCGCCATTTGGATGGTCATTGTCTCCTCTGTCACCCTGAGTGCTTGGCCGGTTGTTGGGGTCCCTCTGCTTCCCACTGCCATCGCTGTGCTCACGTTCGAGTGTGGCGGTCCAGCGAAAGACAACGTCCTGGCACTACTTGGCGTCCGCTGAATGATGCCACAACCGTATATTTACTCAACAAAGACGCTTTCACTTCGCGTCATTCTGGACTGCGCGATACTCGTCCATCTCACAAGGTAATGCTTGTTTCGGGTGGAAAGTCTCTTGATTGATTGTTTTCGAATTAACTATTAAATGGTTGGCTATACAAAGCCACTCAAAACTTTGTTGAGATGTTTTATGGTACCGTGAAAGTGGAATCAGTTTCGCGCTGTTTAAAATCGGGAGCATTCAGTTCCTGGCTCAACGGAAATTGTATGCTACTCAATCTTGGTATCATTTGACGAATGAACAAAAAAATAAGATTTGGGGATGGCTCATCCTATGGTAAATTTTGTGGATTACTCCTCTTCGCCTCCACCATTAAGAAGGAACCGAATAATGCTGTGAACACTTCCCTCCAAAGGTGACTTCAATGTACTTCACGTGTGAGGCGGTGTGCCCGGAGGAAATGCCCCACGTCTCCTATGACCCTCTTACCGGCGACAAGACTTGTCACAGCTCCGTCATCACCGACTCCGTCTACGTTGACCGAAGACGCGGCGAGTTTGCCACTGCTGCCAAACGTCTGGCTGGCGGTCTGGTCGGCCCGCTCGCAGCTTTCTTCCTCATCTTCCTCATCTGTATTACACTAGCCTGTTACTGCAAGGGCCGCCATACACGACCCACTAATTCGTTCACCGGCAAACCGAACGCTTTCAGTTTTTCACTCATTTTTGACAAGGTCAGTTTGGCTTCCAGACTTTTCAGATGTAGATTTTGACAAACAAGTTGCAAAACACAACGATTGAACCAGAAGAGAATTTTTCCGGTATAGTGAAGGAAATACTTCTTTTAGCTGTGCCTCTTTCTCTCCCTGAACGAAATTTTTGACTCAATAATTTGTGGCGTTTATTATATAAAGCCAATTTATGTTGCATGTATCTTCACCGAGTCCTCCTGAGTAGGTGAATAATTCCTAGCCTTCTATCCTGACTGATGCAGTGCATTTGAAGCAATAACATGTGAATAGTTAGAAGTGTTTTTGTAGTTCCACTTCTAAAGTTTGATTAAATTCCATAAAACCAAATCAACACAACCGATATCATTGGGTATACCGTTGTGTTTCAAACCTACAGCGCCTCCAAGAAGGGATCGTTTGGTGTCCGTCGAATTGTTATTCAAACTTCATTTATCGAGCTGACAGCAAAACCATTTTCACACTTTCACAACTGTCACAACTGAGGTACTGTCACACTTTAGTCACTGTACGAAGAAAAAAGGAACGAAATATTGGCGGGCTGAGTCTAGGCCACCATTTTATCCATAGGTACTACGCCTTTACGAGGGGTCCAAAGCTAGTCAGTCACCTCGAATCGTGGCTTATACCGCAGGATCAGGCTCGGGAATGGACAGAAGTGAGGTTACCAGTAGTCACGGTAGCAGCAGCGAGGCGCATGCACAGAGCCTCTACGCTGCAAGCAATCGTGCCACTTGGTTCTCCGAGGGCTCTGTCTGTCAGTACTGCCGCAATGGCAGCGCCTGCAACAGCTGCGACGGGGCCAAATCCCCCCCTTTGACTCTGGTTTATCGCAACAGTTGTTGCTCCAATCCAGTAGGTAGTTTCCTTTCTTTCTCCTCTTATTTTGACCCCTTCAGATCCGTTCCTTTGAGGAGCACAGCCCCTCTTTTGATATAGTACATGTAAGTAGGTCAACCCTCAAAGGACTTTTCATTGTTTCAACTGCAGGGGAATGCATTCATACTTTGCGTATCTCCTCCTTAAGTATATAGCTTTTACTTAATAAAGCGCAGACCAATGCTGAAATTCAACCTCCTTATCTGCTAATGCAGTTTGTCTGTTTGTTTCTTTTTTAAAAAAAGGTAAATATTGAATACTTTTACGACATCAGGTAGTGCATACGATTACGATTTTTGTCTACTCCAGGTGTACCGACGATCGACACGTCAGCAACCTAACATGGGACGTTTAGTACTGATAAATCTGGACGATGTCCTACTGCCACCCAACAAAGTGGCTCTGGGAAGTGGTGCCTTTGGGGCTGTCTACAAGGGAGTTTGGCGTATTCCACACGACGTAGAGGACATCCAGCTTCCCACCTTCGAAGGACGTGATCACCGTCGACATGTCAATGTCGCTGTCAAAATTCTCAGCGAAGTAAACGGACCCAGTGATCTACACGCATTACTTGAAGAAGCGAAAGTAAGTTGACTGACACACAGACTCAATTTTAATTTGTTTAATATTATGCTTTGTTGTGTGTAGCCATTCGTGCTTCACTCCCTCTTTTCTTGGATATGGCCCAAGTTAAAGGAGAAGGGGCGAAGAATGAGTAGCAGTAAATAACCTTGTACTTGAATAAACTGAACCTTACTATTTTTGAGGCATCTACCCGTAAGGAACTTTGGTTTATGTCGCTTATAGCAAAACAGACATCAGAGAGTTGATCCATATTAAAGGAGCTGTTGGCATATTGTTCACGACAAGCTTCAATTTTAATCAAAAGATAGTTTTTGAGAAGAGCGTGCGAATGAATTTGAGTCGATTCGGATGCTTTACTAATAGAGCAAACTTCATCAGCACTGATTGTGAAGAGGAATTGTAAAATAGGTTTCCCTCAGACTCAACACATTTCCCTTTTTACCATCTTAAAGGTAATGTGCTCGGTGCGTCATAGAAACTGCCTCCAGCTGCTCGGTGTGTGTCTGGCTGGATCTCAGAGATACCTAGTTTCGGAGTACATAGCCAATGGGAGTTTGGATGGTTACATTCGACGCTCGCGAAACGATTTACCACACTGGCTCCTGCTTCTGTGGGCGGAACAAATTGCCGAGGGTATGGCCTATCTGCAATCTGCAGGGATCATTCATCGGTCCGTTTCACCTCCCCAAGCATGAGCTTTATGGCAGCATCTAAACTCTGTGCTAATTCTGATCCAATAATTGCATTGAGGTCCACTTAAAATGGTTTTTAGATCACCTTCACAAGGTCTGCTTCATTTTACTTACCAAATGAAATGATGCACAAGATCGAGTACCTTTGTTAGCACGTTGTTAAATCGAAAAGTCCAGTCGCTTTTTTGTACTCATTTGTTGCTATCATCATCATCATCTGTATGCATAACTCGGGTTTTGAATGCTTCATTGGTTTGGAAGTAAGTTACAGAAAGCATGAACGACTGCAAGCTAATGGTCAGGTTGATGTTCGCATAAAACAGTCAACAGTAGTTGAAAATTGAAAGTCATTACTCTTAGTCTAATCATTTCCCTTGGTAGTATTGTCCATTTCCGGCATATCTTCAAAACAATGAGGGCTTTACGGAAAGAACGCGCCTTGTTTTACCGAAAAATGTGTGTGTGTGTGTGTGTGAAAAATTATTATTGAAACGTTTCAGATGTCGTCAACTAGAAGAAGCGAAAATATGACACCTTTTCTTATTATTACAGCGACCTGGCAACGAGGAACGTATTAGTGAAGGAACGTGAATGGGTTCAAATTACCGACTTTGGTTTGGCAAAGATGCTCAGTGGGGAGGAAGAGGAGATTGGCGAAGTGATAGTTCAATCCGGTCGAGTGCCGATCCGGTGGCTGGCCATTGAAACCCTAACAAGTGGACGCTACTCCTTCAAGACAGACATCTGGGCCTATGGTAGGTGGTATTGTTGTGCTAGTGCACCGCAACTCGAATGCACATCCATCATAGCCGAGTCAGTCGAAATCTTTAGCGAAAAATCTTCATGATCCATACTGGCGGAAGCTGGTCTTCTATAACTTCCTCATTTTTCGTATTTTTCTTTTAAATGATCGTTTTCTAAAACAAGTTTTCTCAATTACTATATGCACTAGTGTAGCGCATGTTTTATTTTACTGCATAATAGGTGTGACTCTATGGGAAATATTCACATTTGGGCAACGGCCCTATCCAACTATTGAGACGAAGGACGTCAAACGCTACGTACTTACCGGGGGTCGTCTCCTGCAACCGGATATTTGCACTCTGGAAGCATACCAGCGACTGCTCCTAGCCTGTGTGTCTCCAATTGCTAACTCCTCCCATTTCCTGTCTGAGAAATTCAGAGCACACCTTTGCACATGCACCTGTGTCCGCATACTTTAGAGCCTAAGCCTTAAGCATAAGCCATCCAAACCACATACCTCAATAAGTCAACACGACAGGCTTTACGTTGACGGCATTCCGAAGCGATGTTTGCGTAAATTTCTTCTACTTTGCATTCACTTTTCAATCTTGCCAGGTTAGTGAAGGAATGTTGGGTTCCATGGTACTAATGAATGTGAATCTTTGTGTATAACCAGCAACTCTTGTAAGAAATCGTTTTGAAGCTCAAAATTGGCCCCCTCACTATAATATTTTTAGAGTTTTTGCGATTAAATTGATGCATATCCGTTAATTCCAGTTCCTCCTTGTTTGAAGGTTGGCGCGAAAATCCCGAAGAAAGAGTGTCATTTGCTGACATACTACAACTTCTTCAAAGCAAAGCGGATACTCCCGAATACTTCCTCCACAGTCGGGTGAGCACTCATACCTAAACACTCCATTCGCAGGCAATCTCACTGTCTATTATGCGCACATAATTTCTCATTATTATCCTCCAATAATAATTATTATGAACTGAGGAAGACATCCTCATGCTTGTTTTATTGACTCCTCCTCCTCCTCCTCCTCTATCAGCAAGCAAGCAGTGTGATAAGCACGCAAACCCACAGTACACGTGTTTCCGGTGCCTATTCTGAGACTGCAAGAAGGGGCCGCGGCTCCGTCTCCACTCCGCCTGATGCAGTCTCCGCTGCCGCTTCTTCTTCTTTCTCATCTTTTCTCTTGCCTAACTCAACGGCAAGTGCTAGCACCCTCCAAAATCAGCATCAGCGCAGTGCACTACTCAATCAGCTTCCACCACGATTCCCACAAAATCCTACTGTAACGTTGGAGAGCCTTCCAAGTACGGTGGAATACACCACCGCTACAAACAGCAGAAATAGTGGTAATGAAGACGACAGCAGTGCTGAAGTCACTTTGGCGGCTGTTGAGCGCCATGAGTCCCCAGTTCCACCAGGTAGTGGTGGGTACGTTTGGCCAATGCCCTTCACAGAGCACACAGAAGGCGTCACAGGTGGAGGCGAGTACGTAGGACCCCTTTTTCAGCGTTCTACAGAGTCCACTGACTTGTGAATATGATAGGTCTCTTTTCTGTGTCCTTTTACATCCAATGACCCGTGTACACTTCTTTGTACCACATGGTGCCCATATGTGTATGCTTGCAAGCATTGAGATCGCCACCGGATGTATAATTTGGTGTAGCATAAATAATCCCATTCAACTCGTATCAATGTGAATGATGGATAGGCTGTAAGGTGCGCATCACAAAATGCTTTTCCACTTTACCGTTTCACGCGATCTCACAAGAATATACGCATTGTGCTCTTCTTACTCTGAATATGACGGAGTAATAAGCGTTCCAAATGTCTCCTACGTTTGCTACGACAGCTGTGGGTATCTTTACGTGTCATTATTCTAGCCCTTGCTCTAATGAAATCGCCTGGACCCAGCCATAAATCATGTGGACGGTTTAAAATAAACCCGTTTATACCGATTACAGATTTGGCAATTCTGGAATTTCATGCCACTTGTGTTACATCAGTCTTCATCAACGCCTCAAAGTTCGCATCCACTGAAAGAATTTTCACGGTTACTAGTTCCTTTCCGTACTTAAATAAAAATTGGATCCAATAAGGAGGGTGATATGTCTAGCCTAAAGGCCTTTAATTATAATGCTAAGACATATGCAATGGTTGGATGTCTTAAGCGCGTGAAGCTGAGATGGAAGGGAGCAATCGCTTCTCACACAACGAAACAACCATTCATACCGTGTCGCTGTGACGAACTGCATTTGAGAGGAGTTTGGAGTGCGGATTAATCGGTCGTAAGTGATCAAAACGCCTGAAGCGGGCACTAAAGGAGGAGGGTTCGGAGAGTAGCGATGTTTTGCAAATTGAGCATTGAAAAGTGGTTATACCACTCCCTTTGGATTCTATTAATAGCAAAAGTTTCGACCACAACTGACTCTTGGCAATAACCTGTTGCGGGTATCATGGTAGTCTTGGCAGTCCTCGATTCCAGTGTCGGTGCAGTTATATGCAGTCACTTTGGGAGATTGATGCGGTGGAGATATTTTACACTCTAATGGCAACTTTGTCATACTCTGCAGCACGAACAAATTCATCAGGCTTTCCTTGAAAGGCACTGATACTGTCTAATGGGGGCTGGTAAATTTTGTCCTTTTCTGCATCCAACAGGAAGTACTTACAACAATTAACACGTGGTTCCATGGTGAATTGATAGGTTAACGTCTACGCGTTATGCTTGACGTTACGAGGTTTTTCATCAAATTCCCCAAATTCAAAGCCGGAAGATTTCGGTGACTGTGTTTTATGTTACCATTTGACAACTTATATTCAGTGATCGAGACTTGTATTCAATTATTACTTTTATAAGGACGTAGGGGAAAGGTACGGAAACTTTTAGTATGGACGTCCTCGGACTAAAGCTCCTTTCCCTTGACATTCAGTCCTAGAGAAGCCTATTTCAATGGAAGCGCTATAAACTCGAGTTAGCGTAAGTTGCTGGAGGAGAAATGTCCAGAGCTTAGCAGTGTTTTGATGACACTTACCAATGTGGTGCAAACCTCTAACTCTTCGTGGAGAGGCAGAATCCCCTTCATCGCAATACGAAGTTAGTGCTTTCTACATCGTTGAGTGTTAAATGAGAATAACGGGGTTTACAGTTGCGCAGTTCTTAGAGTGACACAAGTTTAGCTGGGAGCAAAATATATGGAATAAATTAAAGCGTAGAATTTAGGGAATAATGGTACGCAATTATTGTAGAGTGTAAAATGACCAAAGATACTTCACATCATTGAGAGTTAGTATTGTTCATTTGATGTGACAGAGAGCAGATTTAAGGCCTTGAGCATCTTCATCTATTTGTACCGAGACAGAAAATCATTCCCACAGAGCACAAAATTTATTCATTTATCATTTGAACGGCCAAACAAACACAGAATTTTCTAGCAGAGAGTACCGCAATATCTCCACACCTCGTTATCGAACTATATTTAAGGGACGTAAAAATACTACATACGGCAGTTAAAACAGGATTTAGTGGGCGCCCATCACATGCTGCATTATCGCCTCCCTGTCACAGCTAGAGAAGGCGCACATCGGACACATCATGGCATCGCCTGCAACTACATTAGCACCACCGTCGTCACCACCCCCTCCTTCCACACCCACGAATTCGGAGTTGGAGAGGGAGACCTCTGTGCCTCCACTGGCACCTTCTCTACACGCATTCTCTTGCACTGTTGAATGTGCACTCCCAGCCTGCGATCCTCCCGACGATTGCTCCATGCTGGTAGCCGCCCTCAGCGCACTCGCTGACAGTCCACTGACAGAAGCACTGTGTCTGCGCCACGAGGTCGCAACACCACTCCTCAGCAGTGATCCACACGACTTCCTACCACACGGCCTTACCTTCACTCCTCCCAACCGCACGGTGCTTTGGTCAGACCCGAGGGGTTGCAAGGCCACTGAGGATGCACTGCCCACACCTGTATTTGGCCACTCCACATCACTGCCAGCGTCTGCAACACCATCCCTCAGTGACTTTGCATGCTGTGCTGCACAAGACGCCACGCGTCGTGACACCTTAGCTCCCACTGTGAGAGGATTGGG